CGTTATAATCACTAATGCCGAGTACTGACTTTTCTGCAAGCAGCTCAAATATTGAGTGTTTTGGTGTTGCAATCTTTGTGTATGCGTGCATGTTATAAAAGGGCGATCATATTTGGATAATATTATTGAATCCCTGGTCTAATACTCTATAATCTTCTTTGCCTTCTATCAGTTGGCATGCAAAATAAAAGCAGTCACTTGAATCTCAATCCCAACATTCACATCCATGTTATTTGGCTGTGCAACATTGTGTGTAAAGGCTAAAAAGGTTGTTTCAATAAAAGCCAAGTTGGGCAGAACAAAATAGAACAGAATAAATAAAACCAATGAAGTAAAGAATACATATTAGAAATAAATAAATAAATGGCTGTAAATATGTACATTCATTCTAAGCCAAGAGGAGGGAGTAGATGCGAGTGTCATAAAACTATTTTTCTAACAAGAGCCGAGAGTGTGTAATGCACAAATTATGCGAATGCTTATTAAAATGTTTGCCCCAATAGCTCCTGAACTGTAACACCCATTTGAACCTGGTCATCCTTGCAGACACACGCGGGGATGACATCAACAGCGCCCAGCTCCAGCGACTGCCCGCGTTGCTGCCTCCTTTTCCCTGGGCGCACGCATAGCATCCACCAGCACCTCAACGCTACCGACCCAAACCACCCTGCCGACCCGTTGCGGCGTCATCACCGGCACTTACAGAAATACAACTATCCTCAACCGGCCCCCCTCTACTGCTGAACTACCCAGAGCCTGTGCGACTATCAGCTGCAGCATCTCTCACTGTATAGCCGTATCGAGCACCAGCTCAGACGCAATATCCTGCAGCTTAAAGTTGTGCGACTTCAGCGCCAATTGTGCCAAGGAATTAACCATTTCGGGCATCTGAATGTCCAACGCCGCCTCACTGTCTGCACTCCCGTCAGGATTAGTCCCAGCATAGCAGGTGTGTTGCCATTTCTTCTTTTGTCGGTGTGCGTAGCATAAATCTAACCCGTACTGCAATTGGTCCAGCAGATGCAAAAGTACCCGGTATGTGCCGAGTGCTGTTCCGACGCTAATTGCGAGGTAATACCGGCTATCATCTATGCTAGCAAAAGAATATTGAAAGTGTGTAAAAAATACTAAATTGTAAAATGCGAACTGTGAATTAGAAAGGAAAGAAAAAATGATAAAGTAAATTAAGAAATAAGAAAGAATAACGTTAAATTGAAATCATTTGGCAAAATAGGAGAAATCGAAAATTATGGATGCAATCAACCTTCAGTAAAATTGGTCAATGTGCGAGTTTAAAAGTATTTGTTGTTTACAGTTAAAGTGATCGGTGAAAGGTGATCAGTAGATTGGTAAACAAGAGGTACAGACAAGAGTTAAAATATTTATATTTTACTCATATTTTCTTCAAGTTTAATAAAATTTTAATTTTTTGCAGTTGATTTTTTGGGTCGTAAAAAGATTTATTAAAAACAAAAAACCTAAAGTGCTAGCTTCTTGAATGACCCAGCATTGATCTCGTCCTCAGCTGGTCGCTTAAGCTGGCCACTATCCTCTTTGAGGAGCTCAATTGCCTTGGGATGCATAAACCTGGGAGCAGCATCCCAGTTAGCCTGTCGTTTAAATGTACTGTCCCACCAGAGCTGGTGGCTAATGTACTGGTTTCCCGGTTCAAATAAGAACCGGCGCATTGAGTGGAATAGATCCCTGAATATCTTGCTTGGATTTCCTATCCCAAACAACTCCAGATACTTTTCCTCAACCATCATGATGCTGTACCGACTCAAAGCCAGGCTTTGACTGCCTAGGAATTTGAACCCCTGAACGTCATCCCTCTTAGTGCCGGCTGGGCACACTGCGTCCATAACGACATAGAGAACACTCTCCATGTCGTCAAGGATTCCCCGGATGGGGCTGCTGCTGAGCATGGGAATTCCCATGAAAAGCGGGCGTCCCTGTAAATGGGTCCTTGGCCACCTCCACCTGTCCCACTGTTGTCGCATTGAACCCCCACTGCTCGGCAACCTCAATATGTTTAAGTTGAGTTGGGCCAGTGTCGTCAGTGGGATCCTCAGCAGCATCCTCAGCGGCATCCTCATCAGTCTCCGCATCAGTGTCCTCATCAGTGTCCTCAGCAGTGTCCTCAGCAGCATCCCTGGCAGCATCCCTGGCAGCATCCTTAGTAGCCCCCCAGCCAATGACCTTGGCACAGCCCCAGTCAATGACATACACCTTGTCGTTTTTGACGCACACATTCCCTGCTGAGATGTCCCTGTGCAGGACACCAGTGTCATTTGCCTGGGCAAGGCACAGGGTCAGCTGCTTGACAAAGCTAGGAACTAGCTTGCATATCTCCTTTTTGGTCTTGACTTTCAGGTACTCAGCCATTGACTGGCCGCAGTACTCCATGAGCACGAACTCCAGCCGGTATCCATTGAGGTTGCTGATGAGCAGGCCCTTCGAAAAGATCTTGGGGATACCTTCGACTGGTCTCTTGTTGAGGATGGCGTATGCGGCGCCCTCGGGCAAACGATTGACTGGGGTCCAGGAAAGCTTCAGCACAGCATCATGCAGTCCATTGAATTCACCCCTGAATAAATGGACATGGCGCCCAACCATGTATGAATAATGCGCTATTGTCTCCTTGATACAGAACAGAGCAGCGCCATCCTTGACATCCTTGACATCCTTGATATCTTTGACATCCCTGGAAACCGAGTACAAGACTTCGAGCTTCGAATCGCCCTTGCTCTCCACATTGACTTTCTGCGAAAAAATGAAAGAGTCAGATTCCTCTGAGACATCGCAGAAATGCCCGAAAATGTCAGACTCAAGAGTCAGCAGGAACCAGAGCCGCATGAGGCATGACTGAATTCTTCCAGCTAGTTCAGGCGTCCAACGACCCGTATTAAAGCATAGCTGGCCAAGCTCGACGATGTACAGTTTGTCACGATAATATGCGTGAAGCGTCAGGAGGTGCCCATGGAGGTAGAAGATAGGCGCAAACGTGCGGGTTGCCTGCTGATCATTGAGCAAATGGCCATAATCTGCGAGCTGGCCACGAGTATCCTCTGGGGTTCTCTTGGGGTTCGAATCCATCTTGGCCTCGAGTATAGCATGGACGGATTGAATGTCATATGTCATGTAGTCGTGATAAAACGTGATATCTGGCTTGTGCGGTGTGCCTGGTATAGCATCAGTCTGATGTTCATCTAGATTAAGCCTGCACGCTGGGATTGGAGTTCTGCCTGTTGGAATAACTCCATTTGCGACACGAACTGCATTGACCATTGCGTCGAAGAGGAAGATAAAATATTCGACCAAACGAGCTTCCTTAACCAACTTCATCAATTTCCCCGAGTGGTTTTCGAAAACGTCAGCAATGGAAAAATCGCCGAAATTTTCAATCCTGTAACGTGTATTGGCTACAATGTCCTTGCTATCGGTCACTGGCGACCCATTGGCTATGTCGAGGAAAAGATCAGGCCAATCCATGATGAACTGTTCATATCGCTCCTCCACACCCAGCGATTCGACAAACTTATCGAACGGATAGTCGTGCCATATGTTATCGCCGAGGCATTTCAGCAGCCGCTGACGGCGCTTATCGCGTACTTCGGGGGGCTCCGATTCCCCAGGTGGCAGTTCCTCCCTTTTTTGAATTTTCTGGGGCGTTTGGAAAGTGCCACCTGTCTTGCTGTTCTAATAAAAAATAAAAGTTAAATTAGTGACCGAATTGGTTTTGTATGCACGCAAAATAAACAACAAATAATTCATCGATATCATAATAACTCGTTTATATTGAAGTACTTACGCCTATTTGATTCGGCGGGGTCTTATTCGGAGGAGCTAGCTCAGACATCATTGAGAGAAAGGGAAAGAGAAATAGAAAGAGAGGGGAAGGGAGAGAGGGAGAGAGAGAGAGAGAGAGAGAGAGAGAGTGTGTGTGTGTGTGTGTGTGTGAAGCACTAAGGTATGGTAAAAGTAATAAAAAGCGAAGAAAAGCCAAATTGAACGAAATGGTGCGAATTGAGAAAAAGGCAAATATTAAAAGTAAAAGTAAAGGTGGAAAGTTGCAAAGGTGAAAATTTGTTGCGATTGATTGCGCCAAAAACAAAAAACAATTTTTAATATAAACAAAAAACCTTGAGCTTCTCATGCTTGCATTTGGTTGGCTGAAATATGGAAACAAGAAATAATTATATTTATGGATTAATTTCCAACCGGCATTGTTCTTTTTTCTTGCGCATTGGTTCTGAGCTTATATTATTTCTTTTGGGAGCATGGTGGCCCTGCCATTCACTGCTGTAAAAAATATGCTTCCCTGACACGTACACTGAACCGGAGATGCGTTTATGCTTTATCGCCTGGCTGTCGGACCAATTGAGACACAGAGCCACATGTTTCATGTGTCCACTACGGAAGCATACAATTCTGAATGCAAGAGAACTTTCACTGGCATCTTTAAGACCCAGCTTCAGATTCTGTGACTGGCATGGGCAACTGTGATACCGACAGAACATCATATAAGCTAGTCTTAGCTGAGAGGCAATGAGCTAATGCATTAATTCGGAATAGGCACTTATACAGTACCATTTGAGGGGTTTTTACATTGCCTATAAAAGGCCAATTAGGGAAGACAATAGGAAACTTCCCAGAAAGATTTTTAGGGAATCAGTTTAACACGATTAATTTATATGTGAATAATAATCACTTTACTCATGTTAATGAGACCTTTGGGAGGCATAGTGATGCCAAAGACTGCACTGTCCTTGTTAGCAGGTGTATTTCATAAGTATCTAAATTTGTACTCAGTAAAAGTTAGGAAAAGAGAAGAGAGAACTAACAAATGTTGTTGTTTTGCCCATTTCTTTGTGAGTACAAAGACTCACAGCCATAAAAAGGGCAAAACAACAACATTTGTTAGTTCTCTCTCTTCTCTTTTCTTAGTTTTTATGGAATATAATTTAGTCTAATGAAATATACTCATTAATAAAGTGGGTGGATAATCAAGTCTGTATGATTATATATTACAACAATTTAAAGTATATTGATGTACACACACTAACTATTTGCTAGCTAGATTCAGCGAATCAATCTTCCAGCTGTAACTTGGCAGTATGGGCTTTGGATGCTTCGGTTGCGATGTCATACCAAACTCGTTAACCTCCATTGGCACAGGCTCAGGTAAGCCATTCTCGCCCAAGCGCATCTGCACTCTCTGCTCGTCGAAAACATAGGCAGCCTCTGCCAATACATGGTCCACCAATTCAGCAAATGAGCTCTGCATTTGGGATGCCACTGTGAGCTGGCCAAAGTGCACAAGCGCCCAGATTATCTCGCGCACTGCTGTCTGGTGCACGCGCACGCGGTCAACAAGCTTGGAGATGGAGTCGACCAAGTATGACTCCTCATAGATGCTGCCCTTCTTTCCACGCACCTTGCGCTTCTCCTCCTTTTTGCGGTTCTTCGATATCCGGCGCGCTGTCGAGCCGGTCATCCGCGACGACGCGTTGGTCTCAGTTGCCGTGAACGAGCTGAAGCGGCTGGCCATCGACGTGGTGTCAGACATGACATCAATGTTGTCTGGCAGGGGGCCGCTGCAGCTGCCGTCATTATTAGCCATGGCCAGAATCTGGTCAACAATCATCTCGAGCGGCGTAGAGCGCACCTCACGCAGCCGCGCGCACTTGGAGGCCAGCGCCTCGCGAATCTCGTCCAAGTCATCGCCCAGAGTCTCACACGCGCGAGTCAGCCCCGGACGCACGGTGGTCTCGACCAGATCGGAGCGCTCGCGCGACAGCGCATTGCGCATAGCCTCGGCCCAGTGCCCACCGCGCACAAGAAGCGCCAATGCATCCTCATCCTTCTCGGTGTACTCAAGAAGCACAGCAGCGGCATCCCGGAACAAGTGATGCTCGGCGAGCACCTCGCTGGCGCGCACAGCCGTGTCGTGGACCATTTGAAGGGTAAGGCCAGATCCGGGAGCGCTGGCTGTGGCCATCGCCAATTGCCACTGCTTGGCTTGCACAAAGGCATTGGCAGCCTTCGCGTGCACGCCAGCCAGCTCGTACGACATTGCCGCCTGGCGCCACTGCTCGCTGGTGTTGGCCTCGGCCTGGTGGTCGCCATAGAGCTCGCACATGTCACGGAAGCGCCGCTGGTTCTTGCTTGCCGACAGGATGCTGATCGCACGCTGGTACAGCACTGTCTGTTTCACGTAGGCGACAATCTCGGCCCACATTTCCGCCTCCTTATCGGCAGTGGTGCCGATCTGCTCGTACGCGGTGCACAGATGGCCCAGCGCCTTGATGCCACGCTCGAGCTGCGCATCGATCTTGAATCGGCGGTACTCCTCGTTGGGCAGCGCATTGAGCGCACCCAGGGCGTTCAGATACTCGCGCGGGTCACGCTGGCTGCGCTGGGCAACAAGCAGCGCCAGCGGCAAATCATAGAGTCCAAGGGCTGCGTCGTAGACAGTGTTGACGTCCGACAGAAATAGGAGGTACGTCAGCGCCGAGTCGCGCTCCTCAGCAGACAGCGGGGCCAGCAGCTGCAGTGCGGCGGGGATGTCTGCCGGAGATTGGCACACAAATGTTGTCAGCACTGTCGGCATAAAGCGGGCATCGCCGGTAGCCTGCAGCACTGGGCGCAGTGTTTGACATACGCGTGTCGCCTTGCCCTCAACAGATGCGGAGCGCTGCTGCTGCTGCTGGTGGTCCAAGGATACGCCGTTAATTCCCTTGTACATGGTGCGCGTCACGTTTTCGTCCCTCAGGCCAGAAACAAACAGGTTGAGGAGATCGGGGTCGTTGATCTGGGCAACAAACTCAGCAAAGTCAGCGCTCAGCTGGTCGGCGTTGTGGTCGTACAGGATGTTCATATCGATGCGGCTGACGCGGCACGCGAGCAGCGCGTCTCTGTAGCGGCGATCGTCCAGTGCACGGCGCACCGAAGTCAGCACAAGGGCCCGCGGACGCACAGTCTCGAGGTTGCCGCGCGGCATCTGAAAAACGACACTCTCGCCGACCGGCGATGCAACGACGATCGTCGACCCGCGCTCCACCCGACGGCAGCTCTCGTCGTACTTTGCCGCAACCAGCGCCTCCTCCTCGGACGGCGCGGCTGTGAGGATGCCGCTGTCGACAGGCACGAAGCGTACAAAATGGGTTGTCGTGGTAAACAGGAGCATGTCGCGGCGCAGGTAGAACGACGAGCACACCGAGCTGATCAAATGGCATTGGCGAACAGCTGGTTGCGCTGCGTCCGGCCAATGACAACAACAGCGCCGTCGACAAGCACAGCATCAATGTCGATGCAAGTGGCCGGCAGCTGCGCGAGGCGCTTGGCGCGGACTGCGCTGCCGCTGAGCACCAGCGCGTGCACTTGGCTGTCGGCGGTCTCAAGAAGCAGCGCCTGCGCGTGCGGCGCAGCCTTGAGACACACCGGCTCAGCATCGCAGCCAAGCAGTTCGTCGACGTAGTACACCCGCGTACTGCCCGTGTCGACGTCGGCCACACTCACCACCTGGCGGTAGCTGCCGCCGCCCCTCCGCCGCTTGGCTGCCTAGGCCGACGACCGTGTGCGCGCTGGGCCAGGCGATCTGCCGCACAACGACGCCCGGCACCATCAGCACGCGCGCCTGCTCGGCCGGGGCACGCACGCTGCGCACGCTGTCGGCAGCCTCCTCGGCGCTGAAGAGAACGGCCGTGCGGCGGTCGGCCAGCAGCGCCGCGAAGCTGTTGCCGCAGCCAAAGGCCGCAAAGGCGACGTGTGCCACGGCAGTGCCGGCGTCGAGCGAGTTGAGCGCCATCGGCGGCGGCACATTGGACCACGCTGAACGGCGTGTGCAGCAGCCGGCGGCCGTCGACCACGCAGGCGGCAGCGTCCGACCGCTCGGCTGCGACGTGCGTGACGTCGGGCGCCGTATGCAGCCGCACACGCGCGTAGGCTGCGCGGCCGACAACGTGCAGGCACAGCGCGTCCTCGGCGTCCCACACGACGTGGCTGATGTCGCCGCCGACCGCCGACGCGCGCAGCTCCTGCTTGAGGTACCAGTGGTAGTTGCGGTCGGCCCACAGCTCCACGCACGGCTCCAGCGCGCCTCCGCTGCCGCAGTCGACCAGCGCCGTGACGGCCAGCACCGACGAGTCGGAGTTCCACGCCAGATCAACCACGCGCCGCGTGCATTCGCGCAGCGTGAATTCGCCGTGGCGCAGCCCGTTGCGCTCGTAGAAGACGACGTCGTGGCGGTGCGCCAGCCGCTCTGTGGCCGCCAGCAGCCGGCCGGCCGGCTTCCAGGCCAGCGGGTGCTCCAGCGCCTGTATCCTTTCGGCCGTGCTGTGCAGCGCGCCCTCGCGCGAAAAGACGCGGATCTCGCGCCGCCCGCCGCGCACAAACGTGACGCCGAAGAACGCACCGTCACCGCGCCACGCCACGCGCACGCAGTAGTCGTCGTCACGGCTCAGCTCGGCCGCCACTGCCGAGTCGGCCAGCGCCGCCTGCTTACCGGCCTTGCCATGGTACTGCGTTTCCTTGCGGCCCCAGCCCAATGCCACGTGCTGCTCCTCACCCTGCTCGCCCTGCGCCAGCAAAAACTCGGCCAGCACATCAAAGTCCTGCGTCATCAGCAGTACTTTGCCTCACCCGTCACCAGCGCCAGCACCTCCTCGTCGGGGCTCCACGCGCTGCTGACGATGCCTGGGTCCACAGTGCCAACCGCTTCAATATCGCCTGTCGCCACGCCAATCGTGTAGATGTCACCCGAGCGCAGCACCACAACGACGCTCTCGCGCTCCATCAAGTACTGCATGCCAGCGATCTGTGCGTCAGATGCCGAGAACGGCAGCACGCACACGGGCTCAGCTGCTGCTGCGGCTGCTGCTGTTGTTAGTGATCCGAGTGGAATCGACAGTAGCTGTGCTGTGCCGTGTCGTCGCCGGCAACGACGTATGCCTTTTGCTCTGTCACGTCCACGCACAGCGCTGCCGCAGGTGAGTCCCGCTGCTCGAAGCTGTCGCTGTTGCTGCTGCTGCTGCTGTGGTCCCAGCCGCCCAGCACGCGGTATCCTGGTAGGCTGACCACAATTTCTGACTGAATGGACAGATTCCGCATGTTATATATGGAAAATAAAAATGTAGATATATATAAAGTGCAATTAATTGAAAGTCAATTCGAGTAAATACAAAGCGAAAAATGAAAACCAATTAGCGCAAAAGAGAGTAAACGCGCCATTTGGGACGAAAAAAAGATGATCTGTATTAGAGACGATCGCCAAACCTGGTAGAATTAGATCAGGCTGTTAATCGGGACTCCAAAATCAAAAATAAAAGAACTGTGACGACAGCGCGTTGGCTTCATCGTCCTGTTGCTGCTGCTGCTGCTCGGCGCTCGTCATCACTGGAACATCATCAGTCGGAAATCCGCGTTCCTGCTGGCGGCTCGCAACAACCAGAGCCCTGGACGCGTCGCTGCTGCCACAGGCAGTAACCCAGTAGTAGCAGCAGCAGCAGCAGTCGCAACAGCAACAGCAACAGCAGCGGACACAGAGACTGGGTGGTGCATGTTAACAGAGTGTGGATGTTGGGAATCGCGCAGTTGGCTGCAGCAGCGTTGACATCCGTCATCATCATCGACTGGCTGTGCATTTGCGAGTTGCGCTCCACCACTGACCATGGCAACCGCAGCGGCGACCGCATCATCAGCCGTGCCGAACATACTATATGAACCCATTGATAGTGCGCCGCCATATCCAACATGAACGCTGTCAGCACGACCACTGCCGCGACTACTACTACTCGCGTGATGCTGCTGGTGCTGGCTGTGGTTGTGTTGTGGTTATGATGATGTGGCTGCATTATGCCCCCGTTCTGCGCGAGCAGCCCCAGCGAGGGCAGCGTCAGTGTCAGCGGCGGCAGCGGCAAAGGCAGCGGCAACGATCGCGCGGCATGGGCCCGCCCCCAGAGCGGAAAAGTCGAGCCCCGACCCCATCTGCTGCTGCGCGCCAGCAGACCCGGTGCTCAGCAGCAGACCCGAGGTTGCGCCATCCTGGCTGAACAGCGTGGATATGTCGGATGCTGCCATCACCCCGAGCGCCTGCGGGAACGGCTCGGTTACTGACTCGCCCGGCGGCATTGGTGGCATCGGCCTGATGGGTCGGAAAGCTGGCTGCTGCTGCTGCCGCCGCCGCTGCTCCTGTGTCTGCGCTGAACCTGGCAGCGGCATGGAGGCAGTCCGCTCCAGGTTGCCTGGCGCTGAGCCGGCTACCGATCGGCTCGGGTGGCTGGCGAGGCTAAACTTGGCCAACTCAGCACGCGAAAGGTCGAGTAGCACATGTTCTTGGCGCACACAGGCGCGACGCACAAAAACTCTCTGTGCAGCTCACGCAGCGGCCGCAACAAAACCAGCCGCCCATCCACATCAGCCTCCGCGCTGGACATTAAAAATTGCTCAACAGCCTCCCTGGGCTCAGCCCCCTTGGGCTTCTTCGACGGTGGCATGCTGCGAGCATGCGGGTCCACTGGAAAGCTGCCCTCGGTCGCCAGCCGCCTGGCCGTCTGCAGCTGGTGGTTGCCGAACCGCATGCCCCACTGTGCCTTCAGCTCTGGCCCTGTGAATACACGTGCCACTAGCGCCAGGACGCCTGAGCGCCGGTCACTGGGCAGTTGCTCGTGCATTGCGCTGATGTTCGCCATCACCTGGCCCAGCGTCCTGCTGCTGTGCTCCTCTGTGATCGCGTCGTAGACGCGCCGCGCTGCTGCCGCATCCTCGCTCCGTAACAGCAGCAGTGTGTCGCGCAGCAGGTGTGAGCACTCTTTGGTCGCTGCTGATGCGCTGCTGCTGTTGCTACTTTCGGAGACACCTGCCAGGTCGAGCAGCGTCTGGAAGAGCAGCGCTCTGCGGCGACTTTTCACCGAGTCCGAGCATTGGCTGTAGGCCTGGATACCGCCGCTGCCGCCATTGCTGTTGTTGCTGTTGGTTGTGCTGGTGCCGATTCTGGCGTCGTTGTCCAATGTGTCTCCTTTGCGCCGTCGTTTGCCAGACGCCATTTATTCTTTGGGGTCTTTAATATATTTAAAGTCTTTGTACGCCCACCCACCCACCACTGCGTGGAATTTTGCAAGAACAGTGTTAATTTCAACAACAAAAGTGCTAATAAATGAAAAGATAATTCAAAAAGAATAGGAAAAAGTGTGGCCAAGGCGGGATAGAAGCACAAGCCATCCGATGACCCCATTCACTTTCGAAACAGGTATACTATGGCATCGTCACACCTCACGAGCCAATAACGAAAAATCAATGCACGATTAAATTTGTCGAAATCAAGCCCACAAAAACAACACAGCAGCCCTCCACTCAGGGCGGTGCTGCTGCTTAAAACGAATAGTCCAGCTTGAACACGTCGCTGTTGCCCGACTGGATCGAGTTGAAGGCGACCAATGGGAAGCTTGTATCCACAAACAAGCTCAGCTTGTGGTTCTTTGCACCCACACACGCGCTAGTGACATCAATCTCGCTGGCCACCCTGCCCGTGACGTTAGTCGACCCAACCGGCGTGCCGTCAATTTTCTTCGTAAAGCCGCTGACCGTCGCCTCATCCCAAAAGTCGTCCGTCACTGAAGCCGTCAAGCTGTACCCGGGGCCGGCAATATCAATAGGCGCGGGCACTTGCAGTACGCACTTTTTCACGCTGTCCAGCGGCAGGTCGAACCCGAGCAGATGCGCGAGTAGTCGCGGTTGCCCTTGAACGCGACCAGCTTGGTCTGCAACCCTAGCGGGACCGATGAGCAGGGAACAGTGTCGTTTTGGCAGAGAATCCCGTTGAAAGATACGCTGGCATCGCGGCTAACGCGCAGCCTCACTGTGCTGTCAGCCAGAACAAGTACGCACACAAAATTTGCCACCTGACGAGTGATGCAAGAAACCTCATTTTTGTGAAATAAAAGTATAGGGCAGACAAATATGAGTGTCAAGTTTAATATTTTCAAGGTTTAAACGAGAGAATAATGATTTTTAGGCAACAAAGGAATGAAAAGTAATATAGTTTTGCATGAAAAAGGAACTACGAAAAAAAGTAGAGAAAAATAAAAGCAGATGCTGTTTGCCTCTTCTTAAATACCGCTTGAACTCGTTATAAATCTTTTTTGCAAGGCATTCGACAAATTGGAAGCTGTTCCTTGCAGCTTCAATCTACACCGGCCATGAGGGAAGAGTTTTTTAGTACACATTTTATTTTTATTTTGTCTCAGTGAGTGGACACGAAATGACATCGTTATTATTCCACATGGCCAATTGTCGTTGAGCATAAGAAAAATAAAAAAAATAAAAAAGTCATCGCAGTCTAGGCACAAAACAATACATCATTCCGAGAATTTCCTATTGTGAGCCATAAATAGAAATGAAATATAGTGTATGTGCTGCACGAGCGAATAGGCAAGCGATCCACTTGTCATTGTGCATATTTTTTTGTTTTCACAATGACCTTTTTCTATATTTAAACATTCGCTATACACAGTGAGTACGCTGCACACTGCGCAATTTCCCACGAACATTCTTCCGATGTGCCAGCAAATAAAAAAATAAAAGATTACGCCCTGAAAAGTAACAGGTTTTCTATTTTTATCCACCTCTAAAAAATAATAAAAGTAGCGAAATTATACAAATGACCTTACCCAAAGACACAGTAAAAAGGTGTTTGTCCATTGCATGTGTGTGTGCACGCAAAGTAAGGTAACAAACATGGTCTCTACTTGATATTCAAACAGATAAAACCAACTCCATAAAATGTAATTTTAAAATGTAAATATTGATATTGATATTGACATTGATTTGATTTGATTTTGATTTGATATTTCGATATTGACATTGACATTGATGATGTTGATATTGCTGTTGACACTAAAATATGAGGAAGGTGAACGACAACCAGAATCGGGATAATACTAAAAACAAAAGAATGCACAGCAATATCTGCCTGCTTTCTTTTTATTTCTTTAGAACAAAGACCCCCCGGCAACCGCAACAACAGCAACAGCCGCCAAACCGACAACAAACCTGGGCTGCACCAAAGCACCTGCAGCCGAAGAATCCTTGTCATCCTCCACAATCGAAAGAGACTTTGACTTTGGCACATCACTACGATCCCTGGCCGAGCCGGCTTCTGCACCTCTGTCGGTGCAGCCTGTGCCTTTGAGCTGATGCTCTTCACAGCAGCCTTTTCCGTGCTGTGTGGCTCACTGGACTTTCCACCGGGCATGGATCCCTGGAAACCAGAATGAGGAGCATTGGCGTTGCTGATGCTGCCAGCAATGTTGCTGCTGCCGCTATCAACACGAGCGCCTCCTGAGACAGACACTGGGTGCTTCTCATTTATATTGGCTGTCATCCCGTTCATGTTTACCAGGGGGCTGGCTGTTGGGAAAGTGAACTTGTCCAGATCATCAGGTTTGAAGGCCGTCGCACTGGCGAGGTTGGCAAACATAAGGGGCTTCAGCTTGACACCACCGCCAGACAATTTTGTGATCTCAGACTTGGGCTCAACCAACTCCGCCTCACCCTGCTCATCCATGGCCAAAGTGGTGGGAATGATGCTGCTACTGCTGCTGGTCAAGCTGTTAGACAGGCGATTGTCGCAGTCGGCTTAGCCATAACAGTGATGAAAGCCAGGAATGACTCTACAGACACTGGGGTTCCTGTAAATCCGACGCCTCTGTCGCCTCAACAGTGTCAGCCAATTTGACTGACTTTGCAGAACCAATTAAAGGAGCATCAATGGCAGTGGCAGCATGTGACACAGATGTGGACCAACAGTTGCTGAGTGTGAAGGAATCAATGCCATGACAGTGCATTAATAGTGCCAGGAGCAGCCGCAGCTCCTGCTGCTGCTGCTGCTGCTGCTCCTGTGGCTGTAGTGTGTGCAGTCGACGCCGTAATCTGCATAAGCGAGCCCGCATCAGCAACCACATTGGCGCTGATTCAACATTAACCACCAAAGGAACAGCAGCAGCAGCAGTAGCGACGGCTGTGTTGGCAGTAGTGATAGATGCAATCTTTGTAGCAGGCAGAGTGACACTGATTGCCAATGGGCTGGCAACAACTGTGGTGAGAGCAGCCTTGGGCACACTAGTGGCAACACCAGTTGCATGAGCAGCCTTGGAATCACCAGATGCAGTGGGCACAGCAGTAATTGCTGCAGCCTTAGTAGCACCAGCCATGATAGGGATGACTGGAGCAGCATGCATAATGGTAGTGGCCACCGCAGGCACAATTGGAACAACTGGTGCAAGGTGTGGGATGGGAGTGGTTGCAATGGGGGCCACTTGGTCGACGTGGATAATGGGCCCGGCCATAACAGGAGCAGCCGGGTCAGTGAGAATGATGGGTGCTGCCATGATGGGGGCAATTGGGATACAAAACTGCTGGAAACAGCCCCAACTGGAGCAACTGGTGCAACAGGGACAACTGCAGCTGGAACAACTGTGTTAGCAACAGAAACTGGAGCAGCCAGAGCAACTGGAGCAACTGGAGCAACTGCAGCTGGAGCAACTGTGTTAGAAACAGAAACCAGAGCAGTCAGAGCAGCGGGGCAGCTGGAGCAACTGGAGCAGCTGTGTTGGCAACAGTGACCAGATGAGCTTCAGGAGCACCAATAGGACTAGTTGCTGGAGCAATGGCGGAGTAACAACTGGAGCAGCAGGGGGTGCAGCAGGAGGAGCAACAGTGTTTGTGGCAGCAGGAGCCACATCAGCAGCATTAGAGAACTCCTCAACACCTCTCAATGAGCTCATCCTCAGAATCGCTTATGTTGGGGTTGGTTTCAGGTGACTTGCATTGTTTGTGGAGGCGGGGCCACCAACAACACCAGCACCAGCACCAGAATCAGGTGCCTGTATGTTGGAATCAGCAACCATTGAGTTGGGAGTTGCCACACTGGCCACACCAACAGTGGGAGAACAGAGGCATCTGGGGACATTCTGTCTGGGACAGCCATTCTCTGGCCTTTTCAGCAAATAGTGACCTCTCTATAATGCTCCCTTGGTAGAGGCAATGCTAGCAGGAGTAGCGATGGATTGCTGGCTGTGGGCAGCAGTTGAAAAGACAACCAAAGTGCTTGTCAAAACACCATGGCCATGCACAGGTGCATTATTGGCAATCACCAATGCTTGGGGTGCAGGGTTGGACTTGACAGCATCCCTGGCTGCAGGCTGGACATTGTCTTTTGACCTGTGTGTAGGTGTGAGAGGCACAGCGACAGGCTTGCCTTGTGAAGACCCCTGCGATCTGGCAGAAAAACCTTCATTGGAGAGCTTCTGGCCTTCAGGCTTTTCGTCCTCCTTGTCATAATCCTCGTGCACAGGCCTGGGGCTGCTGTTGGCTGTGATTAACCCCTAGAGTTGGGCTGTGCTGCAGGGTTGAAGCCCTTGATTCCATGCTCGAGAAACGCCGCCTTGACTGCATTCCGATCCAGCCCAATGGGCACGTTGAAGAAGACCTCGGCTGAGACTGTTGCACCTGCTATCAGCAGTAGTGTGGAGATTTTGACAGTCTGCATGTTTGTTATGTATTGATGTCCAAAGTGTTATACAAATAGTAAATATATAATAATTAAATGTATACTAATAAAAGTAAATTGATGGGGTTTTTAGTTGTTCTTATTCATATGATTTGGATTCGCAATGTGCGCACGGCCTGCTGCTTATAATATTTTTTCGCGTTCCAGCCCAAAGCCATATTCGTTGCACGTAGGAAACTAATTGACACTTTTAGACCATGTTCCCCGCCTTTCACAGCCTAACAGGGCACCTGCGGTGTTGTTTGAAATGATGATCTTGAAAATAGAACATGATGGTGTTGACGTGTTATTTACTGGGACGTGATGCTCGATTTGGGTGAAAAATAACGCTCAGCTTTTTTAAGAACAAGTTACTTTGGCTACGCGCAGCTTATATTTACAGCCGGCCATGTAGCCAGAGTGCAGTAAAAAGTGGGCTAATTATTTTAGGCGTACGGGGAAACTCGGTGGAAACATAAGGCCTGTGATTGTGCACCATTGATTTTAACGCGTCGAGTAACCTCGCACTCCGCATGGACAAAGCGTGCTAAAATTGGGCGCATTATTATTTTCGTTATAACAGTTGTATTGTGGAGAACCTTTAAAAAGTATAGCACAATGTTTAATATTTACCAAATAGCAGTGGCTATTTTTCAAAGAATAGGAAAATTGGTGTTTGTGTGCGGGGTGATCGCTGAGAATGTTAAAAAATAAAAATGTTGCAAGCGTTATGAGCTCACAAATAGCTTGCGGCCACAAAAAAAGCAACCAGGGCGCTGCTGCAGTAGCCACCCATTGCGCCGCCCAATGCATGCATCGATACCCGGCCGACTCGTTCTCCACAATATCATCCATCTGCCCCACCTTAGCACTCGACGACGGCAGGCCCTTGGCGCTCTTTGATGAGCGGCGCGCGTTGCTCTTACCAGCGTGGCATCAGCATCCGCATCGTCTTCATCCAGGATGTCGTCGCGAAGTGCGTTCGAGCGCTCCTCCTGAATTTCGAGATCAGCGACCGTTGTGGTGCGCAGCTTGTGCGCAATCACAGTGCGCGTTTTGCGCACGACAACATTGGACTTGGCAATGCTCTTCTCGCTGCCATTACTGTCGTCGTTGTCCTGGTCCTCGTCGACCTCTTCGCGCGCCATATCATTGTCGTGCTCGCTGCTTACAGCGACCGGCATGACGTGCACTCATTCGTGTGTTTGGCAGGCGCAGCTTTTTTGCCCGAACTCGCGAGAGTATCACGGTTCATCGCCGAGTGAGTTGCTGGCTGCTTGTGGCCATCAGAGGGCGTGGCAGGCTTTGCCCTGGATTATGAGTCTTCTGCTCGGCGGGCTTTTGCTCAATGTGGTTTATCTGCTGTTTTTTTTCGGTGGTCTTCTGGGATACTGGGTTGATACTGGTCGCCTTCATGGCGGGCTGCTGAGAGACTGGATCAACACTGGCCGCCTTTATGGCGGGCTTTTTATCCGCTGGTTTTTTCTCAACGGGGTTTTGTTGCGGCTGTTGTGCGGCAGGTTTGGCGACGACCTTCTGCTCGACACTCTTTGGCTGCGGCTTATCCAAAACCGGATTTGCAATGTGTACCTTTTCGGGCTGCGCGGTTTGGCTTGTAGTCTTGACGGTCACCGTCGGTTGTGGTGGGACAGCAGGGTGTACTTCCTCGCGAGCACCGTTCTTGTTTTGGTTTGCCTCGAACGCAGCTGCAATCAGCGAGCCAATGTCAATCAGCTCTGGCATGTGGATGTTATCGTCGGCACGCGACAGCCAGACTCCGGACATGGCGCCATCGTTGGCTGGTGATCCGAGTGCAGTGGCGCACAGGGTGAGCAGGGCGAGTGAGCAAGTTAATTTCATTATTTTATATAGAAAATGTTGTATGTGTTTGTTTTATATTTAAAATTATTATACAAAAAAGTGACAAAATGTTTTCATTTTCATTTCTGCCTTTTCCAGGCATTGCTAGCCAATTTATACAGACTGTCACTTTTTGCATTTATCTTGACATATATCTCGCTCATATTTTAAATATAAATGGTCGATAGACCTTAAAAAAGTATTACATCAATGTAAAAGATTGTACCTGGAACTGCGGCCTCTACGCTCGGCTAGTCGGATAATTTAAAATGCCTTTTTATATCATATATATATTTTTCATTTTGGCGAAATTGCGGGGATTTTTTATTTTGGTATTTCGAAATGATTTTTTTAATAATTTGGTCGCATGGGCAACAATAAGATAGTACTGAAACAAGAGAAAGAAAATGAAGAAAATAGAGCTAGTTTATGGTGCCTAGACAACAGCCAGTGCAGTCCAAATGACACGTCAACAGCCTGGATCTCGGCTTCGACCTGCTGCAAATACAGTGTGTCCTTGGAATAATGTAAATTGGAGTGTCCGGGGAGTACAACGCTACTCTGATACTCAAATACAAACAGGAATGTGGTAATTGAAATACGTGCCGTATAAAACTGGCCAGGCCCGCCGACAGCCTTGACCGAGCGAGTAGCCTGATAGTAGATGAAGATTGTGCCTGATACCGAGCTAGGCCCAGTGCCGACCGAGAACGGCATTTGTATGAGGAATGCCGGGGTTACAATGTTGACATCAACCACAGCGCGCTTGTCAAAATCGGCCTTTTCGAGCGCCATTGGGGCATCGGAAGTTGCCGCTATGGCGTGGGTAACGGCAGATGCTGCCTTTTGGCTACACAGCAGTGCCAGCTGGAGGGTGACGAGCAGGTAAACAAGCACGGATGCCGCGTGTTTGGCAATTGTGACCATGGTTGATTCGTAGGCGAAAGAAATTTAAAGTAAAAATTTGAAGAAAAAACTTGGCCCCACAAATGTAATGATCTGTGCTGAATGGCTCTCGCTGTAAACAATACAAATTTTGGTTGTGCGTGGAGAGCGAAAAGCAGCGACTGAATATAGTGAGGTTTGTTGTCGGTATGTGTGCAAAATATATTTAGTAGCTCTGCATTTGGCCTGCTTTTATGTCAACATTTTTTTAAACATGTAGACCAATTTTGCAGCTTTATTTGTTTTTGTTTATGCCGGTTCCTTGTTTCTATTAATGTTGATTGAATCTGGCATGATATTGATCTGGAGCCGTAGCGTTGGTTTGCTGGTTCGCTGGATCAATAAATCTCACCTGCCAAGATTTGATTGAATCCTTGAGTATGATTATATTTATGCAGGTAGCTCTTCCCCTCTCGCAGCAATCGAGTCAACTGATCAGTCGTTTATTTCTCACGCTTCAAAATTTCAGCAAAGAAAAACACGAGCCATATCGAGCTCACAATCAACAAATATTGACGTTGTTTTTGCTTTGCTCTGCGCATTTGTATTTTTGATATTTACTTTATACTTTTACACTCATATATTTTCCATTGTTGGTTGATCCATCGGTACTGTCCTTCCCTGCCAATGGCCGCTGACACACTCGCTGCTGCTGCTGCTGCTACCCCTACTAATACTTCTATTACTGCCAGGGCTGGCTCCAAAGATGGCAACAAAAATGCTGTCCACCATGAATTCTCAGACTCGCACTTCCAAGCGTTCAAGCGCGACGGCTGCGCTGTCATCAGCAACTTTCTCGGCGCCGACGAGATTGCATCCTTGCGCACACGCATCAGCACGCTTCTTGACGCGTTCGACCCGACAGACCACCCAATGACGACGTTTGCCACGGGCACGCGGGACGACCAGCACATCGGTGACCAGTATTTTTTTGACTCGAGCGACAAGACGCACTACTTTCTCGAGGAGGATGCCGTGGCCAATGGCCAGCTGGTCGTAGACGCCCGCCGGGCCATCAACAAAATCGGGCACGGCCTGCACATCGACGACCCGGCATTCAACGCACTGACCCATAGCGAGCGAGTGCGCCACATCGCGCGCGAGCTGGGATACGAGGACCCGCGCGTGCTGCAGTCGATGGTAATCTGCAAGCAGCCGAAGATTGGCGGCGCTGTTCCATTGCACCAGGATTCAACGTTCCTGTTTACGCGGCCGCTGTCTGCCTGTGGGTTCTGGATCGCACTTGAAGACTGCACACTGACCAACGGGTGCCTCGAGGTCATTCCAGGCTCTCATCTCAGCACACCCATTACGCGGCGCTTCGTGCGCACACGGCGCCCGTCCTCAGCGACAGACGCAGAAAAGGCAGACACACCCGGTGGCAACAAGATGGTCGACATTGAGTCCGTGTTCTCGCTGTTTCCGCCTGTCCGCGACAGCGGCAAAACTGAGCCACCGGCCCCAAACTCTGATGCTTTGCCAGAATGTATCCCGATTGAGGTCAAAGCCGGGACGCTGGTTCTAATACATGGCCAGGTGCTGCACCGGTCATCGCACAACCATTCGAACAAATCCCGGTGGATCTACACGTTCCACATTGTTGATGGCACATACGACTACGACGAGCGCAACTGGCTCCAGATGCCGGTGGGCACACAGCTGACAAAGCTGTGATCTGACGCTCAATTTCAGGCATGATGGCAAACTCAGATTGACACGATGACAAACAGATGTCATACACGGCGAAATACGCACTCTTCCTCTGAGCTTTTTTTGGTTTCCCTTTGTTTCCCTTGCCCTTTAAAAGGGCGCACATATGTGCGGGTGCGGCGGGGTTTCAAAGGGGAAAACATATGTTTTAGTATTCGACTTTGGTCCATTTTTCTTGATCATATTCATATTCATATTCATGTTCATCTTTTTCTTTTTTATTTCTATTAAATCGAATTGTATCATCTTAGAAAACACAATTCCCACTTATCAAAACCTTAAACAATGGCTTCCAATACCTCGACAGTGGGCCTTCGCATTGGCTTTGTTGGGCTCGGCACCATGGGCCAAGCAATGGCGCTCAACATGCAAGCGCACCGCACGGCCAGCGGGAACCTGTCAATCAGCGTCTACAACCGCACTGCCTCCAAGGCAAAGGCTGTAGAAGATCAGGGTGCCACTGTGTGCGCGTCGCCGGCTGAAGTCGCGGCACGCAGCGATGTTGTTTTTCTCTCACTCTTCGACGGCGATGCAGTCCAAAAAGTGATCGCTGAAATCCTCAATTCGCTGACCGACACGACTGACGGCGTTGCTGAACATCCGCTGGTCATCGCTGATACGACCACAGTGCATCCGAGTGTGACAAAGCACATTATAGAGCTTGTAGCCGGCCGCCAGGCATCGCTGAGGCGCCGTGTTGAGTTCAGTCAGACACCTATCTGGGGCACGCCCCCTGCCGCCGTCGCCGCGAATCTAGTCATCGTGGTCAGCGGCACTGCCGCAGAGCTCGTCGAGGCTGTTGCTGTGCCCGCCATTGCCCACACAGCCATCAACTGCGGCCCCGACGGGGTGCGTGCGGCAAAGTTCAAGGTCCTGGGCAACTTTATGATTGCAGCCATTATCGAGTCCCTCGGAGAGGCCATGGCTGTCGCCGAGCAGAACGAAATTGGCCGCGAGCTATACCTAGAGTTTATCAAACATGTCATGCCCATAGCGCCGGTCGTCGGATACGCGGCAAAGATGGTTGACCAGGGCGGCGAAGCGTCAAAGACGCAGGTTAACTTTACCGTGCCCGGTGGCATGAAGGATGTGGGTTATGCAATTGACATGGCCAAGGATGTTGGCATGCGTCTGCATGTCGCTGAGCTTGCTTATGAGCACTTGCAATGGGTCGTTGACAATGGCGACTCTAATTGGGACTGGTCTAGCTTGGCTTTTGCGCTGCGCAAGCAAGGAAGCAAGGAAGAAAGCAAAAAAGAAAGCGAGATGTGAGGGAGAACAGGTCAAGTGGTTGCAATGTAATGTAATAAAATTTAGAGTATATATTGATTTGTATATTTGCTAAAAGGTGCGCTGCACTTTAAAGCAGATGACTGGGTTAAACAGAAGAAAGGGTAAAGTAGGGTAGAGAGATTGAGGAAGAGATGATTGCGTCTTTCAACTGATCAGGGAGGGGAGAACCGCTTAGTAGTAGGCAGCGGGAATGGTGGTGGCATAGGCACCCTCACTGCTATCCTCGCAGGTCGTCTCGGAAACACTATTCTCGGTGGGGGTGGACACGCTGGTGTAGGAAGCCACCGGGACGGAGCTGGATGAAATAGGAGCAGGAGGCATGGCCGTGTAAACGTGGGTGGGGACGGGACCTCGGTCGAAGGGATGACGCTACCAGTGGTGCTGGGGACGGGCACCTCAGTTGAGGGAACGACGCCGCCAGTGGTGCTGCTGGGAACGGGACCTCGGTCGAGGGGACAACGCCCTCAGTGCGAGTGACCGTAACAGTCTGGTAGCTGGGGGCGGGAGCGGGACCAGTGACTGTGACGGTCTGGTACTCAGTAGCTGGGCAGGAGCCGGAGCGGTAACAGTCTGGTATTCGGTCACGGGAGCCGGAGCGGGGGCAGTGACAGTCTGATACTCGGTAACCGGGGCAGGAGCTGGAGCGGTGACAGTCTGGTATTCGGTCACGGGAGCCGGAGCGGGGGCGGTGACAGTCTGATACTCGGTAACCGGGGCAGGAGCCGGAGCGGTGACAGTCTGGTATTCAGTCACGGGAGCCGGGGCGGGGGCGGTGACAGTCTGGTACTCGGTCACGGGAGCAGGAATAGGCGCAGTGACAGTTGAGGTGACAACGCTGGTCTGGACGTAAGGGACGTAGACGGGGTTGGTAATCGTCTGGTACTGGTACTCAGTCTGGATAATGTTGATGGGCATGGTCTGGGTGACAAAGACAGTCGAGTACAGGACCTCGACGGTGGGCACAGTCTCGTAGATGATGCTAGGCACGGTCTGGTAAACAACCGAGTTCTGGGTGACAGTGGTCGGAACCTCAACGGTCACATACTGAGGAACGATGGGGGTGACAGCAGGGATAGCAGTCGTGGGGGTGGGAACCGGCACAATCTCAGTCGAAGGAACAATTCAGTATGGTGGGAACAGGCACAATCTCAGTCGAGGGGACAATAGACTCCTCGCAATCAGTGTTAGAGCCACCGCCGTTGCTGGAGCCGCCGCCGTTGCTGGAGCCGCCGCCGTTGCTGGAGCCGCCGCCGTTGCTGGAGCCGCCGCCGTTGCTGGAGCCGCCGCCGTTGGAAGAGTAGACAGGGATATCGGTCTCGCAGTCGGCAGTGTCATAGCCGCCGCCAGTAGTAGAGCCACCGCCATTGGAAGCACCGCCGCCGGTAGTAGAGCCACCGCCATTGGAAGCGCCGCCGCCGGTAGTAGAGCCACCGCCATTGGAAGCACCGCCGCCGGTAGTAGAGCCACCGCCATTGGAAGCGCCGCCGCCGGTAGTAGAGCCGCCACCGGTAGTAGAGCCACCGCCATTGGTGGTGCCGCTAGGGGTAGAAGTGTATCCTGACGAGATGGGGGCAGAAGTGATGGGCGTGGCGGAGGCCGGGATTGAAGAGATAGGGGCTGAAGAGATGGGGATTGAAGAGATGGGGGTGGGTGAGACAGCGGTGGTATCAATCACCGTCGACTGAATAAGTGTGGCTCATCAACAATGATGTCAGTGTTGACCTCCTCAGTAGCACGACCATAGTGCTCATCTCCTCGGGATACTGGAAGTAGCCCTGCTGTGCGTAGTTGGCGGGGCCGTTCTCGTAGATGGGGGCGGCAGGAACATTCTCGTAGTTGGGGGCGATCTCCTGTACGAAGCAGAAGCGATGGCGGCAAGGGCGAGGGTGGCAATCTGAATTTTGGTATTCATTTTGGATAAAGGTTGAAAGATTGGTTCGTTAGACGGAAGGGGTTGTCAAAGGAAAAAACAAAGGGGAAAGAGGAAGGAGAAACTTGTTGCTAAGCAATGAGATGTCCTTAAAAAAAAAAAAGCTACCGACCAGCGATATTTAAGCGATTTAGAAACGATAAAAGAATTGCGCTTCTGATACAAAGAGCAATAAAAGTGAACCGAGTTGGATATTAGTTGATGATGCACAAGTGATAAACAACAACAAAATAATTGACAATTAAAGCTATTGAGATATGGCGAGACAAAAGATTAATCTAGCGATAAAAATAGTTTTCTAAGTAAAGTGTAAGATAAAGTTATCAAAAGTTATATTGAGTTGGATATTGGGCTGTATTATATACGCAGAGCGTTGTTATATATTTTTTGTTTGTTTAGAAATATTTTTGTGGTTGTTTTTTTGAGGGAGTGTGGTATATTTTTGATGGTTTTTAGTTTAGGTACTAAAGTGTTTGAAAAAAGGTTGGCAGTAGTGAAGTAGGGAAGGGATAGTCAACTGTATTGTTGTATTGTCGTTGGATAAGTAATTCAACTTCCTTTCAGCCAGCAGAGCCAATTCTATTTATACCAAAAACACAATCGAATTCATAGTTATTTGACAATGACCAAAGGCTTGTACTTTGCATATTTTGTCAACTATAATTTTTCACTTTTCCAAATACAGAGGGTCAGTTTGGGCGCAAATAAAGAATACACAATATGGTGGAAACGCAAGTTTATTGTTCTCATTCGAGCTGTCCAGAAGTCTTGCTATATTATTTTTGCATTTACTAAATTGCGCGCTCAATATTAAAAAGTAATATTTCTGAATATTGGCTGTCCATATGAATATGAATTCGAGGCGCGGCGCGGCGTGACGAGACAGGCCCGAGAACCTGTATACATTCCCTATTTCAAAGTTTTTAAAGAAAATGTTTGGCTTTTCATAGAATATGAGCAATTCAAAAAGACCAGAATCCCGAGTCAGGTTTATGAAATGATGACAAACGCAATATTAACAATATAAATTACTTGAGGAATGAAGAGCTTCCAAAAGCATGTGAATAGGTGACTGTCACAGTGGCACCCGTTCTGGACACCGTTAATTTTAATTGGTATATATTGTCTATCTTATTTTTCGACATAACACGCAGATCCAACAACAAAAGTTGAATGATAAAACAACAAAACTTTGCGGAAATTGGCAGTAAACTGATTTTTTGTTGCAGATTATTGTGCGGCACCCTGGTCTCGCTCTTTATTGATGAACAAACATTAAAAATATATGAAATATATTGCAGGCGTGCGCCGAGTATCCCTCTCATCCCCTCCATCTTTCACTTTCAAAGGCCGGATTGGCTGATTGGTTGCGAGTTTATGAGCTACAAAGACTGAGAATAATGTGAATAATGATATTAGGCTGCTCGACAACACAATGTCCATTTAGCAGCTATTGCATTGCTCTATTGTTCCATTGACTGCATTCTATTAAGGCTGCGGTTGGGGGGAAGGGAAGAAAGCAAGTGTGAGATATTCCAGATGGTGACAACATTTGCCCGAAAGTGAAAACATACGATTGGTGTATTCAAAGACTTGTCATATGTTTAACGAAATAGACTACGTGTCCGACAACAGCGCAATATAATGATGACTAGGTACAAAGGGGCGGAATGGGAAGCGAAGCGGGGGGTAATAGTAGAAATTATTAATTATTAATTTTCGACTCTATATTCCAAAAGTTGGCACGCATCTAGACCTAACGCCCTATGTTGCAATCATTAGAATTGAACACCAATATAAACAGTTGCTAAATAAAAATTTTATTATGCGCGACAAGTCAAATGACAAACACTTGGCCGCTTGATATCCATGTATCAAGAAACGCAGCAATAGTTTTTTGTGGCTTGTATGTGACTACTGGCTATTGTCCCTTTTGTTTGGCCGGCTATTTTTACGACTTATCGAACAAGTGAGCGATCACTGCTCAAATTATTTTTTGTTTTATTCTTCAGTCGTGTTTGTGAATACACTAAAAAAAATAATGAGGCTACAAGTATCCTACAAATCGACATCCACATCCAGATTGCATAGCAATCTGGAACGTGCTTAGAAACTAGAGGCAATAAATATTCCACTATGCTTGACAATATTAATCATTGCGCTGTTTCTTGCAAAGAGAAGCTTGGACTTTGACTTTGGGTTGGGCAAGGTCTCGGGCAAAATCTCGGGTATCATTGTAGACTTGGGTTTAGCCAACTCGAACTGTGCCTTTTTGGGCAAAAAATGGGGAAATCGTTTGCCCATAGGCAGGGCATTAAGGATGATGCGAAAGTTCAGCACTGCAGCTATGTTACGGCTATTCCGCTTCCGTCTGCCTGATAGCACCTTTTCGTCATCCTTAGTCTGCTACTAAATGCTTATGAATGGTTCACATGTATGGGCCACCTTTTTTCTACCAATGGCAAAAGGTTTTAACTCATTGTTAACGTAATTGCCTTTTAACGAAATGTAAAGGTAAGCGCGTAAACACGACTTTGCAAATTACCCTAGCATAGCAGTGGGGAGATGACCTAGACTTCAGACCGGTGGTGCTTGCCACTGTGGCTCTGGAGTTAAGGGGCATTTCCAGTGGCTGCCTTCAATCTCGTCCACCTCTGGTGGTTTAACTTTGTTTTTAGGGGCAGGGCGAGCGGACAGGAAAGGAGCAGCCACAAGGCAGCCCTGGACCCCCCCCCCCATTTGCATCGCTGGGGCGAGATAATTTTCTAAATAATTAGCCCAGGCTCATAGGTCCATAATTGGTCCCCACAAGGGGGTGTTATTTGGCACGCGTTCGGTGTTTTCTAATTTTCATTTAATTCGTTCCAAAACAATATTCAATTTTCATTCAAAAATCTGGACTTTCTGATATTTTAGGCTAAAAACTGGAAAAACGGGTATTGAAAATCCCCTGCCTAAAAATCTGGACTTTCGCTAGAAATGTCTGGAAATTCCAAAATACATTTACACCAGTGTAATGCGCCACTCACTAGTGCTGTCATTACTGCCAGTGCCCCTTGATTCAGGTAGTGCCTTTTTTATGTGTGCTGCAGTGCGCCAAAATCAACTGACAATAGTTTGAGGGTGGTACATCGAGGTTTGCCCACAAAGGTGACACCGTCTCTCACTAATATTTCAGTTAACATGAAAAACAAAAAACAAAAACAAAAACATCAACAAAATCTAAATTAATAAAAACAATAAACGAACAATATATAACGCAAAGCTGAATGCAAGGGACTTTGCTTGGAACAGAATACTTGTTGGCCAGCGCGTTTTTGGCTTATTTTCTTCAAACCGATAATAAATAAAATAGAACATTTCTGCAAATGACTATATCAGCTGTGGCTTAAATTGTCGGCTTTGAAGATAGAGGCCAAATGCGGAAAACCGAATACGCATGCGGTGTTTTTTATTTTGCATGGCCGACGACCTTTGTGATAAATGGAAAAATGGCATGTTGACTTAATCCGAGCTGATATGGCTTTCTTTCCATGCTTGTTCTGCTAGACGATTCTGATGGTCCGGCAATCATTGTCATGCGGACCGCAAAAAGCAGGAAATATAAAGTGCGGAAATGTGAAGCGCAGATCAACAAATCACAGCCCCGCTCTACTTTTTTTGCCACAACTAAATGAAGGCTTTTTGATTGATAGGTTTTCGGCTAGCAATTTAAGGACTTTGGTTCTCACCCTCGTCTCTCGCTTTATTATAAGGCGGTCGATCGCACACAAAAACCGTCTTGAACATGTTGGCCGTCCATGCAGACAAATAAAAAATCGCATAAAAGAACGGGTCAGATCGGGCTTCCGTAAAGATCCAGAAAGCAAAGAAAAGGGGACGGGAAACAAAGGGAATCCCAAACCCAGAGAGATTCGTTAAATTGACCTTGTTTTCAAAAGAAAGCCTGCTGCTATCGTGCACGAGCGCACAAGAAGTGGCAATGTTATTTTTTTCGATTGTTCACCATGGCTCACCTCGCTTCACTTTATTTCACTTCAACTCACTTCATTCTCCGCCCCTCTTTTCGTTGCTTCTTTTCCTTTCCAGTTTAGGTAATTACTACGGCTTTGTTTTGTTTTATCTCGCTTCGCTTAGTTTCCTTTGTTTTTTAAATATATTTTATTACTGTTTTTGTTTATTTATTTCTACAAGACTCAAAGGGTACGATTTCGATAGTATTTGGCATAGCGCTTGGACCTTTGCTGACAATATCGAAAAAAGGGGGAGGGAGAACACCGATGGCGGCTGGCCCTAATATGCTGGCATTTTTTTACTACTCGGTGAGAGAGTTGTGTGCGCAGGCTCTAATTGCCCTGCAACGTTGCCAGTCCCCCTGCCCAACTTCTGCTCACTTGCAGACTGGCGTGCGAACAGGCACGCGTATCGTCCCCCACCCTGTGTGATTTGCACAATGTAGCGTCCTTTTCTTCTAATGCTGGCATTCTTCAAACTGCATTTTTCTGATAACACACTAACACACTTACTCACCACGCACTCACTCACGCACTCACTCACGCACTCGCTGACGTTCATACTTATACCTTCTCAATTATGTAGTTTAATCGTGGTACAGGCTTTCGATTTTACTCCACATTATTCAACAGGGCGAAACAGCAGCAGCACATAGCGCAGAACTCGAATTTGGTATCCAATACCCAGATATCCTGCAAACGCCACCCGCACAATTTTTGACAGATCACACTATAGCAGCAAATGCCGTCTTTTTTGGTGTTTGGAGGCGCAAACTTTTACGGGAGAGCGCTGATACAGCAGCTGTGCAAAGAGCGCGAGCAAGCGATCGCCGCCGGCGAGAGCAAAGCCGACTGGGTGATCCGCGGAGTCGACAAGATCCTGCCCCAGCTGGCGTCGTTCCCTGTGGACACGCTGCACCTCTACCAGACATTCGACTACCGCATGGGCAACCTGCGGAGCCAGGAATTCCTTGAGCGCGCCTTTGTGCGTGACAGCGCCGATGGCTCTCAGCAGCACAGCTGGGACTACGTGTTTAATTTTGCCGCTGAGCACAAGTTTGGGCAGACAGACCAGGTCTACGAGCAAGATGTCCACCAGATATCGGTGAGCATTGCGCGCCTGGCAGCGCAGTTTGAGGCTGGCGTGCTGGTACAGCTGTCAACAGCACACGTGTTCAAGGCAAAGGGAAACGCGCGCCATTCCGAGGACGACAATCTGGATCCGCCGCACGAGCTGGCCGAGGCCCACATTCGCGCTGAAAACGACATGCGCGCTATCACTGCGCTGCCACTGGTCATACTGCGTCCGGCGCTGTGCTATGGCCCCGGCGACCGCCAGAATGTCGTGCCGATGCTGATCGCCGCGCTGCTGAGCAAGGTTGGCGGAGAGAAGATGCCTGTGCTGTGGGAAAAGGACCTACGGGTCAACACGGTGCACGTCGACGACGTGGCCAGCGCGGCGATTAAGACCGCCCGGTGGCACTATAAGACGCCTGGCGCCGCGTTGTTCAATCTCGCCGATCCTGGAGACACCACCAACATTGTGCTAGCGCAGACTGTGGCCAAAGTGTTCGGCACCGAGCCCACGTTTAACAACTCGGCGGTCAACTTTTTTGTCAAGCGGCTCAAGACAGCAGAGCTCACTGAGGAGGTCAACGAGTCGCTGCTGGGCCCCTGGATGGACTTGCTCTCTGCTCACGGCATTTCAAATTCGTCGCTTTCGCCTTACATCGACCAGGAGCACCCGTACTGTCGCCTTGACAGCCGGCCCCTTGGGGTTGACGGCTCGCGCATCACCAGCACGCCTGGCCTCGGCTTTGAATACGCCTACAGCACGCCGACCACAGCCGCTTTGCAGGTGATTGTCGAAGAGTTTCAGCAGCTGGGCCTGTGGCCGCAGATCGCTGCCTAATATCCAGGCTAATTCGCCTACGCTCTTTGCCACTCTTGCCTTCATGCCAGCACTGTTATACAAAATATGGAACATTTATTTTTCATTTTGTTCCGCTCACCAGCTCCCAGATATCTATTTTCCCTCTTCTGCTCACCACCGTCCATATTTCTGGGATACACAAACATTCAATTTCCTTTTCTTTTTCCCTTTTACACTGATATTCTCTCAATTCAACCTATTCCTTTTAAATGCAAACACGTCAAAGTACTCCTTGATGGGCTCCAAGTACCAGATCTTGGGCGTGATGCCGCTGAAGAAGCCCAAATGGCCGCCGTGCCTGGCCAGCACCAGCGCTGTGAATGGGTTCTGGGAAAACATGTCGAGTGGTATTCCCCTGTATGGCGTGACTGGGTCGTCCAGCGCGTTGATCGCCAGGTAAGGCGTCCGTATATACTGTATGTACTGGGTGCTGGACGCCGCCCTGTAGTAGTCCCAGCAGTTCTTGAAGCCGCACTTTTTTGCAATCAGCAAGCTGTCGATCTCAGACATGCGCTTGGTCTGCATAACAGCGTCCACGTCATATCCGACATCACTGGATCTAATGAGATCCGCATTGCGCTCGACGGAGCGCTTGATTGAGGCAACTAAGTTGGGCTGAAAACGTTGTCGTTCAGAAAGCTCTTGGCATCCAGCGAGCGCCCGGCATCTCCATGTCAAAAGGGCAGCACAGGGCGACGCGGCAGCCAATGGCGACTTGTCCTTGAGCTCGCCCAAGTACCTGGTCAAAATGTTAGCGCCCAATGAGAACCCCAGGGCAACAAGCAAAGTGTTTGGGTAGCTTTTGATGATGTGCTGCACGATGTCGCCAAAATCGTCCGTGTCATGAGCGCCGTTGATTTTGCTTGATGTCAGGGGCGTGCGCCCGGATCCCCTGTAGTTCATTGCGGCCACCGATACTTTTTGTTCCCAGTGGCCAGCAACTTGGCCATACTGCGCACATGGTGCTCGTAGGAAGATCCGCCGACACCGGGTATCAAAATGACAATGGGCCGAGTGCACTGCGCGCCTGGGCGGCGCTCGGGGTACCAGTCCAGTGACATTGTTCCCTTGTCGCTCATAATCATTGATTCGCGGTCGTATGTGATCTCTGACTGCGGCGTGCTCTTGAGAGCAATATTTACGCAGTATGCTGTCTGCAGCATGCCACCGCATAAGTATGGCGTGGGCACCATGGATGCTGCTGTGGGGTCCGTGAGAAGCGGACAGTGCGTTTCTAGCACTGTCTTGATGTTTTTGCACGTGTTTCCGCGAGAATCAATGACTGCTCGCTGAGCGAACTTCTCGTCGCTGTGGTCGTCTGCGATGAGCTTGAGCCGGCACAGTTTGACGTACTTGAATATTCTGAGAAGTAGAACCGCTCCTGCTATTATTGTGCCTAGTATTGGCAACGCGTTAAGGGCCATCTAAAGCAATATTAATAAAGAAGGTACTAAAAAACTAATCAAATAAAGATACGGACAATTGGTGCATGTAGGTGTATTAAAGTAAACTTCTGGTAATTATAGGCAAGAAAGGCAAGCGCGTGTGTATTTATTTTTTCAGTTTAACATTTATTGAAATAAACCCTACAAACTGTAAAAAAAACATGATAAAGGAATTGCTTTAGCATCTGTAGTGCTTGCTAGTAAATACTGTAAATACTAAATAAGAGTCCTTGTTGCGATATACGACAAGTGTGACTTGTCGGGTGATGCATGGCCGCATTTAGGAAAATCACGGCAGTCAAAACATATGCAGTACTTTTTGGTGCAAGGCTATGTGGCTGAAAAGCCAACTCCCTGTGTACTACTACTTTATTAAATAAAAAAAGTGGACTATTAATATACACATGCTTGGTTATTAATATCTACCAGACATTATATTCAAAGCAGGATAAATGCCACTCTTTATAACTTTAACGTGCAGTTTAACAAAAAAGGAACAGAGAAAGTTAGTGCCTGTGACTTAAAGTTGTTTCATGACAATGCAACATTGATTATAAAGAGCGCGTGGCGCCATTCAACATGAAAAAAGTGTAGTGACTGGCAATCAATAATAATAAATATTTCAATCAATACGTTACAATACTATAATATATATATTCAAGCACACTTGCACTTTAAATGAAACAAAACATTATGCAATACGTTACCACGGCGTAAGATCGAATGATTTGTCTTCGGTCCGCCATTGTATACGGTAGCGATCAATATGGTAATGCACATACGAGCCGGCAGCCAAACTAGCGGCCTCTTTGTGCGCCGGCAACGAGTTGACCGATCGAGCAATGTCCCTGCTTGACCACACGCAAGTAGCCAGGCAATTATTATCAGCGTCCAAATCAGTATACCAATAAACCAGCAGAGACCCGTTTGTCATTTGGTACGCCTCCTCATAAGCGTTTTTGTCGGCCATAAATAAATCAACATTATTGCAGTCCGCACGCCTCCTTGACCGGAACACTACAGCGTACCAGGAGAGCTCTCTGACGATCGCGCGATGGCAGATGCGCGTGGCTGTTTTGTAGTCGATTATATTCCTGAGAAATCTCAGACCAGTTGAAGCTCTGGGCATAATCGGCAGTGCGGAAATCGTCGCGGACGGTTTTGAGTAGCTTGAGCGATTGGCGTATGCGCTCGTCCTCTTTGGTCGGGGAGTACTTAAGTATCTTTTTGCCTGGTTTGCTGGCGTGGTGCTGAAATGGGCAGACAAGTGTGCTGGCGGAGGAGGCGAGACCGTCTACGACCAAGTGGTTTGCGCCGCTGGCCAACTGGTCTCTGGTCGGGTACGTGTCGGAGATGAGAACATACGACATGGAAAAGAATTAATAAATGATGATATTAATACAAGAGTAAATAGTTAATAGTTTAAAGTGTGAAATGATAAATGATAAATGAGCTTGGGACGGTTATTTGTAAAAAAAGTACAGTATTTGGATAAATGTTTGATGGGTTGAGCGTCAATAGCTGGCGGCGCGGTTTATATTTATATAGTCTCGGGCAGATGGTGTTAGTGACTTGAAATATATAAGCAAATTGACGACAGCACCGTTGACAGATGGTTGTAAATGTTTATTTTAATTTAGTTCATGGGCTATCTCTATCGGCGATGTGTCTGATCCAATGACAAGTTTTCAATTATCAGATATGGTAAAATTTGTGGCATCTATGGTGCAATGTTTTGGGCTTCTTAGTCATGTTTTTTCTGAGTTAGCCTATGTATCATCCGAATGTATATTTTTATTGGGAAGGGGCAGGATAGGGTGGGACGAGAGCAACAGGGGCAAATTGTATTTTCTGACTGGCGATTGCGACATTGCAGGTGATCTTTCGCGATTTTGCTCTTGTGTGGAATAACGCCGCATTGGCCAATGGTCTGGTTAATTGTGTGTATTTCGAAGAAATGAGAAAATTAAAGCGAAGATGTAACTTTTGACTTCCTTAATCCCAATCCTTTTGTATTTTCGAATTAATATCCACTTTCTTTGAAACTGGCACACAGCTGTGCATACAGCAGTCACACAAGCTGCCAAATAAAAAGGTGAATAGAAACCAAGTTGATGGCTGCAGCCTTGATGCGTTCAAGAGGTGGTGACGTGTTTCTTCAAAGATGTATCGAAAAAGCCTTGATCAGGATTTTTAACTTTGGGCAACAAATAAATCAAGCATAACATTAGATCACGCCCCTTCAACGACAAAAGAGGCGAGGCGCTCAAGCACCTATGCGATTAGGAGAGTAAAAAATAGCAAGCCACCGTTGCTCCTGCTGCCGCCATATACTAAAAGCGTGCTTCTACACTTTTGTACACGCGAAGCATTTGCCTGTCATCTCTGCCACAATTCACTTTCTTTTTTCTTTCTTTTTCATACACAGCAAACAGCAACCACTACACCCTCGCCCTTTTCAGTTTATCCTTTTTTATTTTAATATCCTTTTGTACCAACAGTTTTTATTTTAAGATTACAATGACAAAGGTGCTCATCAAGTGCTCGAACGACAAAAGGGTCAATTTGGAGGTAGATGTGGATACGACGACAGTTTTGCAATTGAAGGACCAGATTGCAGGCGAGTTGGAAGACACGCCGGCGGGGAGCCAGAGACTCATTTACGCCGGGCGCATTCTCAAGGATGGTGACTTCTTATCGGCGTACCAGGTGAAGGACGGAAACACAATTCATATGGTCAAGAGCGGGTCCAAGAAGCCGGCGGCTCCGCGGGCGGCGGCGGCCATATCCGATGACAGCGCAGCACCAACATCGGGAACAGCAGCGGCAGCACAGCCGGCAGCGGCAGCGGCAGCACAACCGGCTGCGTCAACAGCCCCAGCAGGTATGCCCGATCTGGCCTCGATGTTCGGCGGCATGGGAGGAATGGGAGGCATGGGGGGGCATGGGGGGCATGCCCGGAATGGCCGGAATGCCTGGCATGGACGGTCTCGGTGGCATGTCGCCTGAGCAGATGGAGCAGATGTACTCGAACCCAATGGTGCAGCAGATGATGGAACAGATCTTCTCCAACCCTGAGGTTCTGCGGTCGATGATCGACAGCAACCCGATGCTCCAGCAGCAGCTGACGCCCCAGATGCGCGAGATGCTCAACAACCCCGACTTCCTGCGCATGGCCTCCAACCCCGAGTTCATGCGCGCCGCTGCCCAGATGCAGTCGGCCATGCGCCGCCCGCAAGGAGCCGGGGCAGGAGCTGGAGCCGGAACCGGGGCTGGAGCCGGTTCTGGGCTGTACAACCCATGGGCGTCGACCCCCAGCTCTGATGCCGGTGCCGGTGCCGGCGCTGGTGCCAACAGCGGCAGCCAGCCGCCGGCCTTCAATCCGTTTGCTGCGTTTATGAACCCCGGCCAGCAGCTGGGGGCGCTGCCGGGCGCCCAGTCTGGGCAGGCCAACCAGTCGCCGCCCGAGGAGCGGTTCCGCGAGCAGCTGCAGCAGCTGCGAGACATGGGATTCGTCAACCCCGTGCAGAACATTCGCGCTCTGAGTGTCACCGACGGAAACGTACAGGCTGCCGTCGAGTTCTTGCTCAGCAGCCCTGACCTTTAAGCCCTGCGCTTAGCAAAGCGGCTTGCTCCTAATTTTCTTTCTAAATAATCGCTTATTTCTTTCTTTCTTGAGGGCGTCGTTGAATATTAATTTTATCGCCATTTTTCATAGTTGATTCGCAGTGCCTGAATACGCGGTTTGTCAGTTGATGCGTGGTTGCACAGCACGTGCCATATCTTTGAGACATTTTATGTCTCGAGACATCTTCAATTAATAAAGCCTTGGCTATGACTTGTCACCTCTTTTATTTATCTCTTCGTCTTTATATTATTTTTGTGCGCTCTTTCTTCAACTTGACTAAGACTAGCACAGCATAACTCATCTCGATGCGGATACCTCGGGCGACTATCCACGTCTTTGCTGCGACTCTGTCAACAATATCAACGCTATCCGGCCCCAAAGCTACGCTCGACGAGCTCGCACATTGGGGCCGGCTTGCGGCATCCACATACCAGCGCTTCGAAGACTGGGCCAACTGCACAGCCTGCCAGCATACAGACATCAGCAACATCACACTAGCAGCAACCTGGTCAACTGCGCTCCCGGCCTTCAGCCGCGGTTTCGTGGCCATCGACCACACGCGCACCCAAATCATCATTGCCTTCCGCGGTACCACTCACATAATGGACGCCCTCTCCGACGCCCAGATACTGCAGACCGCCTGGCCACCACCGGCAGCGGCAGCATCAGCCAGCACTTTGCGTGGTGTCTCGCGTGTACACATGGGCTTTCTTCTGTCGTATTTGTCGGCGCGACCGCATATAATTAAGGCGCTCGAGCGCTCAGCACACTTGGGTTACGCCGTGAGGTTTGTCGGCCACTCGCTGGGTGCTGCGCAGGCTGCGCTGGCATACGTTGACTACGGGATGATGCGGCCGAATGCATTGACTGGTTCTGATTTTGGTTCTGGTTCTGGTTCGGATGCTGCGGCGCTGGTGACATTTGGGTCGCCCAGGGTGGGCAATGCGCAGTTTGCCAGGCTGCTCAATTCGGGCAACGCACTGCGCGTCGTGCACGAGTCAGATATTGTGGTGCATCTGCCAAACTCAATCTACCCAGTACTGTACGCACACGGCGGCCAGGAGGTATGGGCGCTGGACAGCGATGAAGATGACTATGATGAGGACTCGATGACGCTGGTGTTTTGCGAGCCACCACCGCCGGCCGACAAGGACGATGACCCAGCACCCGATCGCAATTGCTCTGCTGGTGTCAGCCCGCTTCGCTGGAATATACAGGACCATATGGTGTACCCAGGCATGCATCTAGGCATTCCTCAATACTGAACGAATGCCATTTATGCAAAAAAAATGAAAAGGCAACTATTAAATTAAATAAAATTAATGACACCCACGTGATGTAAGCGACGCCGGCCGGCTGTCAGTATCTGTAGCCGCTAAAGACACCGTGGCAGGAATACCCGCAGTCATAACCGCAGGTACAGTCATCATCATCATCATCCTCATCATCTTCGTTGTCATCGTCATCGCTTTAATACTGGGCTAGCTCATCCACCAACGCATTAATAATTCCCTTCTTGTCATCGAGCGCCCTCTGCAGTGATCTGATATGGTCCCTATGCCGGTCAGAAAGCAAATTAAGCCTCCCAACCTCCTCATCCAGCCACTGGTTCCTAGCCTCCATCACCTTGGTCTTCTTATCTGACATGCACAGATGCTCATTCAGCTCACCAATCTGACCCCTCAGCATCGCCACCTCCGCATTGTGCCTGTTGTTACTGTTATTGTTACTCGTGCCAACACTCAGCCCTCCCATTCTTGCTGTTAAATTGTCGACATTTCCTCTGTTACGATGAACGTGTGCCACATCTTCCTCGTCCAAGTCTAAAAACAGCGTCACCACGGGTCCCTCGGCCCATGTCTGACACAGGGGCAGGAGGGTTGGCTGCTGGATTTGGCCATCTGTTGATGCAGGAACAGTGGAAGACATACCGCAGGTGAGAGACGCTGGCCGTTGGCCATCTGGGTTGCCCTTGCGTCTGCTTGTGTTGCGGTAGTTGTGGGCGGCCTTGAATAGAGAGTCCTGGCATATTGAGCAGACCACCTTTACGAATAATTTTTATATTTGTTCTTGTTATGTAAGAGGGGGGTGGGGAGCACTACTGTGATAGTGTTAAAGAATGGGTGCGAAATTATAAAGGTTTTTATTACTAGTGTTTCTAAAGTGCTATTGTCGTCAGCCTCGCCTTATATATATTCCTTGTCTTTGTGGCAGTCACTGGCAGTTGTGTGCTCCGTTTGCAAGAACTGGACCTTATGAAGTAACCCAGGCCTCTGATATGGAATAATTGGCATGTCTGTATTCTTGCGCCCAGCACATCCATTTCAGGACAGGCAGTATGTGGATGTCAATTGTGGCGCCTTATTTGGTACCCTGTAATTTGGCCCATATCAGATCCATCTGTTAGCTGACGAGAAGCTGTCTCATGATTTTCGCCCTCAGCGTCTACCTCCATATCCTCGGGCTGCGTAACATTGTGAATAAATAGAAGTGGGTGGGAGAATATTTGCTGTCAAGGAGGGCCGCGTTTATAACTCGTTTCATGACAAACATGGCTTGTATCTTATTTACACTATTATCGAATACAAATGTAAATAAGACACGAGCCAGTTGGACACATCTTGAACGCCTCAGCTTGTTTTTTTTTAATTTTTCTATGGACGCGGTTGATCTGAGATCACAGCCTAGTTTGTATAGGGGAGTGTCGCCACCAAGTTCCGGAGTAACGGAAGTGTGGTTATTTCTTTTTCAAAAACAGTAACAGCAACGCTCCGTCTTTTTTCTTTGCTTTTTTTGCCGCCAAAAAAGAGCGAATAAAAGGGAGGCATCTCGGCTCTGCTGCCTAAAAACCCCCTTTCTTTTCTTCTCTTTCTCTTTGATTTCCCTTTTTGATTTTTTTGGCTATCGTCATTTTTTAAACTACTGCAACTTTTAACCGTTTTTAGGCAGTAACCTCAGAGCGTCTTTTTTAAATATCACAAAGTTATTTAAAAAAGGCACTGAGGAAGTAAAAAATGGAGCTTTTATCAGCACTTTGCCGGAAATTTGGCGGAACAACCAACTGGCGACACTTTCTGCTCATCCTCGCGCTCGGACAGCTTCTCTCCCTCTGCATCACGTCAACATCAGTCCTGTCGAACCAACTGGCCAAGTACCAGAACGTTTCCATTCCCAACTTTCAGAGTTTCATGGTCTACGCGCTTCTGTTTATGTGTACATGCCGATAACCCTGGTGCGCCTGGGTCCGCGCAAGGTATGGACGAACATTAAGCACAGATTCCTCTGGTACATCTTCCTGGCCGCCGTCGACGTCGAGGGCAACTACTTTGTCATCAAGGCCTACAGCTACACGTCGCTGCTCTCCTGCATGCTGCTCGACACGTGGGCACTGCCGTGCGTCACTATTCTGTCGTTCTTTATGCTCAGGGCACGGTACCGCTGGATGCAGGTTGTTGGCGTGCTGCTCTGTCTGGGTGGCATGGGTCTTTTGGTCAAGGGCGACATGGACGCGGGAAAGAACTACAAGGCGCTGAATGCCCTAAAGGGTGACCTCTTTATGCTCCTTGGCGCCACCTGCTATGCGCTGTCAAAACGACTGAAGAGTTCATTGTGCGCAAGCGCCCACAGTACGAGACCGTCGCCTGGTTGGGGTTTTTTGGAACCATCATCAATGGCGTGCAAATGGGTATTATCGAGCACAAGGAGCTGAAAACCCTGGTGTGGACCAAAGAAGTTGTCAGGTACACTATCGGCTTTGATCTCGTCATGTTTGTCCTGTACACTACAGCGCCCTTCCTCTTCCGTCTGAGCTCGGCCACCTTTTACAACCTGTCCATCCTGACCAGCGACTTTTACGGCCTGATCTTTGCAAGGTACATGTTCCACGACAAGATCACCGCCATCTATGCCGGCGCCTTTGTAATGATCGTTGGTGGCCTGCTAGTGTATTACTTGTTCCCTCATGCTGAGCCCGAGCATCTGCCGCAGGTCATTGGGTTCCGCACACAGTTGCCTGGGGATCTGGAGATTACGGGCTCGGAGGGCATTCGAAGAAACGTGGGCAGTGGCCCGTTGCGCTCGCTTGAGGACGCGGATGCCGAACAAAGTGAGGTCGTGGGTGCTGATCAATGGGTGCCGCGGGTGATGTCTGACTATGACTCGGTCAAGAGCACTACGAAAGTGGTTGTTGAGACAGAGTCGTCGACTATGACCACTGGCACTGCTGTTGATGCTGCTCCGGTTGCCAATGTGCCTGGTGCTAACACTCGTGTATGAGCAGCAATCCCAATTGGATTCAGGTCAATATGATCCACTGTGTTCACCCAACTTTCATATATATACTGTTCCACCATTTTTCTTCCCTATTATTGTTGGCGAAGTTGCTGAGAACTGTATATAATAATAATGACCTTTACAAAAATATATAACATTCTATTGTTTTTTAGATTATTCTGTTTGTTATTTTCATGGTATACATGTATATTATTATTTGGTATTTAAAAATATTTTTCTTTAATGTGCCATAGCCTGGAATGCAAATTTATTTGTGATTTAATACTACACCTAATATTTTTTAGTGGAAAGCAGCAACGGCAGCGACAGCCATGACAATAGCAGCAAACGATGACGAGCCAACCGACATGGCACCCGAAGCAGCCTCAACGTTGCTCTTCTGCTCAGAACCGTTGCTCTTGGGAGAAGCAGATGCAGCAGGGCCAGCAGATGACGAAGCAGCGGGACCAGACTTGACACCCTTGTTAGGGCCAGCTGGGCTGTTAGTAGCAGCAGACTTCTTTCACCAGCGGCACCGTTGGTGGCGGGCTTGGGGGCATTAGCCGCGGGGTTGCTTGCGGGGGGAGCACCGCCGGCTCCGGGAACGGCAGGGGGTGCTTGCGCGTTGGGGATGATGACGCCGGCCGGAAGACCAGCGGGTGCGTTAGGCATGCCAGCGGCAGGGACGGCGGCAGCGGGCGCGGGGACGATGTCATGGTCGGCAGCGATCGCAACAGCGGCAAAGATGGCGAACAGAGTGATGGTGGTCTTAAACATTGTAATGCTAAAGTAGGTTATTGTTTACTTGATATTGTATGTTATTAATACAGTAGAGATGGAAAAAATAAAGTAAATGAACGGACAAATGAATTAATTAGTGAATACACGGGAATATTTTTGGTTAAAAAAACTTTAATATGTCGTCTTGGCAGCCGAGTCTTTATGTATAAAAAAATATCGACGATGCGTATAATCTTGAACTTGATGGCTTATTTTTAACACATTTTTTTCTTCGCAAGAATGCTGAATAATTTACATACACATACGGAGAGAAAAATAGAGACATATTCACCCCCGCATAATTACATTGTTCCTTTTTTACTCTTTTACCTTTCAAACATTGGCAGTAAATATTAAAAATAGTTTTATGGCGAGATAAAAAAGGGACATTGAATAAGCGGGTTGAGTGTCCAAATGCAAAATGATTTTTTACAGTAATTTGTCTTGGATGTTATGCCAAGCATATTCCGCTGGTTCTATATTTTTTATAGACCAAGGCCGATAAATAACCACCTTTATTTGTTACTGACGTTTTAAAATGGCTTGTCTCTGTTTGGTAACAAGAATGTTTGATTCCATATTTGGTTTTTTTGTTTTGTTTCACTCATGCGGTTACTCGAATAATCATTTGTCATTGTTTTATTATTAAAGTTATCTTTGTCGATATCCAAGACTGGTGCTATTTATAAGCCGTGCCGCAGCGACTTGTTTTTTCCATTGAGCTACTTGCTTACAATATTCAGCTGCGTCCCGGACACACAGGTGTCTTTAAAACATTTGCAAACTTGTCCAGCGCCCACAGCAGTACCCATTGGTCCACCCAAACCCGGCCTGCACTACATACTCGCCGCCGCCGCCCTGCTTGCCAACATCTGCCGAGTTGAACTTTTCAAACATATGCCCCGAGTCCGTCTGCCCAGGCAACTGATTTAGCACATTGGGAATTGATCCACCAGTGCTGTACCAGGCGCAGAACACGCTGTTGACATAGGACTGCGCCATGCATTCGCCAGTGCAGTATTGTTTGTGGCCAGCGCGCCCTGGATCGTCACGTACTGCAATGGCGGCCAGGCCATTGGCCAATCCCACTGCTGCCCGCTGTTAATGAGCGTCACGGGGATGCCACCGGGATTGTGCTTGAGAGTCTGACTAACGTACGTAAACGCACGCTGCGAGTTTCCTGCTGAGTTCTTTCCAAACGCCCAGTACGGCCACACAGAGGCCGGCGAAAATACGGTCGACCGCTTGGACTCCTCCAAAAAGTAGTCGTAGTACAGCCCCGTATCCGCATCATAAAACACAGTCTGCATGTCCCGGTGCCTCGTCTCAGCCAACTTCTTGAATTTGCTCGCGTCCTCGGCACCTTGAACAGCGAGGCAAATTCGGCCAGGTCTCTTCAACCTGGTACAGGATGGCGTTGAGCTCGACTGGAACTACCAAGCTGGTGCGAATCTCGTTTAAGAATGTATCTGCCGGTGCTGCCGTGTTTCTCACCCAGCGGCTCGAGTAATCCCATCCGCTCTCGGCGCCTGCTGCCATTTCAGCGTAAATAACAGCCTGGCGCAGTGGGTCTGACGACACATTGTGGGCCAACTCGTATCGACACTGTATGATTCGGGTCTCGGCTGATCGGTATCCACAATGTACCTATTGAGAGTCACATTGCCACCGGGCGTGTTCACTACGACAGCGTGGTTTTCCTGCCAGTACTGATGCTCCTTTATGAGCAATGGCATGGACTGGCGCACAAACTCCGAGTCATTTGTGTGCTCGTAGTACAGCTTTACCATTAGCGTCAAGAGGGGCGGTTGCGACCTATCCAGGTAATATGAGCGCGCGCCATTAGGTACAAAGCCGTAGATATCAACAAAGTCCAACAAGCACCTTATATTGCTTTTCGCCACTTCCTTAAGCCCCGACCGCAAAATGCCCTCCAAGGTGAAATATGTATCCCAATTGTATATTTCGCGGAATCTACCACCCGGAACCACAAACTGGTACTTCAAAGGCAGCATTGACGAAACACAGCCCTCGCACAGCCCAGAAAAGTCCTGTTTGCGAATCAGTGTGCCCCAGTACCCATTGACAGTCAACCCAAAACTGCGCAGCAACGGGTCCTGCACCGCGGTCAAAAACGCCGGGTGCAGGTCGAGCTCAGGCAGGTAATCGATTTGCTTGAGCTCCGACCCTTCTTCGCCAAAATTTTCGTCGACAAATGCTTGGAGCTGCTCGCGCGATGCTTGGATTCCGCCAATATTGCTGAATGCCGCCAAGACTTCTTGTTCGGGCTTTTTTGTGGGCTTGTCGACGAAGGTCTTGTCGTCTGGGTATAGCTTGGCCATTTGTACTGCGTGCAGGAGGTCGCCGTGGCAGTATATGGGTGAGTCGCAGGCTGGCTTGATTGCCTGGATGGAGATACTGAAGGTGCCTAAAAGCAGGCTGACCACTGAGCACTTGACTTGCATGGATAATTATAAGTAATTAGTTTTTAGGGGGTGGGTAATATATAAAGAAAATATTGGGTTGTAGCGAGAAAGATGCTCGGAAGAAATAAGTGAAAATGAAATTATTGTATTTAAAGCGTAGATTTTGATATCGGTGATACACCAAAGGAGAGAAGACAGACAGATATTTGTCTGATAACAAAATGATAGTTGGGAAATTGTGAACAATTACAATTTCAATTTAATTACACACATATTCACAGAGATACATGAGCTGGCGTGTGGAGAAGTACATATCATGCATGTTGGTAGTTTTAATTTGGCTGTTTTTTTTGTTTGCAGCAACGGCACGCATTAAAAAGACAGTAGGTTAATGAAATTGGGAGTAGCGCACATGGATTCTTTTAATTGTATCCAAACAATGAAATAAAATACAATACACTTTTGTCTATATCATTGGCACTGAATTGGCTTGTAGAGCAAAAGTGACCCCCAAAACACAATGTTGTTTTATTTTACTCTCTCCCTGTATGTGTACCAATCCTTATAAGCGGAGAAAAAGAGGGTCATAAAATAATACTGCATTGTGGAAGGGTAGAAAAAGAACATAAATTAAATAAATATAAAGTAATTTACGCCACGCACAACACGCTATTCTTTGGGAGCAGTAGCAACGGCATCGGAATCGGCATCGGCAATCCTTTTTTTGACAGCGGCACTGGCTTTTCTCCTCTGGGCGCGATTCTTAGTACTCTTGTTCTCCTTGGAAATGGCCAGCGCAGTTTTCGATTCACCAGTCAAACGAACCGTATGGTCACTTCTTTGCATACTTTTCTGCGCAGACGTCTGAGCATTTGTCGACACAGGCAATGAATCCACCGATATTGTCGTAGTAGGTGCCTTCGCTGGTGCCTTCGCTGGTGCCTTCGCCGGTGCCTTCGCTGATGCCTTCGCCGGTGCCTTCGCTGGTGCAATTCTTGGTACCTTCTTCGCCGGTATAGCTGCCAGTACATTTGTATGCGTCATGTCCAGCAAGGCCTCCTCGAAGGCCTCAATGTCAATCAGCGAGTTCTCGTCAGATCAACGGCCCTCACAAACACCTCCTCCTCAAGCACTGACTGTAGCACCGGGAGCAGAATGCGATAGGCAGGGGCCCAGACATCCGCAGACTTGAAGATATTCGCCGACGGCTCCACCAGCAGCCGCTTAATGGCACTATGTCTGGAGCCCGTGCGCCTGGGCTCCAAGGCCCAGGCAGCCCTGCGCATCTCCCACAAAAATCCCTCGACCCACTCGGGCGGCGCATTGCGGCCGCAGTTGATCTCCAACTCGAATGGATCCTCGATGGCCAGGAGCCGCAGGCTGCGGTGCCAGTTCTCTGGGCTAGTCAAATGCATAGTACACGAGGGCACCTGCAGCTCCGACAAACTGGTGCGCGGAATCGACGCAGTACCGAGACGCGGCGAAATTGCATGGTTGATAGGATCAAACTCGTTGCCGTAGAAATGGAACAGCTCGTGGATTAACTCCGCCGCAGAGCTGTCGTTGGGGCTCTTCCATGAGTTGCTAGAGCTGTTGTTCATAAAGTAACCCCGAATGCCCTCGACCGACCAGTCCGGCAAAACCTTGCCCGAGTGCAGACAGCAGATGCCATCAGTGTTGCTGGACTGTTCGTCCAAGGGCTCTGTCTGGTACATCCTGGCGATGGCCTCGGGGTCCGCGTGTAGAGCATCGAGGTTTGTCCACATCCGGTTGCCAACCTTCGCGGTTGAAATGAGCTGCAGCGGTGGGACTACGCGGCGGCTGACAAGAAAGGCAATGCCCATCATCATTAGGCCGAACGAGTTGAGAACGTTCTGGTTGATGATCCCGCGGCGAATGCCCCAGACCTTAAGCACCAGGAGCACCTCGCGCACCCTGCTGTCAATCTGCATGTAGCTGGAGATCAAGTTGGTCTTGGCCACGCTCATGCTGCCATTGATCGAAATGTCGCCCTCCAGCCGCACATTGCCCCTGGTCAGGTACTCGAACTTGATGATGGGCACGCGCGCGTGCATGATCTTGATAACCTTGGTGAAGCCTCGGTCGCTATACAGCCCCTTGGCTAAGTTATGGAAGAACTCGACGTGCTTGACCTCCGCGTCCTCCCCGGGCACCTTGACAGTGAGCAGCACATCAAGATCGCTCGAGTTCATGCACACCCGTAGCTGCGCGACCCAATCAGGCCTGTGAACGTCTTGCACGCGGGTTCCAGCGGATGGCCGTCGACTGGATCAGCTTGATCAGCTTCTCGACCTCCTGCACGTTGCTGTCGCTCGGCCGCCACTGCTCCGACAGCTCACTGATCTCCGCGTCCATGGCTGCCAGCTCATCATTGCCGCCGAGCATCGTGGCAGCGGAGCCGGCCTGCTCCAATGGATCCAGGTACCGCGGCTGCGACTCAGCCAGCCGCATCGTAAACACGCGCTCGATCTGGCTGGGCGCATCTGCCTGTTGCTGGATTATTTGTTGGGCATATTTGCCCTCGCCCTTCTCTGTGCGCACATCGATAGTCTTGGCGAACATATTATCCTCAGCACTCAACACCTCAAGCACCCTTGTCGCAGCCTCTCTGACAGCCAAAGCAGTCGGTCCTGGTACTTTACCCCTAGAGGTCCTCGCTGTTGCTTTTATATTGCTGCTGCTGCTGCTGCTAGGTGCTTGGCAACGGTGTGTAGATCGAGCCGCAGTGGCTGATTTGCAGGTTTTGCGGACAATGGCTTGCCGTGTGCAGCAACGATCTGAGCGACTGGGAGTAGAGTCTGGTATTGCTCCTGTAGCCGTGTGATTTTGGTCTTTTTGAGCCTTATCGCATTGAAGAGCTCGCCAATGTAGGGGAAGCGTTTGACGCCAGCGACGCCTAGGCCTTGGGCGAGTTTTGTAGGGGAATTCATGCTGTGTCTGTTGCGTTTCCCTCTACCCATGGGTATGAATATAATGTGAGAAATAAGTTGAAAAGGGGGAAAGAAAAGAATGTGAATTTGGGTTATTTTGTAATGCAAATTGAGTGGTGGAAAAAATTTAGTGAAATGCAATTACTCAAAGTGAGAGGGTTGGGAAAGCACAAGAAAAACCAACCTTGATCGCAACCGCTTACATTCTTGACATACAGGTTCTGTTTCCAATTATTTGTAGCCTTTTTTAAAAAAGAATTGGTGCTCAGGGAACCACGCAAATATAACAGCAAATATGAGTGCCAGCGGCGGATCAGTCAACCCAGCAGTCCAAGCGCTTCTGGCCGAGATCGCAGTAGCCAAGCTGCGAGCTGAGCAGCGGCGACAAGCCAAAGCCAAAGCCGACCAGCAGCCATACGGCGTCATCAAAGAGACCAACGGCGCCTTGGTCCTTCGGCTGCCGCCACCACCGCCAGCGCCGGCGCCCTCAGACTGCTGCCACTCCGGCTGCACGCCCTGCATTCTCGACACATACCGCGACCATCTGCACGCACACAACGCCGAAGTCGCCGCGCTCCAAGCGCAATACCAGTGCGCGCTGCTCGACGACACCGGGCCGCTGCCAGAGCCAAGACACCATGTGCTGTCGCACTCGCTGCTCAACCCATTGAGGTTTGCAGCCGTGCGCATCATCCATGCGCACAGTATTGGCGCCCGTGGCCGCCTGCTGGTGCTGGAGGCCACGGCTGCCGACTTTGCGCTGGCGCCAGGTGAGCACATCCACGTGCGCGCACAGCCAGGTGCAGTCGCCAAACCCATAACCAAGCCATTCACGCCTGTGATGATTGTGGCCGCCGACGGCATCGTGCGCCCCCACCTGTTCGTGCGGCTCTACGCCGACCATGCAATGTCCGCGTACCTCGCTAACCTGTCCTCTGGCGACCAGCTTGCGGTGCGAGGGCCTGTGTCGACGCCCGAAAACATGACACGCGCACTCTCCGCGCCGCTCTGTCTCCTGGCTGCCGGCGGCTCTGGCATTGCGCCGATCTTCCAGCTGCTGCAATTCGCCCACGCCAACTGCGCCTACCGACAGACCCGTATTGTTTTGGTGCATTGTGCCCAGGACAGCGAGTCTCTGTGGCTGCGCGCACAGGTCGCCGAGATGATGGTGGATATGCCGGCGCTCGAGTACGTGGCATTTCTGTCAGAACAGCCGGAACAGCCGGAACAGCCGGAACAGCCAGAAGCCTTGGAGCTGCGGATGGTTGGCGCAAGGATGTCGCTGGACGGCATCCGATGGGCGGTTGGAGGTAATGTCGGAGCCGAGGCGCAGGCCGTGGTATGTGGGCCTGGCGTGTTCAACCAAGACGTTGCCCGGTGGCTGACTGAGTTGGGATTTGCTGGAATCCAGACACTGTAAATGTAATTTTTCCAAGGGAAAAATTCAGATCAAAGAGATAGTGTTGGTTGTGTGAAACAGAACATGTTTTCTTTTTTGGAGTGGACATGCATGTAGCGCTGGATGCAATGCGGGTAACATGCAAGCTGCATCTTTACATGTATTTATATGCATTTATTGCGTATATGTTTGTTGAGTAATGTTATCCATAAAAACAATAGGGATGGTTGGCCCTCTTGATAACAAAAAAATCAAACTGTTTAAATTCAACTTTACTCCCTCTTTTCCCTCTTTTTTTGTTATTATTATTTTTCCAAATGCGATAAAAGGAAATATTTGTATCCATTTTCGGAATGAGAAGTAGATTTTTTATAAAATATATCGAGATTTTCGTTGAGCCCAGAAAGTGTTGAAAATGGTTTTTTGAACTGGAGAGAGAAAAAAAACAGCACTCGATTCTTTTTTCTTTTTCTCATTTCCATTTGTCTTTTTGTACTATATTAATATATATATTTCCCTTTGGTTCTCTATCACACACTTATCTTGTACCATTACCTGCATAGAGAACAAACTGTATAATAAAAAAGTGCCAAGTTAAACATTCCCATCCTATCTCATCTGTCAAATCATCTCACATCTCTCTTTTTATCCCCCCCCCCCGCACACAGCATACTCAATCTGACCGACTGCTTTTTATTATATTTATTGTTTCTCCGCACCAATTTTCTAAAACTTGGGCTTGTTATTGCTCTTGTTTGTCCACGCTGCCTTTCTACACTGCACTGCACTGCACTGCACTATACCACCATTCACTAAATATTAGTTTTTGTGGACGCACAGATAGTTTTAGAATATAGTAACAAGTCCAATATCACCATTATCTCCCATCTCTCATCAGCCATCAGCCATCGTTGTTTCTTTCTCTATTTTCTACTTTTACATCTTTTTCTTTACTCTCTTGCTCACAACCGGTCTCAGAGAGTAAAAAAAACCATGGATGGGGCGCTCAACGCCATTCACATTGTCAGGCTGTCCTACAGCTGGCTGTCCTCGCTGACCTGGTACGTGCCCTTGGACACACCCCTCTCACACAGGAGCAGCAGCTACGCCAGCAGCAGCTTTGCCTCTGATCCGGACGACAAGGACCAGTTGTCCTGGGCCAACGTAGGCGTAGCAGCGTTACTCTTGGGCATCAACGTGGCTCTGTCCACATGGCTTGGGCTGGGCCTGAGCCGCAATCTCGTCGTATCCGCCACACGCTGCGTTGTGCAACTGACGCTTCTGGGCATGGTGCTCAAGCAGATTTTCCTGACTGAGAACCCAGTGTATATACTGGGCATGGCGCTTGTGCTGGGCACACTCTCCGCCGTCGAAGTGACCTTTTGGCGGGCCAAGCGGCGGTTCCCAGGCATGTTCCTTGGCACACTGCTCTCGATCCTCGGTAGCGCGCTCAGCGTCGGGCTCTTCGGCAACGCATATGCACTGGGCATGGATCCAGCATACACCGCGGTCAAGTTCATACCGACCATCGGCATGCTTTTCGGCAACTGCATGATCGGCGTCACCATCGGGATGAACTCTGTCATGGACTCGCTGGACGCCCACCGCGACATTACCGAGCTGATGCTCTGCTACGGCGCGTCGCGCTGGGAGGTGATGCGGCCGATTGTGGTCAAAGCCATGCGCTCCTCCCTGCTGCCGACCATAACCAACATGGGCATCACCGGATTAATCTCTATTCCCGGAGTCATGACTGGGTGGATCCTCGGCGGTGCCGACGTGCTGCAGGCCGCCAGGTACAGCAGATCATTCTCTTCATGATCTCCGCCTCCGCCGCCAGCAGCTCCCTACTTTCCACCATCTTCTGCGCCTCAGTCCTCATTGACCGCACACCACGCTTACGCCTAGACCGTCTGTCTTCCTCCGACTCGTTCTCCTCCGGCTCTGCCGCTGATCACTCATCCAAGCTCTCCAGCAGGACCTCTTCCCGTATGGCGTTGATGCGCTCCACATGTCGTCCGAAATCAGGCCTCCTCTCTGTGGTGTCTTCTCGCCGCTCTGCGAGCACTGAGGCCTGATGTCAACGTGTAACCCGACGCCCTGCACTCCTCGATCGCTGAGCGGACAGCCGTGTGAGCAGGAAACTACCTTGTGTCTGCAGTGTCCTCATGCTGGCGATCGTGGCGTGGATGTGCGCGCAGAGGCTGAAAGTACATGCTTGCTGTGGAATCCTGATCGCTTATCGGCGTACCCTCAGCACCCTGATTGCCTCAACAGCGCGACACGGCGTAGCATTGGCAAATAAAAAGCACATATTCTGGTTAGATAGACATAACCTATTTTAGACTTAATAAATATCAACCATGTACATTTTGAATTCCAATTTTTTTGTTGAAGGGGCAGTGCAAATTTACACGTGAGGCTTGCCCAAACTACAAGTCGGTTGCACTGCTCCTTTATTTTGTTAACTCGTTAAAAAAATAGATTTAATTTTTTAATAAGGACAAACTATTTTTTTCGCCACCCCCTATTTCAATTTCAATTATTATCCACACTTCATATCTATCTGAAGGCACTAGCACTCCCATTAAAATTATTACTATTTGAACAATATGGCCGAAGCCAGCAAGCCCGGAGGCTACGGCCAAAGCGGGCGCCCGCCAAAGGTATGCCAAAGCCAGCCACACCAATTTAACCCTTATCGGAAGCCCCATTTCTGTGCAAAGCAACACTTCTACTAACTCTATATTTCGAATTTCTTATTCCATAGATCAAAAACAAGAACGCTGCGGTTATCCAGATCACAGCCGAGCAGTTGATCCGCGAGGCGTACGAGCGCCAAGGCACAGTGCAGAAGGCACCGCGGCAAAAGGTGCTTGATGGCGAAGAGCTCAGCGACTATCAGATGCGGCGACGGCGCGAGTTCGAAGAGGGCGTGCGCAAGAACCGCAGCAACATCGGCGAATGGCTGCGGTACGCCACGTGGGAGGAGAGCCAGCAGCAGGTAGGGCGAGCGCGGTCAATCTACGAGCGCGCACTCGAAGTCGACAGCCGCAACCAAACCATCTACATCAAGTACGCCGAGATGGAGATGAAGAACAAGAACACAAACCTGGCACGCAATCTCTACGACCGTGCGATCACCGTGCTGCCGCGCGTCGCGCAGTTCTGGTACCGGTACACGTACATGGAGGAGCTGCTGGGCAATGTCTCGGGCGCGCGCGAGATCTTTGACCGGTGGATGCAGTGGGAGCCCGAGGAGGACGCGTGGAACGCCTACGTCAAGTTTGAGCGCCGCTATGCTGAGGTCGACCGCGCACGCGCCATCCTCGAGCGCTTCGTCTACGTGCACCCGCAGCCCAAGTCGTGGCTCAAATGGACGGCCTTTGAGGAAGAGCTGCATGAGTACGACCGCGTGCGCCAAGTCTTTGGCTTGGCCATCGACCGACTCGGTGAAGCCTTTATGGACCAGCACGTTTTCATCTCATTTGCTAAATTCGAAGTGCGCATGAAAGAGCACGAGCGCGCGCGCGCTATCTACAAATATGCGCTCGAGCGACTGCCCAAATCAAAATCACAGGCGCTCTACAACCAGTACACGCTGTTTGAGAAGCAGTTCGGCGATCGTGAGGAGATCGAGAATGTCATTGTAACAAAGCGCCGCATGCACTACGAGGCGCTGCTGAAGCAGGACTCTAAGGACTACGATAGCTGGATTGACTACGCAAAGCTCGAGGAGGACGCCGCTCAGACAGATCCGCTGCTGCCAGAGTCCGTTGACCGCACGCGCGATGTCTATGAGCGCGCCATTGCGGAGTACCCTGGGGTGGCCGAGAAGCGGCTATGGCGGCGGTACATTTACCTGTGGCTCAACTACGCGCTCTTCGAGGAGATTCAGGCCAAAGACCTGCTGCGCGCACGCCAAGTCTACCAGGCCTGCATTGACCTCCTCCCGCATAAGACCTTCACCTTCGCGAAGCTCTGGCTGCAATACGCGTGGTTCGAGATCCGCTGCCTGAACCTCACCCAAGCGCGCAAAGCCCTGGGCCGCGCCCTCGGAACCTGCCCCAAGGACAAGCTGTTCCGCGGATACATCGAGATTGAACTAGAGCTGCGCGAATTCGACCGCGTCCGCACACTCTACACTAAATACCTCGAGTTCAACCCGACCAACTGCGCGACATGGATTGAGTTTTCCAAGCTTGAATCAGCCTTGGGCGAGAACGAGCGCTGCCAGGCGATTTTTGACATGGCCGTGGAGCAGCCGACCTTGGATATGCCCGAGGTACTGTGGAAGGCCTATATTGATTTCGAGTTTGACCAGGCGGACTACGATAAAACCCGCTCGCTCTACGAGCGCCTCCTCGACCTCACTCACCACGTCAAGGTGTGGATCAGCATGGCGCACTTTGAGCTCGCCGTACCACATACCACCCAAGACAAAGAGCAACCCTTGGCCCGGGCCAGGGCAGTTTACGAGCGCGCCTACGCCAAACTGAAGAAAGAAGGTCTCAAAGAGGAGCGCCTAGTACTGCTGGATGCTTGGTTAGAAACTGAGACAGAGCGCAGTACCAGTGGTGGTGGAGGAGACCCGGCGATGGTCGAGCGCAAGATGCCAAAGAGAGTGAGGCGCCGCAGGGAGGTCGCTGATGGGTCGTTGGAAGAGTACTTTGACTATGTGTTCCCTGATGACGAAGAGCAGGGTGCCAGGTTCAAGCTGCTGGCCAAGGCACATATGTGGAAGCAAAAGGCCAAGAGCACATCGGAATCTGCTGCGCCTGATGTGCCTGACGTGCCTGCTGATGCTTTGGAAACTGAGTCGAAAAATGGCTCAAAGGATCATTCGGAAAGCGAGTCGGAATGATACGGATGGTAGCTTTTATGTATGTATCAGTTTTTTATTTAAATTTTTACTCATTTGGTCAATGATGCATGTGGTGGCTCATGTAAAGTATAATTGAAATTCATTCATTCATTCATTTTTATTTTTTAGTCACGTTTCTCCATTGTTACTTTGGAAAAAGAGGGAAATAATGAGAATCTGAAAATACATTGGTTATTACACATGCTGAGCCTTTTTTCCACAAGGTTTTCTATTTATTTTATTTTATTTTGCGTGCGCAGGCAAATTCAACAACAATATCGTCTGCATTTAACACAAGAACCCTCGAAGACCCATATGCTCTTAGCAAATGGACAATAAAAAAGAAAGAAAATTGTAATGAGGCGTAGATATAGGATGTTGACAGGTTTGATAACTTTGTCTTGAATAAAAAACTTGCAACAATGATCATTGTTTTTATATTTTATTTCGTTTTGGAACCCGCCCAATGTAAGGCAAAGATAATTAATAAAAATGACATGACGCCTAATCAAAAAAGGGTATAAACAAAAACATTAGCAAAATACCTCGCACACTTGCAAAAATAAATTTAAACTAGTAATGGTAATTCAGCTTGGTATTGAACATACACGCATCAATATGAAAATACTTTATATGTTTATATCAAAGCATTTTTTCCTTTCATTAAACTTTTTCGATTTTGATTTTTCCAATACGTAATTTTCTTACAATTTCTTCCATTTCTTATCTCCTACAAACCTATCATGGATATGAACACACTCCATCTGCCGATACACCCGCAGGAGCCGCCACCAGCATTGATATCCGGCGCTCGGTTCGCGAGCATAGTGCTCAGCTGTATATCCACAATAGCATCGCTAGTTGTTATAATCTCGTATATTCGCTTACTGCGACAGTTCCGCGCCCACCAACGCAAAATCATCGACGCCAGCATGTGCCCTCCCACTGCTGCCATAAATCTGGCCGGAGGAAACTATGTGTCGGCGGCAACCAACGGCATACCCACATGCTTCTCTTGCGAATCCTCGCTGGCCACCCCACGCGTCACCAAATCGTTTTTCGCAAACAGCAACAACAGCAACAACAGTAACAACACCAGCAACACCAGCAACCCAACAACACCAACAACACCAACAACACCAACAACACCAACATCAACAACACCAACACCAACAACACCAACAACATGCCGCCACCACCCCTGCCTCTGCCGTTACCGCCGCACACTAATGAATTACCCGCAAATCTATACAGAAGCAGTATGCCGCCGCTATCACAGCAGCCATTAAGCGTCGGCACCTTGCCCAGGGTTAGTAACTCGCGGGCAACAAGTTTGGACAGAGCACATATGGCCTACAAGCGTACTAGCTACGCTATCAGCCAGCAGCTTTACGCGCAGTCAGTTTCCAGCAGATCGGCGGCCATAAATTCTATAGTGTCGGCGCCTGCATCAGAGGTTCACTCGGCAGAAGTACTTGCATCGGAGGCCCAAGTAGGCTTGGGAGGTGCTCGCAGCGAGGACTTTGGATCAGGTTTAATGCCAGCCATATTGCAGGTCACAAACTACAGCAATGCTAATATTGATGCCGGCAATATTGGCAAAACTCAGCAGCAGAGGCAGGCCGAAATTCAGCCAAAACCAACCTGGTGGCGGATAGTCAATGGCGACAGCGGCACCAACAACCTCAGGGGCAAAGGAGAACGCAGCACAATAGTCAGCTCAGTGCGATATGACATATTCGGGCGCGCCCGCAAACAACGTAAGCTACCGCGAATCCCATCGAGCAAGATAGCCGTGCTCTCTGGAATTGATCTCCTGATGCACTCACTCTGGATCATCAACACAACAGCGACCAAAACGGATGCCGGGTGCACCGCCTCCTGTTCTTCTACCACTGGATCCGACTATTCTACCTGTTCTTCCTCGGCTCCTTTGTTTCGCGCTCAACCATGCGGCTCCGCAACCTGCAGCCCATACAGCCGCAAGGGCAGCGCCGCACAGATATGATTTATTGCGTGTCCACGCTGGCCGCCTCACTCGTGCTCAGCCTTCTGCCAGCAATAATGTCCCGATCGCAGTATGATGACGAGGTCATGTTATGCTGGCTCGTCCGCAGCGACCCAATTGCTGTCCGCTGGCTGTGGATGACGTTCAACACGTGGGTGGTTCTGTCACTCATGTTCCTGATTGCAAACTCCATACACGTCGGTGTTATACTAACAAATGAGCGCAAAGACCTACTGAGCTTCATCACCCACCCAATGCTGCCAATGGCTTCAGGCGACCATCGCATTAGAGCCAAAGAGCTCGCCCTGCAATCGCTATTTATCTCGCACGCATCGGGAGCCAGCACCATGGGGCGCTCTCAGCAGATGTTCGGCGCCGGCACACCGATGCAGTACTACTACGCAGGAAACCACCACATGGTAGTCGCCTCGGGCATGCGGTCCAAACATGAGCATGCGGCTTCCAGCGACAAACCACCGAGCAATTTGGCAGCTGGCTTTGGCATCAAGGCCACGCCACTAGCCAGCATAGATTTGTTTGCGGCCAGAGAGCAGCGGGCGGCGGTATGGCTGCAAGGGGAGCTGACGCGGGCAAGCGGTACTCGAGTCCGCTGGCATATCCGCCCACCCACCCAGTTGCACTTGCGCACGAGGCCCTGCACGGACGACGACCCGCAGCATCTCCAAGCACGCAGAGCTTTGCCGCGCCGTGCAGCTGCCACAGCAACGCGCAGACCACAGGGGCGTGCGATGTGTGCAGGCGCGCTCTCTGGTATCCGTGCCCCATGGCAGCACACGCAATAGCGAGGCGCTGCAGTGCTCCATGTCCCAGTACGCAATGGGCCGGACGCGCCAGTGGGCTCATGGCAGCAGCGGTAGCAGTAGCCGGCTCAGCAATGGCAGCAGCATCGGAATACACAGAGGGCCAACACTGAGCGCGTCAAGACCAAGCAGCATGTTTCTGGCCGAAAAGCAGGCGCGTGCATCAAGCCATTTGTACATGGGCTCAGGCCTACTGGCAGCCAACGACTCAAAGTCATCCCGCGTGTACTCGCTACAGCCGTGGGACAGCAGCCAGCGCCTAATCCACAAGCACTCATTCAACTCATCTATTGCTGCGCCAACGGAATCCGTTGGGGCCTCGGCTGACCGCCGGCCACTGTATGGCTTTTATGCCCAGCGCCCGGTGGCGGGTCACAGCAACTTAAGCAAGGAGGCCAGGCTTCATTGCGCGCCAAAACACATGTCCATGCCCATGGCCATCAGCAGCACCAGCCGTCTGAGCAGCGAGGGCGCAGTGGCGCTGTGTTTCCCTGGATTGACAATGGGCAAAGGCGGCCGAGCATTGCCGCTGCCGCTGCCGCTGCCATACGCCGGCAACATGCGCGCCAGAACTCGGTGCCCCGAAACTACAATTCTGAGCAAAGTATCCGTCAGCAGCCTAATAACACGCAACCACAACCAACCCCGCGACGCAAGGCGCCCAGAAGGCACTATTGCTCTATGGATCCCGGGTTCTGGCTGCCGCTGCGTCCGGTCGCTCCATATGCATGCCGTCGATACACGAGGACTTTGTCAGAGCCGATGACAACGACTCTATGGCCAGCCCGTCCATTTATGCCCAGTATCCCGGCGAGTACCGCTGGCGCACATCGTCGCCGTTGTCGTTTGCCTTGCCTTGGATAGATCAGCAGAGTATCCCATGCCAGGAGCTCCCGACCCTGCCGCCCATACAGATGCCATCACGGCGCCAGCAACATTGGCGGCTCGCACGGCTTCACCCCGGGCACAGATCGCCGCAGCCCAGGCAGCCCCTGAAGCCGACAGCCAGCGGTTGGGTTTTCACTTTCAGCGTGGCTTGCCGTCGCCTTCTGAGCACCTCATTCCCGCTCTTCTGCCGCCAGCACAAACCGCACGGCCAAATGCAGCGCATCGAGCGCCGCGTCCACACATTGGTCGCCACTGGAGCCCTGCGAGTGGCTATGCGAGCAATGGTTCCCTTGCTCACCCAGTTGTGCATGGTAATCTGGTCCACCATGCACTCCTTGATCCCCGTCAGCAGCAACAAGGACAGCGTGCTCTACGCTGTGGCCATCCTGCTGCTCTCGCTGCAAGGGCTCTTGGACATGGCACTTTACTTTATTTTTGATACGCACTCGCACACGTCTGAGGTCAGTCTACCCAGCTACAATTACCCAGTGTTTTCGCCCAGCCATCCAGCTCACACAATGTCCAACAGCAAAAATGGCAGGTCGCCCGACGCAAACTGTACGCGGGCACACCGTCCTTCATTGCAGAACCTCCCTGGCGACGTGTATTACGGCTCATCCATGTCTCGCGACTCGCACGACGCTCACCTCAAGCATCACCTCTACTATTGCCAGCAACAGCAACAACAGCAACAGAATCGCCAGATGCAGTGTTCGTCGGCCGACAAGGTTTGCCAGCAACCTCTTTCTCCGCGTCACTGGGACCCTCGGCATGTGCACAACTTTTACCGCCGCTCAAACTCAATCACCTCTCTAGCTAGTAGTGGAGCCAGCGGGGATATAAGTGGTGACAACGTTGGCGGCAAGACCGTGCAGGCAGCAATCAATGCGACAACCAATGCTGCCGACCGCAAGTTCACATTCAACATTGACAGCCTCAATATCCGCCGCGTGGACCGTACGTCCAATGCCATGCAGTCGGATACATTGCACGGCAGCGACTCCATGGCTTGGTCTCATATCGACGGGCTTTCCATGCGCGATGCTAAAAGCAGCATCTCTATATTGTCCGCTACTGCACCGGCACATAACCAGCACCACCGTCCGACACTCAATGACTGGGAAGAGATCGAGCTGGAGGACATCGCTCACTCGGGAGATTACCCTCCACGCGCAGGAAACCAGAGCGACTCCAATATTGGCCGGCGGATATGTAAATAGACATTTACATTGCAATAAACAAAACATAACGAAACAAAAGCTTTAGTACAAGACGAAAAATAAAACATACTCTAAATGATAATGATATACGAAAACTGAAAACCTCGCAGTATATCTTCAATTAGGATTCGCCGGGACGGCCGTAGTAGCGGAGGTACGAATTGTACAGAATGTACTGCATTGGCTCGCTCAGCACACGTTTCTGCCTCTGCTTGCCATTGCTGCCATTGCTGTTGCCGCGCTGCTGATTATGGCTGCCACCTTGCATATGGCCCCGCTGGCGCAGCTGCGCCGCTGACGAAGACGATGTCATAAACCCATGCAGTATTGCCTGCTCCCTGTCATCATCGTCATCGCTGTACTCAAGGTCTTCGTTACTCGAGTCGCTTTCGCTTTCGCTCGAGTCGCTGACTCCTCCACCCCGCCGGCTGTTATGGCGGCTGATCGGCTTCCCTACACTATTGCTGAAGCGCTGGCTGTGCACGCCAGATTCTGAGAACGCCATCGACGCCTTGGCCATTGCTCTGAGAGAGGACAACGCGAGCGACGAGGTCGGCCGCATGGGACACCGACTGAGAATGTCCCAGTAGTCCAACTTGCGGTTCCCCGAGTCAGGACAATGCTGTAACCGTTGCCCTGGCTCGCCAAGCTCGTATATCCAGACTCTGACTTTGAAGAGAACCAATCTCCAAGAGTCACCAACGAGCCCATGCTGTGCGACTGCAGCAGATAGCTTTGACACTCGCTGTCGCGGCAGGCAGTGGGTGCCGCCGCTGACCCAGACCCATTGCCTCATCAACCAGGCTTCCGGCTGCGGTGCACTGGCCACACATGTACCCTCTGTTTGGCACTGTGGCATCCCTGGCCATGTTCCGGCTGGCCTCCAAAAACACTTTGCTCAGCTTTGGCATGTATTGCATGTTTGCACTGGGATCACTCGCCGCGGCCACCACCTGCGAACTTCGCCGCGACAAACGCTGGCATCGGACACAGTGGCCGCAGGTTCGGCATTCTCGTCTCCCATTACACACCCGCTGACTGCTATCTGCTGGTCCTGGTCGTCGCTGCCGCCGCACGCGCTCAGGTACATGTAGTCTTCGTAGTCAAACACGTCAGCATGGTCGGCCATCTCATCGCCGCTATCTACATCGTTGAGCGCGCTGTTCAGTCCCTGTACGTGCAATTCGTGCTGCCCCTCTGGCTGTCCTTCGTGTCGATAGTATCGCTTGGAATGCGCTCGCCTTCCGACAAAGTCGACGAGGACGCGCCTGACGAGATTGAAGACGCTGCAGATGACAGCGCGCTGGGGGGCGATGAGGCCAACACATCGGCCGAGCCGTCGTCTACAACCACATCAACAATGACATTTGGAATTTCAACCTCATCGGCTAGCGCCACGTTGGCTGTATTTGCGGCAGAGCTAGTTGGATAAAGCCTCTGCTCGAGCAAAAAGTCAATCGACTCTGAAAGCAGCCGGTTGCCTGTCAATTTCCCCTGGCTGCAGAATCGGCCATGCCGCTGTCGCCATAGAAACTTCTGCCAATGCTGCTATTGCTGTCGTCGCCACCCACGCAATTATCGATGGTCAGCATTTCGAGCCCTCGCGAAAGCTCGTCGCTGTCGACAGTGTAGCTGCTACAGCTGTCGATGCCTGTCGTGACGGTCTCGATCGACTGGGCCGCCATCAAATACGAGTCGGCGCGCGCCTCATCTGCGGGAATTTGCGAGTCCTCGGTGATCAGCGAAGCCGGTCGGTCGCCCATAAAAATGCGCTTGCGCTGCTGCACGCTGCCACTACTCCTGGCGCCCTCAGAGGCAATGACAGAGGTTGGCGTGGTGGCAGGGCTGGCAGCAGAGCTGACACCTCCACCGATGCTGCTGCGACGACGGTTATGGCGGCCGTTGCGTGACAGCCGCCGGGCCAGGCGCTGACGAATTTCAGTAATCCCGTACTACGCGCCTTGGGCACTCTGTTGGCGGCGTCAGCAGCTGTTTGTCCGACAAATAGAGTCCTCTGGTCGGGCCCAATACCATTTGAAGACGTGAAGTCGATGGGAAACATAAGCAGCAACGAAGATACATTGGTACTGGGAGACATCTGCTCGGCCAAGCTCATCTCTGGAGTTACTGGCATGGCCTCCTTGACACCGGCATCGTCCTTAATAGCGCCGTTGTCAGCAGCATTGGCCTCCTCGGCGGCATAAGAGGGTACTGGTGTTTCTTTGAGAATGCCAAAGCGCGAGGGCAAGTGCGGCATAGACGCAGACAGCTGAGCGGCTGATCCATGCACCATGTCGCTCTCCCCAGAGCCCACAGTCAGACCACCGGCTGCCATAAAGCGGCGCTCAATAGTCCTGGTGATAGCACCAATATCCTCAGCCGAGGGCATGCGCTTGGGCGACACTGCTACTGCCATCCCGACGATAAGTATCTGCTCCGCGTTGCTCGCGCTCTTGTTTCCCCTGCCGCGCGCCCAGCCAGGTGCCATCTGCCCATACCGTCTAAGAGACGCGCGCAAAAGACTGCGCGCCCCGGCCCTACGCATAACATGCAATTTCTCTGATCTAATCTCACCGCCACCGGTCTCTTGCTTTTCGCATTCCGACAGACACACCGATGCGCTCTTCGATCTCTTAATGTCGCCAATCGACTCTATAGTCGCCCTTGCGTCTCATTGGCAGGAGCCGCCTGGCTAACATACAGGTCCCGGTCGTGGTGCGAGACGGAAGGGAGTGATTCTACTGCACCCATGCTTGCTGAAACTAAAACTGACTCTAGCCTGATATGCGGCTGCTACTGTCCTGATACGAGGAGCTACTTGCTGGATCAATACAGTCTCTATTGCTGCTGTTGGTATAGCTGATGGCGGTAGTGGTGACGAAGGATTCTTGGTCTTGTAGTATGTTATTAGCCTCGTTGGTTTCGTCGGATGCCGCTGGTATTGGTTGCCAAGGCAGATCCAGCGCAACGTAGTCAAACTAAATCAAAATGATTGTGGAATTAGTGGCAAGTGTAATATAAAACAAGAGTGGCGGATTAAGTGCTGCAGTGCTTGTCAATAGTGTGATAAAATAAAAAAAAAAATTCGAGAAGCAAAAAATGTGGTGAATAGAATGGCGCGGATTGAAATAAAGAAATAATAAAGCCAAGTGATTATGATGTTATAGTGACGCGATATTATGAAGAATAGGGCCGTAGAGTAAATACTTGAAATGATATCAATAACTGAAAGTGTAGGAAAATTGGCAGCGTGTACTTATAGTGGTCTCGAACAATTATAATAAAAGTGGCAGATGAACATGACAAAATTGGTTGTTATTGTGCATAAATATGTATGTGTGCGTAAATGAGTATGCGTGTGGGGGGAGGAGAAAAAGGAAGAATGCAGGGACAAAAAATGCACAATAGCATGCGGTACTAATATATTACGACAAGAGCCTCTGACCAAGGAAAATAACAAAAAAAGGAGTAATTGGAATAACGTGGTGAGGGGGGAAATATATTGTATAATTTGTCCAAGCCCATTTTTATTGCGAGTAATATAAGGGTTGAATGACTATTGGCTGTAACTGTCAATTATTGAGCGGGTATATGATTTGAAACAAGATATTGGGACTAAGTATAAATCATAGAAAAACAGCAAATGCGGGAGATGTAATTAACAAACAGTCAGCACAGGATATTCCAGCCAAAATATATCATGTCGGGGTATTTTTTCTTCCAATCGGTTATTTGTGTTGCTTGGGATGCAGCAAGAATTGAATAAACACAACGGGAAATATTCCAATAAACATTAAATGCACAAAAAATAAATAATAAATATGGCCGAAACCAATGTTTCTGCCTCGATAAGACACAAAATATTAACACATAAAAAGAAGTATAGGGTCTAGTTTCAGGGACAGAGTATCCGAGCGCAGATATTTTGAAACTTTAAAAATCGGAACACCTTTTTGATTTTTTAAAAGAGGAATTATTTTTTTTGCGGGGAAGGGGGGAATAAAATGGATGACAAAAAATTGAGAAAAAGAAAGGTAAAAATTTTAATTCATAGTTATGTATGTTTTAAATCAAAGCTGATCAGCTCATTCTCCAAACATGTCATTTTATTTTAAACAGTGTGGCTGGGACGCGCATTAAATTGCTAAAATAAATTCGTGTGTAGTACACAGCTCAAGTAGTTGCCACAGAGAAAAATTTTACGCCATGTATTACTGCGTCTTTTCATTGACGAGTACTTTTTGCGGCGGTAGGATATTTGACAAAACAACTATTGCTATGAAAAAATTTTGACATAGATTTGCAAAAAAAAATACCTTTCAAGGCCCATTTCTGTAATATCGGCTGTCAACTCGATGGAAACAAATTCCTACATGAATGAAAATATAATTGAGAAACTGCATGTTTAGTGTAAATATTACCGTGTAAAATACGTTCCAAAGGTCCCAAGTTAATTGCTTAAAATTGTTGCAAATGTCTTTTCAATATGACCAACATATAAGCCGTTGCTAACGCCAAGTGAAAATCTAAATAAGTACCGTTGCAAAAAAAGAAAGCAAAAATAATATATTAGTATCGACGAAGAATAAAAATAAGAATAAAAGAATCTCATCTATTTTTTTTTACAAAAATTAGAATGCCATAAAAACATTGAGCAAATTCATGTCTCCAAAAGGAATTTTTCGGGAACGCCATACATGGAATATTAAGAGTGTGACGGCCCATGGCAAGAAATGCAAGAAACACACGAATCTTGCTATATAGCAGTAATGTGCGTAAATCAGCCTTTATATAATCACATACCTTCTTTCATATTTTATGAGCATATGTTGCCAATGTCAAAAAGCGCGATTAAAATGCCATTTCATTTCTAGATTGTATAATTCACAATGCCTTATTTATTGTAGGGCGTACCTGTACCTGTTCCATTGGCTGTGTCATTGGTTCATCGTCATGCTGCTCCAGTTGCTGCTGATACTGGCATTCCCGCTGCAGATTCTGTCGACGGTGCTGTATCAACGGGGTATAGATAGTTTCTACAACATCAGTAACCATTTCATTGCAATTCCCAGGGGCCACAGAACTCTGTCTGCGCGCTGCACCCTTGAGCACTAGAAATATAGACCACACACAGAGTAAAGAGATGTACACTGTGGGTCTAAGAAAGCTCGCTCTGGTAAAGGGCATACTGCTGATGCCGCCGCTGCTGCTGCTACTGCTGGCTGCTAGATGTCCGAGCGCCACCTCCTGCAACAGGTAATGTTGGCCCAAGAATATCGCGGGCATATTAGAGTATTATAGAGTAGGTATTAGGATAACAAATGCAAAGAATACAGAGGAATATATAATTAAAAATGAATTTGAAAATTGAATTGAATTGAGAATAAAGAGCAAGGACAAGAAAAATTGTTTGTTTTTCTTGTACCAATTTTTTTGGTTTTCTTTTTTGGGTCTGCTGAGTCGAGAGAATACACCTCTGTAAACTTTTTTCTTCCTCTTCTTTGTCTACCCCTTGAACAATTAAAATAGTGGCGAAAGCTCTTGTGATCGCCACAGTGGATTTGGGGGGAATGAGGGGAGAGTGGAGCCTCTCACACAAAAATAAAGAAAATAAAAGATGGGCACTGCCTGCATTCAGGTTTTCTGTCGATGCACAATCCATCTGCAGCTGCAATTGCAACAGATATTGCGTTTGGTATTCAAAAAATAAAAATAAAAATTTTTATTCTCATCTCGATTGATAATGGTAGCGGAAACAGTGCGCGAGATTAGAAAATCATGTTAGAAGACATGAGCGACAAGGCATTGTTCAACTGGACAACAAGCCTGTTCTTTTTGTTTTTTATGTGTGTGTGAAAAATTACTAAAATAGCTCTAAGAACAGCGGCACCTCAGGCCACAATTTCAGTAGCAGCAGCAGTGGACTTTGGCTTGGGCTTGGGCTTGGCCTTGACGGCTCCCTCAGCCTTGGGTGCCACGCGGTTAAGGTTAAAGCTCACAGGCTTGTACTTGTCTCTGATACCTGGGGCCAAAAAGCCTCTGCGCTCGGGATCCGCATACAAGCGCTTCATCTTGGTGGTCGCAGGCATGGCAGACTTTGGCAGTACGGCAAACTTCTCGGGATGCAGCAGCGCGCGCATGGCCAGCTTATTATGGTAAACACAGACGACCTTGCCCCCAATCTCCTCGACCCTCTTGATCGCCATCTGGCTAGCCCTCGACACCTCCAGGGTGATCGGTGTCGTCAAAACCTCCGACCCACGCGCAAGCAACGAGACACCATCGGTGAACCTGATCAAATTAGAGTCATAAATCTGCTTCAAAGTGATAGGCTTTGATGCGTCCAACCGGCCCGTGTTGATCCAATGCTGGATCCGATCGAGATTCAGCGGCTGCAGCTCGCGCCTGAATGCGTTCTTGAACCCGCGCTTCGGGAACACCCGCATAAGGGGCGTTTGGCCTCCCTCAAAGCCGGGGCCCGGCTTACCATTACCCGCACGTGAGTTCTGACCCTTTTGTCCGCGTCCACTAGTTTTTCCGTGGCCTGAGCCGTGACCGCGTCCCAGGCGCTTCTTGATCTTGCGCGCTCCTTTGTTGTCCCGCAGATCATTGAGTCCCAGCACTTTTGTTGGCCGTGTCACACGGAAGCCTTCCACCTGGTGCGTTGCTGCCGCCGGCGCACTCATGTGCAGGGCGCGTGTCGTTTGCATATTGCTGATTGTGAGCCGGCTGCTGAATTGCCGCTGCAGCTGGGCAAGTGACCGCTGGAATCCGCCTTCAACATGATTGACTTGCAAACGATGAAATATGAAAAAGGGGGAGCGTTTATATATAAAAAATAAGGTGAAATGCGAACGAAAAAGAAAGAAAAAAAGGGTGCCGATTGGCAATTTGAGCATTTGCTCTCTAGTTTGCTTATTTTTTCTTTCTCTTGTTATCGGTCAACGGTTAATTTGATCACGCTTGGACTTGATCCAAAAGGGCGGATCACCTTTGCAAGCTCTCGCATCCCCATCCCCCTCTCCATTTTGGTTTTCTGCCAGCAACAAAAGAAAAAACATAAAAAGCAAAACAAATCTGAAATAAAGTAGAAAAGAGAAAAACGGAAGAGCTGTTTATTTACATGTTACGATCGTTGCCCATTTGGGCCAGGGCCAGGGCCTGGTCCTTGTAGATGTTTCCGACCTCGCCGAAACGACGATTGCACATCGATTTATACATGTAATCCAAATCTTTCTTGCAAACACACCTGCTATTCATCTCAGGCTTGTTCGGGCAATGCGCATACCCAGGGTGATGGTATCCGATATCCTCGAACCAGTGGATCTGCTCCTTCTTCAACAGTATAGAAGCCGCCATCGAGTGCACCGGAGCATCGCCCCAGCGCTCATAGAAGAAGCCGCCGGCGCGATCAAGGTGCTGGAAATACGACTCGTATGCTTCGCTGCGGTAGAACGACAGGTCAACGATTTCAAAGTTGGACCAGAAATGGCACAGCGTGTACTTGGCCCTCTCGTTGACAACCCAGTGTATAAAGCTCTTGTCGGGCAGCAGATGCGGGTTCTCGAGCATCCACTCGCGCGTAGTCTTCCACAGCGTCTCGACAGTAGGAGCTGACTCTGTGGGCGTAATGGTGAAGCCGTAGATAAGATTGTTGTCCCTCATGTACTTGAATGGATCATATAGGATGTCGCAGAAGTACTCAACCCCTGGCTCGATGCGCCAGTAGTAGTCCAGATTTTGCAGCAGCGGGTGCTTATGGATGAACCTGACTGGAAACGGCACATCTCGCGGTAAGAGAAGCTGCCGCCGTAGAGATACCGATCCTTATTGCGCTCCAGCGCCTCCTTGACCTTCTCCTCCGTCACGTACGGCGACAGTCCCCAATGCTCCTGCGGCAACTTACCAAAGTACACTGGAGAATTGGCCACCGCGCGTACCTGCTCCTTGAACTCCTCGTAAAGTCCTCGTCGTTGAGGAATATGTAAGGGTACCCGTGGTTGCGGTTAAACCGGTCCTCGATCTGCCGGATGGTCGACCGCATGTCGTTCAGTTCCGAGTTGCGCACAAGAGCCACTAGAGCCGCATTCAAAAGCTTGCCGTCGTCCGATGCTGTGCCATTACCCGATTGCGCCCAGTTTGTGTTGTCTGACAAAGAGCCATTTTGTGACGAAGCCGCTGATAGTTTCTGGCGGATGGTTGAGTTGGATATGATGAGCTGATGGATGCTGAATATGCCGAACATCGCCACGACCATATACAGCACCCGCTTGAACCGTGTATTGGCCATTTCCTTTTTAAAGAGGAAGTGTAAATTCGTAAGAAAAAGAAGGGAGTGAGTAAAAAAGATGAGAATATTGAGGGGGGAAATGGAATGAAAGGGGTGATCAGTCGCACAAAGCAAAGTGGTTGCTTGTTTGCTGCTATTGTCCGCCGATGACAATGATAGCGACAATAAAGTAAATAGTACGTGAATAAGTAAATAAGTTTAAAAATGGCAAAATAAAGTAAAAATATTTAATGAAGAGAAAAGAGAAGGAAGAGCAGAAAAGGTGTGGAATATATATTTTTTTCATAAAAACAAGACGACAGTCCCCCAAAAATAAAAAAAAAGGTTGGTGTGGCTTTATACCCAATGAACGCGATTGTATAAAGAAAAAGTATAAAGAAAAAGTATTTTTAACAAAAAATATTTACAAAAATATGTCAAGCCAAAGAAACCAAAGAAAAGCGCCGCTTGCTATTTTTACTGCTGTGCCCACGCATCATGCCAAAGAGCGCATTGTCACAAAGTCTCCACATGAGAAGCAGAAATTAATGTAGCCTAATGCAGACAACCTCGCTATTGCTTTTTCTTTTTGGTATTCCGGTAGACTGATGTCATGCTTGTTGGGGGCAGGGCGATCAGCTACATGTCAGCCAGCCACTCCGAACCATCCATCCCATCGTCTTTCCATTAGAATTTTAGTGCATTTCCTTGTCCGTTGGCTCTGCGCTGGGAAATGGCGAATGCTGCAATTTGACGAAGGCGGCTTGCTCCCAACAATGTGCAGGTTCCACGCGCTCACTCACACTCACGCTCACTCAATAACACCCCCACCCCCACTATCAAACCACATCGCCCCCTTTTCCATGGAATGTTGTGGAGTGGCGCTGCTGTCCCTGACAAATCGGCACAAAAACCAGTCTCGCACACGTGTGCGGCCAAATATCTGCTTTTTCTTCTGCTTCCGCATTGCGTCTCTATTCGTCAGTAAATATTCGTAGCTGTCTTTCTGTGAAACAAAAAGATTAGTTGATTTGATTTGATTCAGAACAACTCATCGGGCAACACATCAGATCCGATTTCAACAATTGAGTGGCCAATAGCGAAAAAAAACTTTTTGATTGACTTGGAGATAAGCGTGAAACCGGTTTACATTTATTTTAGCGGTTCCGCACAATTCACTTTCATGGATCTTTTTTTTTTTTTAAAAAAATTTTAGCAGTCCACACAATAACCTGATACGTTTTTAGACCTGTTTCTGAGAAGGAAAGAGTATGATTCAGATCTGATCACGCCAGATTCGAATACCATGTCCAGAATTCCAACACAAAAACAATGATGCGCATTGCCAACTGGGCTTTCTCAAAACAGTACAATGCTCGGCGCCGGGACTTTAAGCAATTGGAGGATATCTCCGCTGTTTGTGTTCTACACGGAATAGGATCAACTTGTTGTCAATATATGAGGTGTTGAAGGGCAATCGGAACTCCACCAAAGCAAAACACCATTGATGAGAAAAATACACACACTCAGTCGCTATTAAAGTACTGCTAGTATCGAAACATCACATTTTTTCGATACCTGTTGCCTCTAGTTGAAAAAATAAAATAAAACAAGGTTGGGTGGTCTGCATATTATTACTACCAAACCAGTCTTTACATGCATTTTTTGTATTTTTTGTATTTATAACTTGTACAAGAGCACAGGTCGAAAATCATGAGAAAGAGTATACCGTGCCAAATATTTTGTTCATTCTTAATGCAAATGACAAACTGGATGATTTCTTTTCTAAGGAGTAGGGACTTTTTTCCCCAGTGTTTTCCTCTTTTTCTATCATGACCTTCTTTATGTCTGTCTGGCCATTACAAAGAAGGAAATTCCAACAAATTGATTTACAACGCTTCTTTGTTTGTTTTTGTTATTTGCGCTAAAATACTCTAACATAATCTATTAATTTATCAAGTTATATATTATTATGCAGTTGCCACTTGTATTTAAATACAAAAAATAACCAAAATAAGTATCTACATTTTATTTGTAAATATTTCTGATTTTACAGGCTTTTCCTAAATAAAAAATAAAAAGAACTCAGGCTCTATTTCAACCGCAATACCGGCATTTTCATTTTCCATCTGTTGATGCATGATGGGGGTAGTGGTGGTTTTTTATCCTCTGGCTTAAACCATTCTTCCGCACAAAGAAACATTAATTGCCAAAACAATATCAATGAAAAACTGTTTATTTTTTACGATTTAACATCTTGCATATGCCCGAATGTCCTCATATGTATCATCCATGCGATTGGCACACCAGCCTCACATGGATAAGAATAAAAATAAAAAATACTTGGGGGGGCGAAGGCGTCAATGCAATGTTGTGTATGCCTTGGCTTTTCAACCTTACACCTTTCACGTATCTGCAAGTACACAAGGTGGTTGACCTCAAAATGACCACATATATCAACCATGCTGTTGGTCTTTACTGTGTGCTCTTTAGGGTAAATATACGTGTATGTGCATTTTTGTATTGGGCACAAAATGTAATTGTTTAGTTTATTTGCGTCAAAATCCTAAAAAAACCCAAAAAGAATGCTTGTTTTTTATTGTTTTTATTTTATTTTATTTGCGTACTTTTTGTTCGGATATTTGCCCACACAGGTACTCCCCTCTCTTTCCCCCAACCTTAAGCAATTTGAACAAGAAACATACAAAAACAACATAATTATTTTAAAAAAATTCCCATGGACATAACAGATGATTATAAAAAACTTATTATTTCCATTTAAAGCAATTGTAGGGCCAAAAATACATAAAATAAAAATAAAAAAGGGAGTGCCAGTAAGTGTATTTGCAATTGACAGGATTAAAAACTTGAAATAAGAAAACCTGCTCTTGTATTCCCCTTTTTGCTTTCTTTTTTGTGCTCAGTGTCTTTCGATAATTGACAAAAGAAAAAGACCAAAAAAGAAGGAAAAAGAAAGCGGAGGTGGAAAAAAAGTCCACTCTTTGAAAGGAAAAAAGGGATAAAATTATGATTTACCTTTCAATGTTCACAAGAAATAATTTTTTTGAATTTTTTCTCAACATTAGGCACAGGTATTTTGCTTTAACCGAAAACCTGTAAAAGGAAGAAAAAATAAATTCAATTGGTTGGATAAAACATCGCATAAAAATAGGGGGGAAATAGAAAGAGGAAAAAATATTCTTGAGTGTTGTTAATATACCATTTTTATATGTACTCACGCGCCTTGGGTCTCCATTTTCCTTCTTGCCTTGGTTGAATTCCCAATTATTTCTACTCGCATTCCCTTATCGTGTTCCTTTGTCTTATTCTGTACAGTCCACAGTCTATATTGCACATAATAATATTAGTATTTTTATTACCTATTGGCACTGACTTTTTCCTCCTTTGCTATTCTCTGCACGTCTTTCTTTCGTATTCTACAACCCTGCGCCCGACAATTATTCGTACATATAATACGCCGCTACCATCACCATTACCTGTCTTTCTTTCTTTGTCATTTACTTTTCTATTCATATATATAGCCTTGGCAATTCTCTGATTTTATATAAACCCTTCCCGATATTCAATATTTGTTTACTTTTCTTAATCCCCTCCCTTCGTCTTTCTCCATTCCCCCTATTCCTCTACCTCTTCCATCTTGCACCTTCCCTTTCCCATCTCCCTTTCACATATGCACAATGGAGCTGACATCCAACACACCGCTGATATTCAAATTCGCAGCCCTTTCTGCTGACAGCAGCGAGCCACAGGCGGCAACCACAGGCAAAGCAAAATCCAAGCCTCGGAGTCGCGGCATCAGCAAAAATAGCACAAGCAGTTCAGCAGTTCAGCTCACACCTAGTGTCTTCTACGACAGCCCCCAGCACTCAAACCAGCGGGACACAACCAAGGAGCGCAAATACCCGTGCACAATGTGTGACAAGCGATTCACCCGGCCTAGCTCGCTGGCCTGTCACAAGCGCACGCATACCGGCGAAAAGCCCCATATGTGCAAGGAGCCGGGCTGTGGCAAGCAGTTCTCTGTGCAGAGCAATCTCCGGCGACACATGCGAATCCATGAAAAAGCACAGGCATCGCCATCACCGGCTGACCACTGCAACTCCATGACTGCCACTGCTATTGCGGCTGAGGGCGATGTGGCAATAGCTGCAATGCACAATACAGACGAGCAAGCTGCGGATGACTGGCAAAGGTACGAGACACCGCCACATGTGCAGCAAAGCATGGCGCCTTGCAGGCCATCGAAGGATTGCCTGCAGCCCATGAGCTCAGTCACAATGCCCAACCTGCCGGCACTTGAAATTGCCCCGATTTCGTTCAACGACATCATGTGGCAACACTCCCACTCTGCATCTCTGTTGCCCATGTCTGCTGTCACCGCAACTGGAATCTCGTCTATCTTCCCGCCCATGACTGCGCCCATTATATCGCAGCAGCACGTCTTCCAGGGCATGCAGCGGTCGCACCCGAGGCTGACCTCACCGCGGTCGGGCCTCGCGGGGCTCGTAGCCGCACCGACGACGCTGGTCTCTGACTTTTGCGTCTGGGACAAGAGCGCAATGCCAGCGTACCCATCGACCTTCCCGTCTATTGTTAGCGACTCGTACCCTATTGGCACTGAGACCCAGCAGGTGAACCCAATGCCTCCATTTGGCATGCCCGATGGGACACCAATCTATGCACCCAGCAACACCAGCTGCCGCTGCTTTTGGCGCCATGCACTCCGACACTTCCCATGACTGCACCCGCTACGTTCCTTGGACAGCCACTGACTGGAATCCAGCAGTTCCAAATGCATATGCAGCAGCAACAACAACACAGCACACAACAACAACAACAGCTTCAGGTGCAACAGCAACAACAACTTTCAACATTCGGCTTTTACGGCTAGCTGTGCTAATGCCGGCTGAACGCCAACCTAAAATACCTTATGCTATTATTTTGATAATTCCTGCTTTTTTCCTGCCTGTCTTCCCCCTTTTTCACTTAATGTTTACCTCCTCTTCAATCCGTTTAATATTAACCTTTTTCTCATTTATCGCAATATATATGTTACAAAGGCGTATATAAATCAAAAAAGGTATTTAATTATTCCAAGAACAATCCTGACTGCCGACAGCCACACCTTTTATATGTCCCCCTGCATATAAATAAACTATAATAAAAGCTTATCATTTCTTAATTTCCACGTGCGTAATCAATTAATCCAATAAGGCAACACGCAACGCCATGTACCTAAACTGTGACACACAATATATATAACATTATTTACACCATATTGATTTGATTATAACTAATTTTATATATATATTCAAAAATAAACTCGCCACAAAGGTTGCTTCTCCCATCCTATTGATTCTACTTTCCACTGTGGGTCTGCTTTGGCGCGCCATAAGCGTCGGGCAGCCGCTCAACGGAGAACTTGTGTCCGACAATAAACATGATGGGCACACCAGGCACCTTCCTAATCCTCCTCTTCAAGTCCTATCGCAAGTAGCCACAATATAGCACCTGTGCTGCATAACCCGCTGAACAATACAGTCATCAGCATAGGTGCCCTTATGCGAGCACGGCAGCCGCTCAAACCTCGGATCCCTAGCAACCCTCAGGGCGATCCTGTACTTAGGCCCCAACTTCTCCAGCTCCGCCAAAACGCAATCAGTAATGCACGGAATGCACTTGGCGTAAAGGCAGTCCATCATGGCTCTGACCAACTCCAGCTTGTTTTGCAACGCAAAGTTTATGAAATTCGTATCTATAATGACATGGTACGGGGGACCCAGGGCTGTGTTGTACTTGAAGAACATGTTTGAGGATTCGCGGTCGACGTGTTTGACTACGGCTTTCTCCTCGGTTTCTTTCTTCTCCTGTGCCTTTACTTGGTTCTGCTTTAGCCGCATGTCCTTGGGGTTGATCATGCGCTTGACCTCGCCAAACTTCCGCGTCTTCTTTGCCTTACCCATTGTGGAAAAAAATTGAGTAAGTTGGTATATAAAAATGAAAAAGGGGGGTTTGTGAATTGGCTTTAGTGAAAAGAGAGAGAAAAAAGAGAGAAAAGCGAAATAGAGCGCCAAATATTTTGAGCATGAGGCGCGACCAATGTAAAAAAAAAGCTGCTGGCTCAAACTAAACAAAGAAAAAAAAACATGGTAATCGAATGATTGATCGTAGATCAAGCCAATACTGATCCATCGAGCTCAAACACATCTGAATTATCGCTACTGTTCATTTTTTTACTTTAAGCGGGCCTTGTTCATCTTTTTTATCTTTAACCGTCGAGAATTGTCTCAATCCACCTGTTCAAATTCACTTTAGTTAATTCCACAAATAATGCGGCCAACACAATTCGCGCTCAAGTCAACCAAATCAGTGCTTGCCCGGGCATGGAAGCCGCGCGCCGTCGACAGCGACAAGGTAGTGCTGACCTTCAGCAAACGGCACCCTGAGCTGTTCACTTCGCAGATAATCCTCTCCGATGGATCCTCCTTCCGGGTACGCTCAACAGCACCGCGCGAACAAGTGAAGATCAACAAGGATACGCGCTCACACCCCCTGTGGAACCCGCAGTCGGGCCAGCAGATCGAGGACGAGGGCGGATACTTGTCATCGTTCCAGAAGAAGTTCCAGGGTTCGAGGGATCCTCCAACTTTACCTTTGCTGACGATGCTGAGAAGGCCAAGGAGCAGATGGGTACCAACGCCATGATGATGAAGAAGAGAGCCGCGTCGACAAAGAAGTAATAGGAATGAATATAATTGTGTTTTTGGACCTTTGTTTATTAATTGATACATGGCATTAAAGTAGCACATTGAACCGAATAAATACACTATTTTCTGTATTTGCAACAAAAAAATAGAAAAAAACCCTTTGGGATGGTCTAAAGCTCGGCAAACGGCCGGGTGGGGTCGGGTTCGTTGAAGAAGCGGTAGATGCGCCCAGACATAACGTGCCCAGGCGTCTGCCGGCAGACGAGGCGCTGGCGACGGTGAGCTGAGCCAGCATGAGCTCCCGCTTTGGCTCCGAACCCAGGTCCCGCCAGGCATCAAACAGCCGCCGGGGCGTCGGGTATTTGGCTATAATGCTCTGTGCAACAGGTTGCGTGACCTTGGGGATCTGTGTCAGCGCCCTTACCCAAGAGTCTGTCAGATCCGCCCAGACCGGACCACCGCCGCGCGCAGCCCGCTGACCACCTCCGAAGTCACAAAGCTCAGCGGTGAGGGTCCATTATTGGTCTCAGATCCCGAACTAAATTCGCTATTGTTTTCACCGCCCTTGTCGCCGTAAAACTCGCTTCGCGCGATGTCCGACGTGGCCTGCCACAGCAGTTTGGACAGCCCCTTGGTATCAGAGCACTGCGTGAACCACGATGTCCACGGACACGTCATATGGAGCCGCAGCACGGCCTCCTCAATATCGCTCTGGGTCAAAGAACCCATGGCGGCAGACGCTGAATCTGCCTGTTGCTGCTGCTGGCGAGGCAGTGGCTGCGAGCTGCCGCCGCCGCCATCCTTGAGGTGCTGCCGCATCTGGCGCGCAAACTCCCTTGTCTCTGCATTAGCGGTTTTGTGTAGGTACTTTTGCAGACCAACAACCACGACAAAAAGGCGCTTGACAGCCAGCACCGCCCGCCAAATCCCGAGCCTGTGCGCAATACGGTCTGCAGCCACCATCTCGACAAACCGCTTGCTGCCAATAACCACCATCGCTGCGCTGCGCACCTTGACCACTCGCGGATGTGCCAAGGGCACATAGAGATTGAGGCTGCTCTCCCATTTGCGCCGAACCCGCATCTCCCAATGAACAGCCGATGCCGTGGCAGCCGGCTCAACCCGCCACGCAATGCCCTCCTCGAGCAGATGCCCAAATACCGGGTGGCTCGCCCCCGTGCTCACTTCTAAACTAGCAGCAGCAGCAGCATGCTCGCTAGTGTCCTCGCCATCGATGGCAGTGGTGGCAGATGCCGTTCTCTTTGGCTCGCCCAGAAGCTGCAGCAGCCCGGGGTCAGCAACCAGCGTCATGTCACGGGCTAAATCCTTAAAGTCAACCTTTTTCTTGTTGACGCTCGACAACCCGCGCTGAAACTCCCTTTCTCTCTCCTTGCGCTGGCGTTTCTCGGCCCTCTCTGCAATCCGCTTTTCAGCCAGTGCACATCGCCCAGCCTCTTTTTCAACCCTGCTCGATTGGCGGCCAATGTCCGTGGCCAACGACATTGACTGTGTAATTCGAGCCTGGGGCGGCTCGCCCACAACCAAGGAATATTCAAACTACTGCTATTGTTGTAGTTGTTATCCGGGAATTAATATAATCAGGTCCGTCCGAATGTATAAGCCTATGCGCGCGCACATTGTTGGGCGGAAGAGACGGATCTGTGGATATTGAATGTACCTCGTCGTCCATTGACATTGCGCGCCGCGAGAACCGCCGCTGGCCATATAGTACTTGATTTTCCTCGTTCTCTGACGAGCTAAGAATGTCGGTGGCCACCGAAGAGTCGCTATAATTCGATGTAATTAACGGAAGCCCCAAAATCGAAGTGGCCATGTTCAGCCTGGTACATGCGCATCCTACTTGCTTCACTCAACGCTGCACCATCGACATGCGCCTGTGCATCAATAAAGTCGTCTAGAATCTGACAATCATTGTCGTCGAAATTATCCGCAAAGTCGTCTGAAAATCGCGGCAGCGGGGGAGACGAGTTGAATGCATTGGGTAGTCGCCATTTGTTCATGCCGTCTATTTCGTCGTCGGCTGCGGCCAGAGGCGGCGACGAAGGCAGCTCCAGCGCTTCCTCACGCGTGAAAATTATGTTGCCTATATTCAGAGATTCCCTGCGAGTGGGTGTTTGCGATAATATTGAGGACTCAACACGTGTTGAGAACTCGGCCTGCGAGAGCTCAATCTACGCGGCGCCCCCAAAAGTGTTGATGGCGAGGGTAAGTCAGGTGTGCCTGGTGACAGGATCAGAGAGCCTGATGTTTGGCTTGCACCAAACCCTATAAAACGATGGACTGGTGTGATGTGAATGCAGTCTCTGTCGTCACTGATGGGCTCGGGGTGTACATGTATCCCGTCGTCGTCGTCGCTGGAGAGTGATATGATATCGGTTTTGACGTTGTCGCTCATCGTTGCGTTTGTGTTAGTTTTGGTAGAAGAACAAGTATAACAATATTTTGAATTTGCAGCAGGGAGTAGGAAAAAAATACATGAGCATGCCTATCTCCTCTCCAAACAACACAAAGACCAGGTTTTGCTGCGCAAGGAAATTACAGAATTTTTTGAAAGCGTAAACAGACTATTTATTCACTTGGCTCGATTCGACTCGGCTATTTCAAATCAAATCTCTGCCCATTAATTTTATTTTGCTACCCTATTCAAAGAGGCTTAGGTAAATTCAGACCGCTTGGTCCATCTTAATTTTCCTTTTTGGGGACTCGATGTAAAACCTGCCAAATCCCCAATTCAAATTCTGTGGCATTTTTCTTCCTCGACACAGAATATGACAGTTATTAATTTGTAGTCCGCCCCTCGCCACTTTGCCAACAGATACGGAATAGCGAGAAATGCATTATTTTTTCTGTAATTTAGGCGATCGTCCTGCCATCCCCCCCCCCACAAACAGAAAAATAATTAGGCCGCTGCAAGTGCTGAGATGTTTGCAATTAGATGCCGGCGAATACATAACAAAAAATAAAATGGATTTATCACAGGAGATTGCATGGGATGAACCGGCCAATTTGGCTAAAATATCCTACGGCAAATAAGAAAACAACACTCATTGGGAGGAGCAATGAGACTACTCCCTATTATCTATCTCTCCTGCCCCCCCCTACTAATCTTGTTGTTGGCGGAAGAATTGGGTGTAGTGAACGGGTGTCTTTTTATCAAATACAAAAGGCAAAATTTACAAATTACCAATGGAGAAGGCTAAAAGGAAGATATGAGAACGCGCTGTAATTAATTGCATGGCATTTTCAATTATTTTCTTTATCTGCTGGAAAGAAGAGTATGCATGTTGCCAAATATTTAGTCACAAAAATCTATTCCGAGATGTTCACCGTGCGTCTGGCGCCCACGAAAAAATAATGAAAATAATGCATGGAGGATATCAGGGTAGCCAAAGACAAGTTTTTTGTTGTTTTTCTTCATATATTTGCCAACCCCGCCCATTGTTTCAACATTTTTCCTCCCCTCTGTTCCTTGCATTCTGGCCTGTGTTTTTATAATTTTTCTCTTTATTGATTTTCTACTCTATTAGGTTTTATAGTTAAAAGATTACATTAGATATTACAATACTGACAGCATAAGGGCAAGTATCAATCAAAAATGAGACGGAATGAGATGCCACCGTCCTCTGACAACCACCCTTTTCCATCAGAGCACCATTTCCGACCGCAAGTCCGAACAGCATTGCCCACTCTGCAGCTACCCCAGGCTCAGCCATTGCCCGCCAACAATATATTTATACGCAGCCCATACCGGCTCGGCAACCGCCGCCGTCGCAATCTATCCCTTTCCAGCAGCCAATGCACCACCCGCCGTCACCCCCTCCTGTGCCTGCACCTGTGCCTTTGTTTCCGCAATACTACAATCCGGATATCGGTGCCAGTCATGCCACAAACATGGACATCTCCAGGCAGAACCAATACCAGCAGTACGGCCTTCTACACCAGCAGCAGAACCAGCAAATCCAACAGCATCATCTGCCGCGCAGGATCCGTGGCACAAGGGCGTGCACCAACTGCCACCGGCGTAAGGCCCGTTGCACTCCGAGCACTATGCCAGACGGCTCCTCGCAGTGCGAAAGCTGCATCCAAAACAAAATCAGTTGCACTTGGCGCGAGTCCAAGCGCCGCGGGCCCAAGCGCAAAAACATTGCGATTGCAAACTCGTCCAGCCCAATGTCTCAGACACTGTCGTCACCACAGCCGCAACAGCAGCCGTTATCCCAGAGTCACCAGCAGCATCTGTATTGTCCATTCATAATCTCCTCAATGATAACCCCGAGGCGCCTGTAAACGACCCGGCAATCGGCCAACAGGAATTTGGCGACAGTTCATTGACCATTTCATCTTCACTGTTTGCAGGGCCAGTGCCAAATGCAACTTTAATGCGACCCAGATCACTGGTTCCGCCCCCAGTGGGCAATCTGATCCATGACTTCTTTTCGGATAAAGTAGACGCGGAGCTGCGTGAGGCAATCATTGTGTATTACACATTTTTTTACTCGTACTGCCCCATTCTCCACCCGTCAACGCTGCTGCGCAAGGTCCTCGACGGCACGATTGATCCGATTCTTCGCGACTCCCTGTGCGCAGCCACAGCCGCCCACGTAGAGCGGCGCCTCTCATGTGTCATTGACTCGATACTATCCTCAACCGCATTGTTCAAGCCACGATCATGCACCACAATAGGCCGACGGTAGACAGGATTTGCGCGCTTCAAATGGCCTCTATTGGCCTCTCGTCCAAGCGCGGCTTTGTGAGCTTTGACAACTTGAAGGGCACAGTGTCCAACATGATCTTGCAGCTAGGCTGGCACGAGATAGACAAGTACGCGGAGCTAGAGCCGGATTCTGCTTTGACTTGGGACTCTTGGGTTGAGAGGGAAATCAAGCGGCGTGTTTTTTGGTTAAATTACGCCCTTGACAGCCACCATGCTTGTATCGCCAGTTGTCCGCCGGTTATAGATAAGAGCACCGTGTATGTGCGCGCCTCATGCAATGACTGCGAGTGGGACGAGCTCAGCATGGAAGTGCTCAGGGTTAACCACACAAAAAATCTTGGCGACCCCGTTTCAGATAATCAGACTTTGGAGGCTATCGCCTACATGCAGAGGGCGATCTCTCATACATTTACACTTGTCGCAAACTTTACCAGCTACCTAGCACAAATCGGCATGCTGCACCGCAATGCAAAAGCAAAATGGCTCCGGCAGCGCGCCAGCGGTGGTGGGCAATCCTTAGCACAGAGCACCAACAGCAATTTGTAACGCTTCTGGGAGACATGGACGAGTTCAAGAGATGCGCCAGCGATCTGGAGTCATGGAATAGCAGCATCGTGTCGGCGGAGACCCTCAAGGATCCGCAGCTGGATCCCCGGAGCGTTACATTTTTTGGAACCTGCAGCACCGCCAGTACATCTTCGCGTGCGGTACTTTTGCCTGGATATGTATGGCTCAGCCATGGTAATACTTCTGCACTCTCAAACCGCCCGTCATTCTTCTTCGAGGCCGAGACCGAGCACAAAGTAAAATTTTCAAGCACTAATGATTCCAAGGAGGGCAAACCTGACTTGCAAGAGTCTCTTCTCCGGGCATTTGGGCCGAACTGGTGCTTGGGTTTGCTTGTCGAAGACATTGTGCCGTCCTCGTGGCAACTCTGCCTTGAGTGCGCCCATGAAATACCGACTTGCCTGCGCAACAACGCCGATATTCCGATGGAATTCGTCGACGTGATCTTGTCGATCAGCATGTTCTTCAGTCTTTCCGTTATGCTGCGCCAGATTCACCGGATTGAAGACGGCAAGGAGGTACCGCGCGATGGGGAGCTGGACAGGTGCAATCAGGATCTTGTAATGCAATGGCTCTAATAAAGACCTCGAGGTAACCTGGAACATCGATGCACTCATAGACTTGCTCCGCAAAATGGACATTGAAGATGCAGTTGAGACTGCCGAGAGCAGTTACAATCCCGATGATGGAATTTGCGGCATGGTCAGCTTTATTTCTTATGCTCTCTTTTCTGTATTAATCAAAATCAAGCTTGATCAGTGTGTAAGAATAAAAGTCATCGTTGGCGCGGGAAAATTTTCATTGCTTTGTATTTTTTTATAAAGTTTTTTATTTAGTTGCATTTAGCAACTGCACTCGCTCGCGACACATAGAAAGCACGCGCCCTCTTTGCTTCTACATTAACTTTCATCTTTCCATATTTCATTTTGCTATAAAACCACACGAAATTCAAACACCCCCCACACACAGGCGTTGAAATGACCATAAAAGAACAAAGGCGAAGAAGGTTGCTGAAGACGACGGTCCGCAGGACACAGTGGTTTCAGTGACCAGCCTGGCAAAAAAGACCAAGAAGCGATCAAAGCGGGACCGGACAATGACGTTGAAAACATTGTCGACGCACTCCTCGGCGGCGACGATGACAAAAAGAGTTTAAAGAAGAGCATCAAGGCAGCGAAAAAGGCACGCAAAGAGAAGGCCCTGGCCTTGGCCAAGGGCAAGAAGAAAACGACGAAGAAATTGAATTTAACGACGACGACGTTGCTGATCTGTACGCCTGGGATTCCGAAAACGAGGGTCAGGTTATCAGTAAGAAGCGTGCGGCCACAGCAGCAAAGCCCCTGGCCGCAGCACTGGCCGCAGCACCCAAATCGGCGGCTATCCCCAAAAGCGGCGATAACAGCGTTGAAGAGGACGCAGAGGACGCAGCCGCGAGACTGGCGGAGCGCCAAAGAGTGCTGCGGCTGGCCATGGCCGTGGCTGACGAGAGCGAGAAGCGGGGCAACAGCGACATGCCGCGCAACGAAAGCGAGTGGTTCGCCAAGCTCGATGAGGAGCAGCATTTGCGGACCTCGGTACCCAGCACCAAGCGCAAGGCTGAAGATGACAGCGACGACGATATGCCCACAGACCTGGTACGTGCAAGCGGGTCCGAAACCACGACTACCGCCCAGAGAGCCGTGCGCACAGCTGCCAGCATTCCGAAAGAAAAGCGCGAAGCGTGGGCAAGTTCCTGGCTATTGACTGCGAAATGGTTGGCGCTGGATTTAAAGGCTCGAGGTCGATGCTCGCGCGCGTGTCCATTGTCAACTACTACGGCCATGTGGTTCTCGACACATTTGTTAAGCCGACCGAGGCCGTGACTGATTACCGCACGTGGGTGTCTGGCGTGCGCAAATCGGACTTGGCCAAGGGCCGCCATTCAAGGAGGTCCAGGAGCAGGTCGCTGAACTCGTCAAGGACCGCGTTCTCGTCGGCCATGCCATTGGCAATGATCTTGGTGCACTGCTGCTCACTCACCCGTCGCTGTTGATCCGCGACACATCGAGGTATGCAGGGTTCCGCAAGCTCAACAATGGGTCTGCGCCAGGCCTGCGTAAGCTGGCAGCCTCTGTGCTTAACATCAACATTCAGGAGGGCGAGCACTCGTCGGTACTGATGCCAAGACCACGATGCTGCTGTACCGCAAGGTCAAGGATTTGTGGGAGAAGGAGCTGGCCCCTAAGCGGTACAAGATCGAGATTAAGAAGGCAAAGACAAAGGAGCGGTTTGTACAGCTCAGAAATGAGATTCAGGAGCAGCGTAAGCAGCTGGAACTTCAGCATGAGAAGCAGAGCCATGGACTTTATGAGTGACCGACAAGGCACAATGGCTATGCATGTTTTTCATTTTTCATTTTTCATTTTTTTGCTGGCAAGTTTATAGTGTTAAAGTTCATTTGTATTGATACATGGTAACGAAGGAAAAATAAACAACGTGTAAGTTTAAAGAAAAATTGTGACAATACTATATAAATGTACAGCTTGCTGGAGAATTATAGAAAAAGAAGAGATTGATAAATAAGTAAATACAGACAGACAGATAGACAGATAAGAGAGAGAGAGAGAGGCGACGGGATATAATGGATATAGGGTAGGCTGGTGGACAGCCAGCAAAGTTGAAAGTGAGATGATATAAAAGTGTAATGGTGTATGGTAGGCCGTGCTTGGCGCAGATGCGATAGTGCAGATATCACGAATTCTAGTGGGCAGATTTGTCACTGTGGTTGAAGGTCCAACAGATACGAAATGCTACATTCTTCTTCACTCTAGCGGCGGGAAAAAGTGGTTCTCCTTAAGGTGATCATTAGCCTCGTATATGTCGGAAAAGACTCTGCCGCACATGTTACAGGAGTAGGAGGTAAACAGCCTGAAGGTGCTCGACAGGACAGCGGCGAATTTGTGCCTGGTGTTGCAATTGTTGTCGCACATTGTCGGAGATATAACTAAAAAAGTAGTATATATGCAATATGTATATAAAAGGATTAAAAAGAAAAGTTGTGTAATAATTGAATGTGTAAATTGATAAGAAACAAGAAAAGGTGGTTTGAAACTGTGGAGATGTGTCGCCTTTTATGGAAAAAAATGAAATGGTGTTGGTTTTCTTCCGCAGTCAATATTTTATTATCAGGGGAGAAAAATTAAAATATGAGGTGACTGAGTATAGAATTATCTATGTGAGCAATTTGCATCACTTTTTTTTCCTTTGCCAAGATGAGGGTAATGTGGAAATGACTGCGGTAGTAATAAAAATTTTAGATATATTTATAAACATACTCTTTCAAAAATTATTTTTGGAACAATTAATGATCACCATGTCACGGTGCATTGTTCCATTTTTTCCATTTTCTCAGCGTCCAAAAACACCGCTCAAACCACCACCGGTTTAATTGACAAGCTGTAAATCGTGCATTCCATCAAGCAGCTTCGAAAAGGAAGCGAGAAGAAAATCAGTGGGGGGGGGGACGAAGGCCAGAATGATGCGGTCAAGCACGCTTTCATCATCGGCATCCAGCTCGATGCAGATGAAGTGTTGCGGCCACCGCAGGCTATCAGGAAATGCATGAAAAACGTACTGCTTTAATTTTTATTTAATTTTTATTTTATTGCTGTTTTCAAAGCAAACATAATTCCAGCAAAGCCACCATACCCCCATTCTTCCTTTCTAGTTGCTAATAATGTTTGACAAAAAAACAGCGAGTCGTTGTTTTTTACTATGTATTAAAATAGGTTTTTGAGGCAATGTGGCTTTCTGTCATTGCACACTGCACATTGTTCACCCCATCATCCTCTTTGCAATGCAATTGAATAACAATAAATTGGTTTAGTCGGCGTTTTATGAATCCTGTCAGCTCTCATGTGCCCCTTTGTCTTGGATTCATCCACATCATCTGCCTCCCACCTCTTTATTGTGCCTGGTTTGTATTGTACCCGAATTGCATATTTGCTGCAATTACAAGTGTAGTCATTTTTTCTTCAGTGCACTGCCTGGATAAAAATAGACGAGGTCCGGTGCTATATATTCTCATTGTTCATCGATCCGATAGCAGATGCAGATGCAGATGCAGTTACAGTTGATTGCAAAAGGAAGATAAAAGTGCCACATGCCCGTACTCAAATATGCGGTCGCAAATGCTCAAGAAAAAAAGCCTAAAAGGTTGAATGATTCATTTTGTTTTCGTTAGAATTGTACAATATAAATCATTTGCAAGTGACAAATTCTTGAGCAAGCTTTATCGCGTGTTCAAGTATATATACCAAGTCACAGGACAACCGCATATACAATTGCGTTTTCGGGGATGAGGAGAACAGAAAGGGAAATTGGGTCAAGCGACATGTCACCAGCAAAGTTGCAACTGTAAAAAAACCCCCGCAATGAAGAGCTGTGATATGCTTGTTCTGGATTTTTTCTGGGGTCGCTCAAAAAGAGCAGCATCAACCCCTTTCGTATCATTCTGCGCTGCCCTTATTATTTTTCAGCTTTTTTGCCGTGGCTGCGCATAAATATTATTGTGGTTGTTTATCCGGGTTTACGTGAGCAGCGACAAAAACAAAGGCAGAAAAATGAGGCTACCGCATATTTTGCTCATCTCGCATGGTATAGAAGTAGTTGATATGTGTGATAAAAAGAGAGAAATAGAAAGAATAAAAATAAAACTACTGCCCATACGACTCGACCAGCCTGTTAAGGCGCACGGTCTCCACAGCAAAGTTAATTGGGTACAGCGAAATTGCGCTGAGTCTCACCCTGGACGTATCGTTGAACACCTCCGTCTTTGCGCGGCACCTGAACTTGTACTCCTTGAACGTCGCCTCAGCAATCTTCTTCTTGAACTCAGCCTCATTGCTGTTCTGCAGCTCGATAAGGCGTTGGCCGTGCACCCAAGGATCTGCTCGCCAATATCGCTGAAGCACTGCAGCCAGGTCTGCCCGGTCTCATCACTGACATTGACCGAGAAAATGTACCGGTACTCGGGCGCCGGGTACGAGCGCTGGCACTTCTCGCAGCGCCACTGGCCGGACGACTGGTCCTCGGTGATCTTCTTATTGCACCCTTCGCCGGGGCATGCCGGGTACGCCATGTTCATTGAGCGGATATAGACAATGGTCCCTTGACGTAGAAGTAGTCGGTGGCCTCACCGCCGCCCAGGTTCTCGTTGCCCACCTGCGCCACGGTCTTGAGCTGCGCCTCGAAACGCTCGTTGCTGTCGCTAGAAGCGCCGCCGGCGCCGCCCATATTGCCGTATGCCTGGAAGCTGCTGTTGCGGCCCTCGGCGTCGTACCACCCACGCAGCGCGTGCGCCTCGGGGATGTCCGGGTTGACGACAAATGAGCCAACTGAGGGCAGCGACAGCGAGCGGCCGCCAAAATCGCCCAAGCGAATGCCCTTGAAGGCAATAACGGGCTCGCCCTGGGCGTTGAATGACTCGCCTCGCTGCCCCACAGAGTTGCCTTGACCTGGTACCCGGACCTATCGACAAGAGTCAGGTCGCGCTTCGACACCTTGCGGTCAGAGTTGCGCATAGTGATCTGCGCAATCTCGCCAACACTGCGCACAACACCGATAACATCCATAACGTGGTCTTTCTGGAACTTGTCCAGTTTGCCAGGGAGACAAAGTCAAAGTGCTCCTGCGGCACGCTGCTCTGCTCCGGACACAGCTCCACTACGGTGTTGTCGTCAAATGTCAGCTCGTACTGGTTGTTGACGTTGGAGAACTGCTGCCTGGCCATCTTCACCTGCGCGTTGCTGATGTAGTACACCTTGCCTACTTCGATTAGGGGAAGAGCTTGTCGACTTGCTGCGTAAAGGTCGTCGCGCGGATCTCACCGGATTCGTCCAAAAGGTTGACGCTGAATAGCCGGCCTTGACTGGTCGGCTTGTTCCAGGTTTTAATCGGTGACTTTTGTGTGACGCGCGCGCGGATCGTCCACTTGCTGTGGTACGGGTTCAGGTCGCCAATCGGGTGCAGAACCGGGGCCGGGCCCTTGTGCATGGGCGCAACGGAGCCGCTGCCAAACGAAGACTTGTTGTCGTCGACGTGGCTCATAAAGGATGAGCCCTGCTGCTGCTGGTGAACAGGCTGTTTCTGCTGCTGCTGCTGGTACTGGAATGAATTCTGGGCCTGGGGCTGCTGCTGCTGCTGACCCTGGAACGAGGTCTGCTGCAATTGCGCAGACATTGCGCTGGCGCAGAGGCGCCCTGCTGCACAACAATCTTCTCCTCGCGCGTCTCGATCAACTCGGCATCCATAATAATGAGGAACACCATTGGCGGCTCATTAGGACGGTCCTTCCTGCTCACATTGCCCTTTTTGACCCTGAGCACGGAGAATCTTGTAATGATGTTTTCGTCGACTAGTGCCGTTAGGTTGTTTGACAGAACACCGATGGCCGACATCTCTCCGTCGGATAGCATGCACCGGTACCGCTTGGGCGACTGGTTCCCGAATGGCTGGATGTTGCTGACTACTTGGAGCACAATTGGCTCGGTGATGGGCGTGTTTGCCTCGTCGCTGTTGAGTCTGGCGATTTCGCCAGTTGACAATTGGTAGGACATGATTGGAAAACGTGAGTTCCTAATTTCTTAAAAAAAGATAGATTGCGAGAGAAAAACAAAAAACAATAAGAATATAATTTTTTTCTTTTTATGCGACAGATAAAATTACAAAAAAATTACGAGCACCCTTCACCACTTTCAACCCTGGCTTTTATTCCATTCTTTTCGCCGTGTGAACCAAAAAACAATATTCAATCATTGCTTGCTGCGGGAAACTCCATTGTTTTGCTCTGATTTAATATGATTTCTTTGGCATCTTTTTCGTTTCGCGTTTTTTTCTTATTTTTGCCATCCCCCACCCTCAAACCCTGACGCGCGTTTCTACGTGCTTTTGGCAGTAATTAATTACAAAAAACCCACTTAATTTAAATCAACAGGCGCACGTGAATACAAAGAGACCCATCCCTAAAAAGCTTGAGCACAGCCAGTTTAACTTGTCAAAGACCGAGCACGTGGCAAATGTCCGCAGGCACGGCAAGTTCCTTGGGGATTCCGGGAAGCGCAGGAATGTCAGCAGGATTGATGCCAGCCTTGCCAAGCTTCGCCAAAACCAGCCATATTTTGTCACCATACAGCGGCACCATTCGTTTCAGCAGCAGCAGCGCATCATCGTGTAGTGCGCTGTGCCCCAAAAAGCGCATAGTCAAACAGCACAGCTCCCAAGCTACCGGCTCTTCCAACGGCACCTTATCGACACCGTCCCCATGGTGCGCAAAACCCTAGACACCAGGGTGCGCTCAGAAGACCGCTGGGCGCCGCCCAATTCGCCCAAAATGCGCCTAAAGTGCAGCCACAGGTCGTCCTTGACCCTGCGCCGCATCCAGCTCTCGCCCAATGCGCACGCTGCCTCGATAACGTCGCAGGCCGCCAATGTGACATAGAACTGGTCGTGGTCTTTGGCCAGGCGGTGCACCAGAGGCGGCCACACGTGGTTCACCAGCGGGAGGAGATCCTTGGTGTTGGCCAATGCGCGCGCTGTGTTCTGCACAATCTTCAGCGCCAGCAGCTGCTGAGCGCTGGAATCTGAGGACAGCAGGTTTTGGACCACCAGCGCGATTTTAATGGCCAGTGGGCTTCCAGCCCGCTCCAAGGAAGAGTCGGCGGGGTCCTGTGCGGAGCGAGTCGCAGGCGGCTGGTCGCTGCCAACGCCAATATCATCACCAGCGTCGTCAAGATCAAACAGCTCAGACATCTGCTCCTGAGCCGCCAGTTCGTCCAGTTCGGCAATCACGGTGCCAACGGGTCGGCATTAGCAGCGCCCACCATTCTCTCGCTTGCCTCAGCGCACTGGTGCTCCAGCATGCCAGAGGCATTAGCGTCGGCAATAGTTCGAGTGACAGTTTCCAAAAACCGCAGCGCGCTCACCGAAACATCATCCTTGTCGTCCTCCGCTGCCATAGCCAAATTCTCGCACACATCCAGCGTGTCCTCGACCACGTCGTCCATGTACACCAATATGCCCGCGCCGACCAGCTGCACGGCGCTAGTCAGAATGCTAAAGACATGCGGGTGCAGGTCAACCGAGCGGATCTGCTGCGAACACCCTTCAACAATATAGTCGATGTTGTCGCTGAGCATCTGGGAGACTGTGGATGAGCCTGACGTCTGTGCGATAATGTTCAGGGAGCGCTTTGCCTGTTGTTGCAGTAGCGGCGAGCCAGCCATCGATATCTGCAGCATGGGGAAGAGCAGCATGTCCATGTAGTAGGCTATAGCAGGCCCGACCGATGACACTATTACTGAAATGGCATGAAGCACCATGCAAGAATGCAAAGTGCGCTCAGTTGCGTCTACAACGGCAACTGCGCCTCCGGTCTTAAAATTAGAATCCAGTCCATCATCGTTGCATCGACTCGCGATGCGCTAAAGTGCTCCATGGTGTATTGGAATATCGGCTGGCTGATGCTGGCCAGCTCCGAGTTTTTGCCACTGCTATTGTCAGCCGTGGGTGCCACGCGAGCCAGCACCCATAGGGCAGCTGAGGCATGTGCCGTTGCACTGTTTGTACCACTAATAAGCAGCTCCAAAAGCTGCGAGCAGAGGCTGACTGGCGTAAACACTGCTGCAATCCTTTCGATAAACCCGTTTAGCGCAGCGGATAGCTCGGTACTGCGGAAATTATCGAGGATGTAGGACACGCCCGAGGTCTCCTTTTCCAAAGACCCCTCTGCCACCTCAGTAATCAGCAGTGACGTGCCAGGAAGCGAAACCGTGAGCGCACTCAAAAGGGCCCTCAGTCCACGTGCATCCCACCAGGGTGCAAGAAGTGACCGTGCCTCGGTGCGGCCGAGAACCCGCAAGTAACCCGATACCAGGCACAGTATGTCTAGCCGCTGCTGCTCGGTGCCATCGCCAATGTACTTTTCAAACAGCGGCAGCGCTGACTCGAGCATATCCACAAGCCGGCCGCGAATTATCCCAACCGCACCCTCCGCGCACCTGTCCGTCAAGCGACGGAGGTAGTCTGCGCTGCCAACTCCGAGGCGTGCCGCATGGAAAGGATCAGACTGGTCTCAATGCTCACTGCCAAACACAGCGTGTCCTGCAATGCAGCGCAGCCGAGCGAGATGTCGGAAAACAGTGCAAGCAGAGCGTTGGATATCTGCGAGTACTCTGTGTGACGCAGCCCTGCAATACGCCAGAGAATCTGCAGCATTCGCTTTTCTGGCTCAACCGGGCCAGCTTTGGGCTTAATGTGGCCTTCCTCTTCCTCTTCCTTATCGCTGCTGTCCTGCGCGCCCTGGTGTATGATGCTCTCAATTCGGCTTTTGCGCGATGTGCCCAGTTCTCCACTAGTTCAGGGACTGTGTCGGCAGTGGCTTTGGTGTCTTGTTGGTTGGCGTACATGACAAGAACCGCCCTTCTCATTGCGTTGAGCGCACTGGCTCTCACCGGCGCTGCGGGCTTTCTGTGGCTGCTCGCTGTCGACTTGGAACCTGCCACCCTCATATTTGCCATTTCTTTATCCAATTCGCCCTGAAAATCATTTTTTCTCGCAGCCAGCAGTTCTTTGGGCGCTTGTGCCAGAGCCACTCGCGCCAACGCCGAGGCGACTCCGGGAAATACGGGCGCCAGCAGTTTGGCATCGCCCAACACGCCGGATTTGTCCATAGAGTCGGCCAGCGTGTCCAGCGCTAAAGCCCGCAGCTGCTGGTCATCGGCGATCTCAGCGTTATCCAGAAGGCCGCACACAGCCAGCGGGAGATAATCCACAGGCAGGTACCCCTGCACGTAGTCACGAAAAACCATCGTGCGCGGCACAGAGTCCATTGCCCCACTGCCTGCGTTCTGAGAGTTCCTGAGATGCGGGTGAGTCTGCGGCACATGCACGGTTGAAATCCCGACGACTAACTGGCGCCAGCACTTTACCGCCAACAGGCGTGTCGGTTCCGGAAATGGCGATCTGTTCGTGCCAACCGATCCATCAAGCGTAATAAGCTGTACTAAGATGCGGCCAAGGTGGTCGATGATAATAGCGTGTACCTGTGTCATATGTTTGAATGGCTTGCGGCTGTCGAGGGTTAGCGCCTCCAGTAGGCATTCCAGGGTTAGCTCGCGCTCGCGGTCCGACAGGTGTGCGTCTGGGGTCAGCAGCCTGGTCGCTGCGAGAGTCATATGGCTGAGCAGGGATGCGGCTTCGACGTTAATGGCCTTTAGGTGTTTTGTGGCATTCAGCAGTTGCTCGAGCCAGTGACCGAGCGATTTGCGTGTGGTAGAGCCGGCTTGCAGGCACTGCGTGACCGCAGATAAAAGTGTGCGAATGTCCATTGATCTGTAAATTTTTTATTGCTTTTTAGGTTGTCTATATTATGCGGTGTTTAATGCAGTTTATTAAGTCTACCAACTCGTCTCAAAATACTTTTTTTGCCCAAAAATTTTTACAGAGTGTTTAACAGCAATGTACAAACAATGCAACGTATGGCTGAAAAGCGTGACCCTGCATGAGTGCAATGATCTTGTTAATGTCACACAATAATGTGTAACAATTAACGGAGTGCAAAATATTGGCACTTGTCATTTTTCGTCTGCACCTTTGACATATGCAAGTAAACATGTATTTATTTACTTGGTTGTCAAAAAAAATTCCGCAAAGGGTGACATTTTTTTCAAACCAAACATTACAAAGTTTCTATAGTCAATTAATTGTAATAAAAACTAAAAAAGAAAATTGCACTGATTTCCAAGTCTTGGCAAAAAAAACCCACATGAAGTGAGGTTGCGCTTGGCCCCCTGGCCTTTCCGTTTTTTTTTTTCTTTGGATTTCAAAAGTATTAGTATATTTCGTTAGCATCTTGTTTTATTTACAACTTTATTTTTTATTTGTTTATGATTTTGCCAAGACTTTTTGCCAGCCATCTAAACGCCGCCGCATTCCGCCATATATTACCAGGGGATCCGGGCAAGAGATTCCAAAAGCTTTGTTTATTTTCATCAGTAGCCGTACAAGCAACACCTGTATCATCAGTAGACAACACTAATTACCAACCAAGCAACACCCCCATTATGAGCGCCCCACCATCCGACCAAGCCGGCTCTTCCAACGTCAGGGAGCAGCTCCGGCAGCAGTTCCTCGCGGACAAGTCACATCACCAGAGTAACGGTCGGTTCACCAACCCTTGGCCGTCTTTCTCTCTGCAGCCAAACACCAAGTTTTTCACCAGCCTCCTTACCACCGACAGAAACCCCTCTAGCCGATCAATAGCCGAAGGCCGCGCGCCCAAAGTGCTCGCGCTTAATGACGCAAAGATATCCGAGCCAAGCGATCTCCAATTAACCTGGCTCGGCCACGCATCGCTTCTGCTGCAAATCAACGGAGCCACCGTTCTTTGCGATCCGGTTTTCTCCGAGCGATGCTCGCCTGTGCAATGGATGGGTCCGAAGAGGTACACTCGGGCACCATGCCAGGTTGATGAATTGCCGCCGGTGGATTTTTTGATCATCTCGCATAATCATTATGACCATTTGGACCGAATACACTGAGGCTCGTGGCGATGAAGTATCCGGAGATTCGCGTGTTCTCCACTTTGGGAAATAGGGGATTCTCGAGTCCTTGGGGTTCAAGGACGTGAGTATTGGCGACTGGTGGGACGAGTTCAAGGTTAGCGTGGTGGAGTCGAGGGCGAGTTCAAGTTTGCGTGCACGCCGGCGCAGCATATGACAGGTAAGCCGATGGAACAGCTGAATGTAGCTAAAGCGGGAAAACACCCCAAATTGAAATAAAAGCTAACGAGGTATTGTTTAAATAAATTTGTGTAGCGCGCGGGGTATTCGACCGCATGGCCACGCTGTGGAGCAGCTGGGTGGTGCAAGGTCCCTCAGGCCACAGGTTTTTCTTTTCGGGCGACACGGCTTACTCGTCAACATACGAGAACGAGTCCAAGGCCGAGTGCCCGGCATTCAAGCAAATCGGACAGGTTTACGGGCCGTTTAGCCTGGCAGCCATTGCGATTGGCGCCTACAGCCCAGAAATCCTGTTTTCCACCATGCATGTTACTCCCGAGCAGGCCGTGCGTATCCACGAGGACATTGGGTCAAAGAAGTCTATCGGCATACATTGGGGCACCTTTGTGCTGACGGCTGAGGAAGTGGACGAGCCGCCGAAGAGGCTGGCGCTGGAGATGGAGGCCTGCGGATATCCCGCCGACGAGTTTACGGTGCTGAGCATCGGCGAAACCATCCAGCACAAGTGAATTGACTAATTTAATATATTATATTATATTTTCAATATGGATCAATATATGGTATATGTGCATAAAGGTATTGTATTTCTTGGATTGGCTATGATGTAAGTGGCAAAGTGTGCGAGCAAATGAGAGTAACATAAACAAGGAGGCACGCGCTCTTATTGTCAATTTATAAACAAGGTTGTTCTCACAGAGATGCTTAATAGCAATAGAAAGCCCTTTATTTATTAAAATGTTAGACATTTGACGCTTAAAGCCTTTCATAGCGCCATTTTTTTTCCCAGCCACGACTATTTAATATTTTTCGCACACTATTATACTCTTTGTTTTTTATATGTGACTCCCAATTGGATTAAATATACGTGTTTAGACCAAGGCATTGGATTTTACTAAAATAGGGACAGCAAAGAGGTCATAATCGCTGGAACCTATTTGTATTCAATTGTTCTCTTTTTTTTCCTGATCTGCCTGTGACTATTTGTTTGATACGCATGTGACAACATGTATCTATTCTAATCTGTTTTTAAAGTATTGTGTGAATTTTTACTTGCCTGCTCGCCTATGTATCTTTTTTATTTAATCTCAGACAGATTGTCCAACATTTTCATATACATATACTGACAGCCAAGATCGAAAAATAAAATATTAATTTTTTTGGCAGAGTATAAAGGAAAAGGACAGGCCCACATTTGTGCCACCAAATAAAAAACAGTGCTTTTTATTATTATTTTTATTTTATTATTATTTTTTGTTAAATTATTTGACGTTATAAAAGAAAGTAAAGTATGTAATTTTTTCATCCACTTTAGAAAATGATCCAATTCCCGTTTGTTTGTGTTTTTTTATTTTCTAGTGCGTTATTTTAACAGCGCGTATGCAAGAAAGCAGTATACAAAAAAAAAAAAAACAAAAAAAACACATTTGGGTCCCTTTTTTGTTACTTTTTTTAGTCATACTGAAATCGGCAGACGGTTTACCAGTCCAAACTTAAAAGTAACAAATTATTTTTATTCCGTAGCTGCATGCATTCCCTCTGTGCTTACATACTAGTGTTTTTTATTTACTGTTGCTTTAAACCGTTGGCCACAAGAAAATGCCGATTAGCATGTTTTTTTGTTATTATTTCTTCCCCGCACAATATAACACCTATACGAGCCACATATATACAACTTGAATGTTTTATTCTGAAACAGAGGTTAGGATAATATGGACATGATATTCCTTGTCCAGTTTTTTTGCCAGCTTGAAAAAGCATGTCCATTAAAAATAAAAATTATTGATTTTTTTTATCAATCGAAGAAAAAATCTATAAACAGAACAGAATGTTGTAATTGTCAGAGGGATTTACTTTTTGTTGCTTTTGTCCACCATAAAAAAAGTAACCCAAAAAGGAATGCGATAATCCCTTTTTTCTTTTTGCTCGCTCACACTCAGTCCTCTCCCTTCATGGTCTCCCCACTTCTTGATTTTTCTCTAAAGAAAATTTTTTATTTTCCACTATTTTCCCCACCAACTTTATTTTGAGATTCACTGGATATCAGTTTTGTTGTTGTCATACTCTTCTTTTCTCCTGTTGTTTTTTCTTACCTTTTTGCTCATATCCCGCATTTGTCAATATTATTCCCTTCACTTCCTTTCTCCTCATCAAACTCCACAATTTATCCCGCTCAATTAACCCTTTTTATATTTTATCCTCTAGCTATTATTTCTATACCCATTAACACCAGATACAGATATTGACAAGTGGGTCAACCATTTTTTCTCCATTTATTATTTGTTGTTATTATTTAAAGCTTAACACAAAAAAGGAGAGAAGACGTGGGTGAGCGGTAAGGGTACATATCCATTTCCATTTCTATTGTTGTGTTGTTTGTGCACTATTCGCTTCAAAGGTCTCTCATTTTTAATATGAATATAGAAAGGCTTGTTTTAATTACAAAAAAGCGGTTTCAAAGAAGAAAGATATTCAGAGAGATGATCTTTTTTCTCCCAAAAATTACGCCACAGCATTAACAATAATAATAATAACAAATAGCATTGACAGAAAAGCACGCTTCTACTAAAAAATAAAAAGCTTTTAACCATTTTGTTTCTGTACGCTTTGGCTTATTTTTTAGCTTTTTTTGTTAGAACACGTTAAAAACAATTCACAGGAATTCCAATCTCGCATAGCTTTCTTCCACACGATAAACAAAAATGGCAAGCGGCAAACGGAAGCAGCAGCAGAATGGGTTTGACGGGACCACAGAAAACGACGGATTCGACGGTGTCTACAGCACACAAACGTACGGCGACAGCACCACGCACACAGCCAAAACAACAACGGATACTTCAACCCAGGCCACAACACAACATCAGGCGTTGAGCTAGAGCTTTTGTCGAACCACAGCTCACACACGCGCGGTGAACACCCGAATGATCGGTTCGACCATCAGACGCACTCGGACGTGTCCTCGCACGGTGTCCTCGGGCAGCACCAACCACAGCAGCAGCTTATGTCCAACCAGCCGCTGCTCCAGGGCGTTGGCGAGATTGCTGAGCCGCAGCCGCTGCCGCACGTGGCGGACGAGGGCCGGCGTATCCAGCGGCGGCGGCTCGCCAAGCAAAGAGCCGCCGAGGATGAGAGCGACGCTGCCGTATATGACACGTACCAGGCACCCGGCCGCACGCGCTCACTGGTACGGCCCGAGCGCGCAACGGCCGGCGGACAGCAGCAGGGGCGCGGCGGAGCCACACACAAGGGCTCAGCAGCAGCAGCTCGTCACCGACGCAAGCAGCCAGGCTCCACTGGGGTGCGCGGCAGGCGGTGCTGCGCAAACCCATGGCAAACATACTGCCGGGCAGTGACCTTTTGGGCGCCAGGACGTGTCCTAAAGTGCTTCGGTATGCCGGACGCGGCTGTGCAAATGGCGTGGCGCGAGAAAATCGGCCTTGTCAGTCTCATCCTGATGCTTATGGGCGTCATTGCGTTTATTACGTTTGGCTTGCAGCAGGTGCTGTGCGGGCTGTCGGGCAAGCAGACGCGCGTCAAGTGGTCAGAGGTCAGCAGCAGCACTGTTGTTGTCAACGGCCGCGCCTACGACATTGCCGACTTTGGACACCCAAAGTCGTCGCCGTGGACGGGCCCAGCCGGTGCCAATCTGATGGGCGCGCCGGCCAACGCGGGCGGCAAGGACTTGAGCTTTCTGTTCCAGAACCCGAACGGCGCCTGCAAGCGCGTGCTCAACTACGCCGACAGCATAACGGACAGCAGCGGCAACGTCATCAGCGCCTTCCCTTGCGTCTACTACAACAACACCAAGCAGCTCAACGCCGATCAGATCCCCAACAACCAGGGCTGCCACAACACAGCAGCAGGGCGGCGCGCCTTGCAGCAGCTCAGCAGCGTGCCGGTGCAGTACTCGTGGGAAGACGTGCGCGCGCAATCCAACCTTGTGGTTTTCAATGGCGCTGTGCTGGACCTGCTTCGTGGCCAGTTCCTGCTGTCTGGCGTCCAGGTGCCGGATGCCTTGGCGGAGATGATCCGCGGATCGGCGCGCGGCAAGGACATCTCGCTGCAGCTGCCCAGCGGCGACCGCAAGCGCCTGGGCCAGTGCATGGTTGATCTGTTCCGCGTTGGGTCGATCGACGGGTCGTCGCTCGGCTGCATCGCAGCCAACATTGTCCTGTACGTGTCTCTGATAGTCATCCTCGGCGGCGTCTTTGCAAAGTTCGTCATGGCCATTTACTTTGGCTGGTTCATGGGCCCGCGGCTCGGGCAAGTGGCCACGACGTCAACGCCCGAGGACCGCCGCGCGCGCCAGGCCGAGATCGAGGCCTGGGCGGACGTCAATAACCATGTGGGCAAAGAAAAGCTCGAGCGCAAGTACACCGTTATGGGACCCAATGGCGGCGGCAACGCCACGCCCGGCTATGGCGCTGACACCCAGAGCCGCGCCAACAACCGCATGTCAAGGTTCTTCCCGACCACCTCGCGCTACTCGCACTTCATGCCTGGCGACGAGCCAGGTGCGCGCGACAAGCCTAGGGTCGCGGCCAGCAGCGGCGGCGGCGGCGGCGGCGGCGGCGGCGGCGGCGGCGCGCGTGCACACTCGGGCATGCCTCGGCACTCGGCGTTTTTCTCGGACCACCGCGCCAGCCACTACGCGGCAATGTCCGACACGCCGATGCCCGACACGCCGGCCGACACGATGCCCTTAGCGAAGCCCGTGGACGTACACGCACTGCAGCTGCCGCCCAGCCGGCCGCCGGCCACGGCGTCGCCGTTCAACTTTGAGCTTGCGTACACGCTTTTGCTTGTAACGTGCTACTCCGAGGGCGCACACGGCATCCGCACAACGCTGGACTCGCTGTGCGGCACCGACTACCCGGCGTCGCACAAGTGCCTGTTTATCATCTGCGACGGCCTGATCCGCGGCGCCGGCGAGGACCTGTACACGCCGGACGTCTGCCTCTCAATGATGACCGACTTTGTCATTCCGCCGGACCGCGTCCAGCCCTACTCGTACGTGTCCATCGCACAGGGCGCCAAGCGCCACAACATGGCCAAGCTCTACGCCGGCTTCTACGCGCCCAGCGACGCGTCGCCCGAGCACGCGCGCGCCAACCGCGTGCCGATGGTGCTTGTCGTCAAGTGCGGCACGCCCGAGGAGGCCAACGAGCCCAAGCCGGGCAATCGCGGCAAGCGGGATTCGCAGATCATCCTGATGAGCTTCCTGCAGCGCGTCATGTTCGACGAGCGCATGACGGAGCTCGAGTACGAGCTGTTCAACGCCATGTGGAACGTCACGGGCGTCACGCCGGACAACTTTGAGATTGTGCTGATGGTCGACGCCGACACAAAGGTGTATGTGGACAGCGTCACGTGCATGGTCAAGGCCATGGTCGACGACCCGTCGATCATGGGCCAGTGCGGCGAGACCAAGATCGCCAACAAGACCGACTCGTGGGTGACGATGATCCAGGTGTTCGAGTACTACATTGCGCACCACCAGGCCAAGGCCTTTGAGTCGGTGTTTGGCGGCGTCACGTGCCTCCCAGGCTGCTTCTGCATGTACCGCATCAAGGCGCCCAAGGGCCAGCACGGCTACTGGGTGCCGATCCTGGCGAACCCGGACATCGTCGAGAACTACTCCGAGAACGTCGTCGACACGCTGCACAAGAAGAACCTGCTTCTGCTCGGCGAGGATCGGTACCTGTCGACGCTGATGCTGCGGACGTTCCCGAAGCGCAAGATGATGTTCATCCCGTCGTCGGTGTGCAAGACCATAGTTCCGGACGAATTCAAGGTGCTGCTGTCGCAGAGGCGCCGGTGGATCAACTCGACGGTGCACAACCTGTCTGAGCTCGTGCTGGTCAATGACCTGTGCGGGACGTTCTGCCTGTCGATGCAGTTTATGATTTTCATGGATCTGATTGGCACGCTGGCGCTTCCCGCGGCGATCATCTTCACGTTCTACGTCATCATCATTTCGACGTTTACGCGGCCCGTGCCGTGGCTGCCGCTGGCGCTGCTCGGCGTCATCCTCGGGCTGCCCGCGGTGCTGATCGGCCTGACATCGCGCAAGCTCGTGTACATCGGCTGGATGCTCATCTACCTCTGCTCCCTGCCTGTGTGGAACTTCGTCCTGCCGACATATGCGTACTGGCATTTCGACGACTTCTCCTGGGGCCAGACCCGCATGGTGCAGGGCGAGGGCAAGGACAAGGGCCACGGCGAGGGCAATGGCGAGTTTGACTCGTCGCAGATCGTCATGAAGAGATGGTGCGACTTCGAGGCCGAAAAGCGCCGCAAGACGCAGCTGATTCTCGGGTCGGTGCCGAGCCTGGCGGCGCTGGCGCTGAGCAGCCGCGAAGTATCGCCGAAGGGCTCGCGGATGTCGCGGATGGTGGCATCAAGGCCGATCTCCATTGCGCACTCGGCGTCCTCGCACCAGGCGTCTGTGGCCGGGTACGCGGCGGCGGCGGCGGGGGCGTCATCGGACCATCTTGTGTCCACCGTTGGCCCGGCCGCTGTGCTGCAGATGGCCGCCGACGATGCCGACGATGTCGACGCCCATGCGGCTGCCGGGTCGATCGAGAGGCTCGGCTACTTGACGCCCAATATTATTCCGGTGCTGGCGTCGCAGGGCTTGGCCAGAATGTCCGTGGCCGGCGCAAGCTACTTGGGCATGAACAGCCCCGGCGGATATCCGCAGTCATACTACGCGTCGAGCGCCGCGCAGGTGTCGCCCAACTCGTCGTCGTTCAATATGCAGTTCTCGTCTGGATCCATCGACCCCGGGCCCGTGCCTGTCGTGCCGCCTATCCCGGAGCAGTACACCGGGCTGTCTCCGCGCTCGCAGCAGGCGCCGGGCACAGGAAAGTCCAAGCGACGACAGCAGCAGCTGAAAGCCCTTTTTTATTTTATATCAGCCATTTTCTCCGATCTTTTCATTATCATTTTTTTAATTAACCCTTATTCGACAAAAAAAATAAGCATTATCCAAAAAAAATATAAAAAAAGTCTAAATCCACTCGCTCACTCCGTCAATATCAGTGCCGCGCTTGGCGCAAGTCCTAGCTCCCGCAGTGTTTTCTTCTCGTCGTGTGATGAAAAGTCCTTGCGCGGAAAGGCCATGCTCAGCTTAAAGTGCTTCGGCACGCCCTCCATCTCCTTGCGCACAGCATCGACGACCTCACCGAGGGTCTGCTCAGCGGCAAAGGTCTTTGTCAACGGACGCACGTCCTTATCCGACTGCAGCATCGGGCGGATATGCAATCTAGCGCTGCTTCCCTTAGCGACACTCACCGTTGGCACGCCGGCATCCAGCAGACTAACGGCAGCCAGCACCAGCACCAGCACCAGCACCAGCACCAGCACCAGCACCAGCGGGGCCCTTTCCAGCCTCCTCATGAGCAGACGTGCCATCTCGCTCAGCCTTTTCCTTGGCAACTCTCGCCGCTCTATCTTTCTTATCCTGCAAGATCATCTGTTTGATTCTCGCCTCCGCCCTTTTATCATCCTCTTTCTCGCGCTTCTGCTTAGCCAGCTCCCGCCGTACCTCTTCCTCCTTCATGCGCTCCACGCCTCAGTCATATCCTGGCCGGCCTTTCTCCGAATCAGCTCTCCCTGCTTCTGCTCCGCCCTTGCCTCTTCTTCGCGCTGCGCCCTTTTAGCTGCAATCTTGCGCTGCACCTCTTGGAGTTTCTCCTGTTTCTCTGCTTCGCTCAGGGGTTTGACAGCTTCGGTGCTTTCGGCGAAATTGGCGTGTCCCGATTTCGTCGCGTGGTATTGGGCAAGCTCTGGGGTGGCAAATTGCTTGCCACAGTCGGTGCACTGAAGAGACTCCGCTGCACCCTCTGTTGCTGCTGAAAGAGGGGCGGAGGAGGAGCGGAGGATTCGCTGATGGGGTCGTCGATGTCTGCATCGTTGCTGTGCGCCTCCAGCCAATCGAGTGCCTGTTGGAGCCCACTGTTACTGGTAGCTCTCAGTGCCTTTTCGCTATAAAAACAAGAATAATAAAGGTGAAAAATTAATAATGGGCTTTTTTTAAATTTTAAATTTTAAGCAATTTTTTATACATATTCTTCTAGCTATTCTAAAAGTTTACTTACGCGCGCAGCTCAGTGAAGCCGAATTCAATAAGTGTGGCCTTGTCCGACATGATGTTTTTTCTGTTGCTGTTGTTGTTGGGAATTTGTCAAATATAAAGTGTAAAGCGGCAAATGGAATGTCGCAATGTGGTTGTGTTGTGGTTGTGGTTGTGGTTGTTGTGTTGTGGTATGGTAGCAAGGAACAATAAAGTAAATATAATAAAGTAAAATAAAATAATGAACAATAAAAGGAAAAAGGAAGAAAATTAGTAAAACGTAGCCTTATGCTGGCTTTATATATACTCCTTTTGCCAATTTTTTTCCTTCTTTCTTTCTTTCTTTTTGCCTTTGTCAAATTGGTTCTGGGCCTTTTCCCACATCCAAAACGTCATCCGCCAGAGAAAAGTCAAAAAGTCAAGAGTTAAACACTAAAAATCACAGGATCGAAACGATCAAATCACCACGTCATATAATATATAAACGAGAGAATGAACGAATGAACGAATGGACAGGCGCTCGGCTTGTCCTATCTAAAATGCTATATTTTTTTGGTGAAAACAATAAAAGAAAACTAGAGAAGCTCAACATCGCCTAACGATCAACCTCGCCGAAAACCAGGTCCATCGTTCCGATAACGGCAACGACATCAGCCAACAGCGCGTTCTTCATAAAGATGTTGATGGCGCCCAAATGGTAGTACCCAGGTGCACGCACATGCGCCTTATACGGGCGGGTCGACCCATCGACACCATATACATGCCCATCTCGCCCTTGGGCGCCTCGATTGCCGTGTACGTCTCGCCGGCCGGCACATTGTAGCCCTCGAGAACAGCTTAAAGTGGTGGATCAATGCCTCCATATTCTGCTTCATCGCATCTCTCGGCGGCGGCGAAACCTTCCAGTCATCCACCTTATGCGGGCCCTCGGGCATCTGGTCCAGGCACTGCTTGATGATCCGGATACTCTGCCGCATCTCCTCCATGCGGATCAAGTAGCGATCAAACACATCGCCCTTGGTGCCAATTGGCACGTCGAACTCCAGCTGGTCGTACACTTCGTACGGCGCCGACTTGCGGATGTCGTACCGGATCCCCGTCGACCGCAGCATCGGCCCAGTGATGCCCCAGTCCAGCGCCTCCTTGGCCGTGATCTTGCCAACATCCACCGTGCGCGCAAGCCAAACCCGGTTCGACGTCACCATCTCCTCGACCTCATCCAGCCTATCCGGATACTGGTCCGCCCACTCGTAAATGTCCTGCAGCAGCCCACGTGGAATGTCCTGCGCAACACCGCCCGGCCGCACATACGCCGAGTGCATGCGGGCACCGCATACGCGCTCATAGAACTCCATGCAGCGCTCACGCTCCTCGAACAAGTACAGGAACGGCGTCAGGCCTCCGACATCCATCACGTGAGTGCCCACGCCATGCAGTGGTTGATAATACGGGTGATTTCAGCAAACAGCACGCGGATATACTGCGCCCTGATGGGTACCTCAATGTTGAGCATTTTCTCGACGGCCATCGAGTACACCTCCTCGTTGGTCATCATCGAGCAGTAGTCCAGGCGGTCCATGTACGGCAGCGCCTGCAGGTACGTGCGGTACTCCATAAGCTTCTCTGTGCCACGGTGCAAAAGCCCAATATGCGGGTCCGCATGCACAATGGCTTCGCCATCGAGCTCCAGAATCAGCCGCAGGACACCGTGCGCTGCCGGATGCTGGGGGCCAAAGTTGATCGTATACGGCTTCAGCTCGGTCTTGGCCTCAAGCGAGGACTCGGTCTGTGGCCCGGGCCATTTATCGGGGCTCACTGACATTGGCGTTGCCCAACCGGGAGGCACAGTGCGTGTGCTCTCCTCGTAGTGGAACGTCTCCCGTGCAGAGTTCACCGCTGCCGAGGCCGTGCTGCTGCTGCTGCTAGCGAAACGCCGGAGAATCGGATTGGAAAACACCTTTTGTGCTGGCCGAGCCGCACTCAGCAGGTTGCGAAAAGCCGACATGATTCTAATTTATCTCCTAAGATTACGAACAAAAATGCATGTGTATATAAGGGCAGTTTGTTGTTGTTTTTTGAGTAGCTGAAGCCTAATTTCGATGGCTTTAATGGCTTTTCTCCTGATTGTGCTGTGTGTGATTTCGTACCCTTTAACGATGAAAAATAAAAGACAACAGGATTTTGGAAATTGAGAGGAAAAATAAAATATAAAAGCATATAAATTCAGAGCAAGTCTTTGAAATAAAAGTCCCTGCGTTCAACGATTGTTTTTTCGCAATCAATCTCAACAAAAAACAGATAAAAAACAAAGATAATCAAACCCCGGCTCGACTCAAAAATGCACCCCGGTTCGGCTCATGCAAAGTGTCTCTCCAAAATCTCATTGTGTAATCCACCAATGGGCGATACTGCGATCCCTGTCTGGTCATCGCCGAGCGCACCGGCGAAGCCAACGGAGCCTCTAAAAATACATTCAAGCAAGCAAACACCAAAGCATCCAAAGCACCGGGCACCACTTCCTCCTCCCCGTTCTTCTGGGCCAAATACTCTTTCGATCCAAGTCTTCCAAGAATCGAGTCCAAAGCCCTAAACGCACCCTCATAAACCGCCTCTCCATCCACTCCAGCTCCAAACCCCTGCGCCACTCCCAGCTCACGCGCCACCGCAGCACTTCTCTGCCATCCCAAGAGATACCCAATCAATCCCGGGTATCTGCCTAAAAACCCCTCGCGCGATACTGTCTCGTACCCGGAGGGATCCACCCAGAGCAAGTACTCAATGGCCGGAACCAGATTGCGCTCAACCATCAGTAGGTATGCTAGATCCTCGCCCACACACTGTACGCCCAAATGCTCCGCCACTTTACTTGCCCCGATTGCGGAGCCGTCTGGCAGCAGGAGGAAGGGCAGATGCCGGTCGGGCGATGACTCTGGGTCGCTCGTGCAGTGAAGATCTACAGGGTAGTTGGCAAACCGGAGAAGCGCAAGTGTACGCAGGCTTTGGATATCCAGGGTTGGAGACCCGCTATTAGTGGTATTGGTGCTGCTGCTAGTGTGTCGGCAGATGTGCAGTTGGGCCCGCGTAATCGCCGTAGGTGTGAAGAAGGATGCCTGATGGTAAAGTGGAAATTGCGTGAATGAAATTGATTTAAGTATTTCGCGCAGTGGCGCTTCTGGTGTGGCCATCTTTCTATAAAGTAAAAAAATTGTTAAAGTATATTGGAGTATTGAGTATTGAGTGTATTTTTTGTGGAGAAAAAAATCTGTCGGAGATAACATTGCTTATCTATCTAATGACCCCCCGCTTATGGGGCCGTTACTGTCAAATCAGCGTGGTGACGTTTGAAATATCAACAAACACCCCGACTACCAAATCCGTGGCAAGATAAAGATGATGGCTTGCCGAAATGGCTGTAGACGACAGCAGTGAGGACAGCAGATATGCACACTACCTATCAGGCACAATTAACCCTCTAACTGGAAAATCGAGTGCTCGGGTTTAACTTTATTGACACCCTATGGCGGACACTTCCACCGCCGGTAAATTGGACCCAAGTCTGGAGAAATCGCAACCACGCTGCCCCTAGAATGATTTTCGTTATAGGGGGCATATAGCTAGGTCTACAATAGAGCCCATGATGGCAAGGCGACATAGTGGACGATCAGTCTTAATCATTAACTCTAGCTTTTGTCATTTTACTTGTTTGCTATCTCACTAGGAATATATATATTTACTCTCCAGCGACATTGAAATACAATAAATAACTTGCTGAAACGTACACCACATCCTCCCTCTCTCTCTAAAATAAAAAAGTAAAAAATAATTGATTCATGTTGTTGGCATTCACTAATTTTGCTTGCTTTCCTAATAGTGTTGGCGAATAAGCCCAAAAATGTCTTCGACTAGGAATATATACATGCTCGTGTCTCCAGTCTGCATTATATTTATTGCGTTGCTGCTTTGTAATGCTTCATTGCAAAAGAAAGCTTGGTCCTACTGAGCATCACCTAAAAAAATTAACTAAATCTTTGATTCACGCTGAATTAAAATATATCATGTTTAGTATTGTTGAAATTGCAAAATTTGTGCCCATATACAAAACATGATTTTTTTGTAACACATTTCATATGCATTTAGTCATCTCAGTGAAATATAAAAATAATACAAAAGATTCTGCTTAATAAAATTGACAATGCCTCTCTCCCACCCGATAACTGTGGTATCAAAAGTTTGTCTATTTTAAAATAATGAAGATTACTGTCGTGCTCTATAAAAATGTGGGTCTAAATTAATATATTCAAGTCTCAAAAATTACTTTAGGGAACTGAAAAAGGGGCAGCGCTGTGTGGGCAGCGCTGTAAATAACATGGTGTTCCTTGATGTTAGCCAGCGATAGCAGAAATGTGTATAGCGGCCATGAGGGCAAGCTTGATTCTTGAAAAGAGAAGATAGTGGCTTAAATGTGTGTTGGGCACTACAGAATTTACCGCGCGCCAATGATTGAGGAATTACTAGTAGGTAAATAAATACAAAAGGTAAAGCTTAACCTTTTATTTTTATTTTTATATTACATAACCAATAAAAAGGGATGCCTACAATTAACAATTTGTAATACAAAAATGTTTTTTTTCATTTTACCTATTATATAGAATCTCCTATGTATTGAAAACCTACGCATTAAATAACAGTTGTTGAACACTATATAAGCAGCCCAATTTTCTTCCGTTTATAATATTTTTTATTATTATCATCATACACTCACTCAATTATCTAACCATTGACATATTTTACATTTTCAGCTTCATAACAACTAAAACCGTGGGACGCGATGCAATGAGGATAAGTGTATAAAGGATGTCAATAAATTCAGTGCACAGGTGGCTATTGTAAACACGATTAAGGAAAAATTGGCCAAGGCAAACGCGACTGAGGCAGAAGAGACAATTAAAACATGCGATACATATTGCAATCGATGTTTGACGGGTTATTGGATACAAGCAGCCAATAAGACAATAAACAAAGGGACAATTTAGACAAAGAAGCGCTTAAATTTCTTAAACAAAATAAAGGATATCATTTACTATATTTTATGAAACTAAGCCTTTATATAGTGTAGCAATTAAAACAAATTACAAGATGAGTAAGTACTTCAAAATTCTGGAAATGTAAGCAATAAAAAACTTATATGGCAATATGATATAAGGTTGATACTAATGCAACTACTAAAAGTAAGTAAACCTAAAGAGTTTGACTTGATAAACAAAAAATATTTGGGCATAGGTTTGCTAAAAATTTTGAAATAAACGACCTGAAAAGTGAATACCAATTTATATGCAAATTCTATAGAGTAAAAATGAGTAAATAGGCTGATATAGACAGAATGTGGTACCCAACCCACATGCCGGATTTTCTCTTCCCATCTTCAAGGGTCATCACGGCCAATATTGTTACTATTTCCGCAATAGCCATGCCTGACATTGTTGGCTTACATTATATGTCAACAAGACCTTTACAGCGCCGCCCACACGGTTTTTCTTTTAGGTTTACGTCAGACTTTTTAGACTCTTAGCTAGCTAAATATATTCCGTACACCCACATTCAGGCATAACAAAAATTAAAGACATTTAACTGCTTGCATAAATTTACTAGGAAAATATTGTTAATATAAATATATTAAAACAATTTTCTGCTGCAGAGAGCAGCAGATGGATAAAAATGACTGATTTTTATAACTTTCTATATAATGTTAGTTATAACGATGTAGCCGCGTTTTACTATTTCAAGTTATTAAATATAATATTGTTATAATTTGCTAGTGTTGAAAATCTCACAGGGAGCTTGTGACTTGGACCAGTGACCAGAGCTGAGACCCGTTAGCACGCATATATGCACCAGATAGATGTGGGACGTCAGCCGATGACCTGAGCATATCACATCAATCGCGAAGCCGCGTGGTGTTTACGATTAAACCTGATTTTGCCAGAAAATAACAACAGCAGATAATAATGAAATTCCGAGGTGCTTCAAAATAGTATTTCTTTGCTAGTTGTTTACATGTGAGCGGCGCTAGAGATGCCGCGCACTTGTCATAGTTTGTTTTTCTTATATATACTGAGGCGTTCCCGTCATGAAGACGGAATATATTCAGTTTTATAATATACCTTTGTTTCCCTTTTTAGCGGACTTCTCTGTGTCTGCTCAGTTGAGTATTATTGGTCTCCCTTTTGGCCACGTTCACAGCACTATAAATAATAAAACAATAGACAGGCCGTTTATATTAATTAGTTTACATTAATCGTTTGAATAAAGCTCAACTTTATTTTTTTTATAAAAACATCACGAAAATATATTTCTTTTGACATACCCACAGCTGAATTAAGACAACAGCGGAACACAACGGAGCCAATGGCAATACTATCAACAATATTGCTGTTTCTGATAAAGTTATTATACTTTACACATATTGTCATAAAAACCTTGTCTGTGCATCTACTTTTTTTTATCATATTAAGCTTTTTGGAAATTGCTTCAATGCTGACCATAATCTGGCGCCACTCAGTTTTTACCTTATGCGCGTCCTTCGCCAGCGTGTCGACTGTACGACTAGCTGACCAAGAACCTACTTATTAGATTGAGCAATGATAATGTCTTAAGCCCAACATGTTCGGGCTTTGAAAGTAGTTTTTTTACTCGGGTGACATTGTGATAGTGATTGGATGGGTTTGGATTCGATAGATATTGAAAAAAACAGCAGAAAAAGTTTTTTGGGGATATGGAGGTGGGGATGGGAAGAGAGTAACGGTACAAGTTAATTAGCCTAAAATATGAGCTAGTTCAATGATAGCTAGATATTCCCCTCTGAAAGCACACTAGAAAAGTTGTGCCGCGGGTATTTGCAGACATAGCAATCAACCATTAAAAGTACAAAGACGGATGCCGCGGGTTTTATGGTGGTAGCTTGGCCTGCAAACCATGCACGCATGATCTGGAGCCAGTGCCCTATATTTCTTTGCCGGCATGAGCAAACTGCCCAGACAGTGTCTATTGGTCGACAAAACGTCAGTAAATACGTGGTCGTACAAATATACATACCTGTTGATTGCATTATTCCTCGCATCGCTGTTTATGAATGACAATATTGCAAGCAAGATGTGCATAAACGCGGCCAACATGGTTAGCAGCAACGGTATTGCGCGAGATATCAGCCTGGAAACTTTGTGCGCAGCTTGGCAAAGTTGTTGCCATCAACGAGCACAGCTCGATCTACACCAGCCTACACATCAACAGGTTTCAGCTGGCAACGTACTCGAGATGTCGTGCTATCACTATCGTCCACTTGGTCGTGCACAACCTAGACAACTCAATCCAGCTTAAGTTCGAGTACAGGTTTCAGTCCTTGGTTATTTCTGGGCTTACTAAGTCCAATGTCATCTTCAGTTATTCTATTATGATGCCCGCAGAGCCCGCTCGGCTGGAAAAAACACAAGCTTAAGTCCAGTGTCAGTGGCAAGCATAATCACCTTTACGCGCATTTTTTGCTGGTTACTGGCAACATTCCAGGAGTCACGGAGATAGTTGGTCACAGAGGTTATTCAAGCATCCGCCCATACAGTTTGTGCGAGGTAGCCAGGAATAACTGGCGAGATGGCCACCCTAGCATTCCATACCACAAGGAGGGCAAGGATACACCTATGACGCGCGACTTTAGACCCGGCCATTTTGTTTCTGACAACAGCATCGACTACCGCTGTCCGTTTACGCACTTTGTTTTTTCACTGATGGCTCGTTTTTTGGCTTGGTTGTAATGCATCTCATCCGAGGATGGGCACGCACTTTGGCAACCAGTATTATGGATTTGGATTATGCCTTTTATTTGGGTGACAAGGCATGTGCCCAAAATCAACACTGGCACCCTGACAGCTTGCGGTTACTTGCAAGCTACTTTTGTTTACGAGTTTAGATTTCTCTTCATTGATGATGGTAAGGAGTGCACGGCCACAGACAAAATTAGGTGTCCTGTGCATGTCATCCTAATTGTTGCTGTCAAAGATTTTGACATATACTCGCTCAAAAGCTTTTGCACACAGTTTGGTCTGCTGGATCTGGCTTAAATGGCGGTCATTTAAACATTACGGATGACCCCAATGTATAATAAATAGCTGTTGGCAAAGTGCATCAGGGGATGTACATTATTTGTTTAGCTTGCAAACTACATACCTGTGAGTACACTGTTTTTGAAAGATAGGACAGGCTGGAAGGTGTTTCAGCTGCCCAGCATCCATTACATTCTGCACATTATCAATGTTATTATCCATATTGGACCTCTGCCCATGTCGAGCCTTTGCACTGCAAATTACGATTATGGCGTTTGCTTCAAGGACGCCAGTTGACGCACATAAATGGTCACCAAGCTTTCTGAACAGCAGATCCTGCTGGCTGGTCGAAATGCCGCATACAGGCTGGTCGTTGAATCGCCACACGATAAATTAGAAGAGAACCAGTTTTGGAAGATGGACATACTGACCTACAAAAAAATTCTAGAACCATGCTCTTCTTTGGCGAGTGATTGTTCAGTCAGAGACCTCCTTCAGTGCATTTGGCTGTATTGGCAACTCCGATTGGGTATTGCTGCTAACGACTAGTACAAGCAGGATTGCGCTGCTCACCACAAGGAGATTGTTGAAGGTACGTCTGATTACCCCGAGACCAGCGATGTGCTTGCTGCCAACTTCAATCAAAACATCCCAGAGTACCCCAAGCTGCTACTATACTCTGGCGCATGCGTTCCAATGAGCCATGGGCCACCGGCCAGTTTAGAACCCTTGTGGGTTTTGGCATATTTGCACGTCAGCTTGGGCTGCTGCCGCAAATATGGGCCTTTGGGGTTGCATGATCGTTATTATACTGCGAAGTGCGAGCTGTTCTTTAACCACGTGCACAATGGTCAGACTGCCAAGTTGATTTTTTCAGAATACCAGGCGAGGCAGTAAATAATTTTATGCTTCCGTGCCACCAGCCCCTGTGTGCAGTGCTCAGGTTTGTTGTGGTTGCCTGCTCGTGCATCTTTAAACACATTTGCGCGTATTTGTACAAAAACACCACTTACTTTATGGAGGAGCGGGATTTCCATAAATCCGCATTTAGTATGCTCCCGCAGCTTGACAATACAAAATTAAAATTTAAAGTTTATTATTAAAATTTTCAATTTGACGCTCAGTTTTAACAACCCTCAAAAACAAGACATGTTTTAATTGGTAATTGACAAAAAAGCTATACCAGTGGATAATACAAATAATATCCAGAGTTAAAACTTGTTATTATTTTGTCATAACAATAGAATACAAACAAGTGACGTTTGAAGTTGCTGCAGTCATTGTAAAAAAGTACAGCTATTTGAACTGCCATTTTACTGACGTCGAGCAATGAATTAGTTGACAAATGCTGATGTTGACTGCCTCTATATAAAGCTCTAATAGACAAAAATGGCGGCTGGCCAAGTGTGAAATAAATTTATATGGATTTTCCATTTACTCCACAAAGTGTCATGCACACATGAAATGGCTGTCCTGTGTTTTATCTGTTGGCATCCAATTGTTTTGCAGCATGTTGCTATGTGCTTTCTTGCATTTGCAAACCTAATTTTTACGAGTTCAACTAGGCCAACTCTAAGCCTTAAAAGTAAAAGCCAATGCGCTTACAATTTTTGAATTGCTCTCTTCACCTCTCTTCACCCTTCAAACAACTAATATATTTATATTATTGCTTATAACCTTTACATACTATATAAATACTTTTTAATTTTGTTAATTAGCATGTCAGCCAATAACTCAAAGTGCATGACTAAAGTTCTCTTTGAAACTTTCACAAGTAACAAATTAGATTCGGTAATGGTGGAGGGTATTGAAAATGTTGAAAATTTCAAGACGGCTTTAGCAAAAGCATTGGATATTAAAGAATCCAAGCTTCTAGTATTTACTAAACTTTACGGCAATACAATTCACGGAGAAACATTGTTATTTAATGGAAAAAGAAATAAAACACACAAATTTTTAGTTAGAATTTTGTAATGAACCGCTAAAACATAACCAGCCTTTAGTGCAATCAATTTTGGTTTTCCATTTCTTAGCATTAAGTTTATGGTCAATAAAATAATTTAAAACTCCACCCACTCTTGCCGCTAACAACCAATAACGAGATAATTAAACCGCATTTTGTTTAAAATATGTTTTTTTAGTACTTCCATGTTGACAGATGCACATGGGGCAGGTGCTTGAACCGAGACGCCAGTTTGCTATGTGTCATCAAATCGTCAATGCAACGGGTCACAGCGCGAGTCGTCCACCACTGCGATTTAAACGTAGTAAGCGATGGAACGCGAGCAATGACCCACGTCAATTCCCGCTCAATATCCAGCGGCTCCATTTCCCCACACACAAAACCCTGCTTGCAGTTTTCAGTCGAGCTCGTTGTGTCACTCATTTCAGCCAGCCGACGCTTATTTTGCCGAACAGTATTGGGCTCAGCTCCAATATACGCAACCAAGCACTGCAGGCTATTGCTGAGCGGTGGCAGGTCAGCAAGCATATCACCGTTATTAATCTCTAGCACGCCCCAGTTACGCGAAGACCACGAGCTTGCCGGGTGAATGTGCGTTACCATTTGGCGCAGCCGCGGCAGCCGGCTGAGCAAGTTGGGGATGGCACCCAGGTCCATTTCCATGCTGAACGAGAGTGTCGCCAGGTTGGTCAAACCAATGATGTCAGGCAGTGCAACCGGAAGAGAGGTCGGCGCATCCAGATGAAGGCTCGTCATGGGCGAGGACACCGAGAACAGCCGATTCACCCATTTCTGGTAGCGCTGCTCCGACCGTTGCTCATTAAGCCTCGAAAATGTACGCGTAAAGTTGAAATGTTTGCAACCGAGGCTGCTCGCAAACCAGACCAACCACAGGCAATATCGCGAATATTGATGTGTGGGATTTGGTCAATGTCAAAGTTCTGCAGGACTCGGGTGATCGCATGCGGATATTTGGAAACACTCAGGTGCTGCAGCTTGGGGAACACGCACTGCCTCCTAACAAGCAAGCTATCAGTCATTTTCCTCTCAATATCGTCGTCATCATCGCTATCATCGCTATCGCTGTTGTCACCACTTTTATCAGATACGCACTCGCAGTCCCTGAACAAGCTGCCGGCCCGCACGGCCTGATTATTCCCGCGGCTGCTGTCCCGCGGCTCCGCGTATTCAAGCACCAGCGACGTCAACCGTTTAAACTCAATCGACTGCGAGTCACCACCGGCATAAAAGCGACTCCAAATCGACTCTGCTGAGGAAAACCTCAAGTGCAAGCGTTCCAGGGTCTCGGAGAATACTCTGGGCAAGTGCGCGGCCTGCGACAAAATCGGGCACTCCAATTTCAGCGACGTCAGTGCCGGAAGAAACGCCGACGATGCCATGCACGGAATCATTCCCGAAGACACTCGATCTCCTGGAGTTGACTGAGCCGCGATGCCATCAGGCCGTCGAGCGGAAACTCGGTGTAGTACCGGCGGTCGTCCATCGAGTTGTAGTTTATCGAAATTAGTTTCGGTAGTTTGTGCAGCAGGTACGCGTTGAGTCGTGCTAGAGAGTCCGCGGTATACACGGGTTTACTAAGTATGTGACCATGCCAGTGGTTCAGATCGAGCCTCTCAATATCGTACCAGGTTCCGTAGTTGAAACCCAAGTCAGCAAGCATCGCTGTGGGCAGATCGGGGCTACGTCGCCAACAAGGTCAATGACCAGCCGATGTACGTGCTGCTGCGGGTGCCAGCAATGATCAAGCTGAGGTTGTCCCGCCTGATAAAGCCCTTGCCGTCCGGTATTGATTTGATATTGCAAACAATCGCTTGGTAGAAATAGGCAACACGGCGTGGCGCCAGCTTTGACACACGGCGGCCAGTGGCTGGAGCTGGTAGAGGCGGTCGATAAGAGACTGCCTCCTCATACGCGGGTCCCGTTCGACTTCCTTTTGCGTCATGTAGTGGAATATAAGGTTAAACCACGTTGGAGGAGTTGCTTTTTGAACTGGGACTTGCGCTGCGCTCTTTTTTTGAATGAACCCATTTTTGTATATGTGTGTTCTGCCCTTGAATTTTCTTTCATAAAATGTCTGAATTTACAATAGAGCAGTTATAAAACCAAACAAGCATTAAAAGTAAATGAAAAATTAGAGTGCCAAAGTGAAAAGGTGGAACAAGGCTTTGAAAAAGGAATGGGGCGTGAAAGCGCCCGTGTGTGGGGAGGGAGTGACAAATGGCACGGTAAAAAAATTTGTCTCGGGTTTTGGTTGCTTTGAGCAAGCTGTTTACGTTATTTTTTATCCATGCTTGATGTGGACCGGTGCAGCTCGGCTCAGCTGCACATTGGACCCTGATTTGAGGGGGAGAAGAAAATAAATAAATAAAAAAGCTAAAAGCGACCGAGCCGGTCATCTCAAAGGCCACACGTCTTGTCGCAATGGTGCTTCAAAACCAGCACGTAGCAACAAAATTTGTTTTATTATAAAAAATAGATGTATTCTCCCATCCTTATTTAATATTTCAAGTCTATATCTTTTTTATTACAAAAAGGGAATGAAACTATGAAACTATTATATGAACCAGCAAGGTGAATAGCCGAGTTAATAATACTACATTCAAATATACCAAGCCAGCGCTGACGTCGATTTAAAATAAGGAATGTGCAATGCTTTGCCCTGGCATGAAAATACTATTTGCCCTTGTACCCGGCCACCTTGCAGTCAATGATTTCGTACTTGATGTTGTTAATAGTAGGAGACAATTTGCCGAACGTAATATCTTTCAAGGAGATGCTTGAAATCTGCAGCTCATCACTGGTACATTCCGTGCACGCCCCAATAATCTTGAGAACAGTGGTTTTGACGTCATCACCAACGTGGTTAGTGAGTTTGATGCAATTATTACTGCATTTCAGGCTCGAGGCATCACCTTTTCCGAGGGCAGATTGGCCGTATTGAGCGTATCTCATGCCGTACATGTTGACTTCACCGTCATTGCACGCTGGTGCACCATCCTTGAGCTGCCCGACCTTAACTGTGCCGGATTTATTGATGCTGGTTGTGCTGGCTGCTGGTGAGGCAAGAGCACTAGAGAGAAGAAGGGCAGTGGTGGCAATAGTGGCAATGAAAATTTTCATTTTTAGATGTAGTACTAGCTGATTGGAGAGCCTTGAAGCTGAAGAGTGCTGTTTGAGACGCTTGTTTGTAAGTATTTCTGAAGTGTCCGGCGCAACAGAAATGAACTAGATGCTGGAGTAAATAAAGGTGTAGTTTAAATAAAACTACTTGAAGATTGCTTGTTGTGTAGAGAAAACTATATTAAGATGTAGAGGGTGAATGGAGAAGAATTTTGAAAATGTAGGGAGAAGGATTTAAATCTTTTATATACTTTTTAATCTGCATTTATTTTTCACTTATTTGTTTATTCCTCACCTACCGTTGCTACTTACTTTTTTTAGTTTGTCCAGGTATTATTTACTTTCATTTTAGCTCGTGTTGTTATGCGGGCATCTATAAAAGAAAATAATAATAATAATAATAATAAGCAAAGCGTTGCCAATGTGACTGCTTTATTTTGTTTGGATAAAGAACGCATGTGCACATGTACGTATCAACAAATGGCCGCCTAACAAATTGTGCACACATGATAGTCGTGAAAATTGCTCTTTTGAAATGTCTTTTTAAAATACATTGTCAATACATACCTTGTAAGGGGAAACGGGGGGAAAGAAGCAGACATGGAAAAAATGGAAATGTGATGTCGCAATTTTTTCGACAAAATATAATATAAAGGAATCTTATACATATAAAGAGCACACGTGTATGCGACTATACTGCCATATAGTGCAGTTTTATAGAAAATGGGGTTTATCATTTGCTTTTTCGATTATTTATAAAAAAGACGGAGCATGTGCCCTGCCAATGAAACCAAACAGAGCAGTCTACAAAACACAAAACCTACCACTGCAAACATGTTTTGTTTCTATTCCATGTAGGCGCCAAGTAAGCAAATTTTGGACATGATAGTCTGTATATGTTTTGTCCACATGTTGAAGACAAGTAAATAAATACTGTTTTAAATACTGCTAGTATGGTTTAGATTGTAAATATATTTTCACTTGCTAACCAAATTGAAGCGCGCGGATTTGATATTCAAAATGAATAGACCCGAATCCTTAAAACAATAATGGCGATAAACTCACTAAAATGTGACGTCTTTTTTTGCTGCCGTTTTCTCTATTAGAGACAACGTGTAACAGTTGCACGTTCCACGCTGTACCAATTTGAAAGGAATTATAAAGGGGGAAGACTGGCTCAACCATTTGTCTTATTACAATGAAAACTCGTGCTTCAAAAGTAAAATGAGAGCTCATGCGTGACGCACACTCTAGTCTTTATAGTTTTTTATACAAAGCAACTATATGATTTGAATTGGCACGTATGTTTTATTTAATCCCGCAGCGCTGCATTGTTTCGGATGTATAGAATTTCAATAAATATAAAATTGTGTAATGAACGAGCAAAAAAAAGTAAATTATATTTAGAATCCAGGACAATTGACAAACTGCCAGTCCAGATCATCCGACATGGTGCTCTGGCCATTGACCACATCCTCCATGGCCTTATCCGAGATCTCCAGAGTATTATCATCACAGCCCTCGCACAAACCAATAACCTCGACAATAACATCCTTCACACCATGGATTAAAATGCACTTGTTACACATTGGCGAGTTTCCGTTCGCGTCCATCTTTCCGTAGAGCTCCTCGGAAATGGCAGCATAGTAGGCGCCGTACCTGTTTTTGACGCCGCACCCGGCGATGTTGTCGTCGAGGGCGTTCATGGGTCCATTATACTTGGCGCTCATAAGTTCTGCCATGCTGGTAGTGCTGTTAGGTTGAGCAGAGGGTTTGGTAGTGCTGGAGACGGGAGAACCGAGAGCGCTGGATACGAGGAGGGCGGCCGCCGCGGCAATAGTGGAGATAAAAAACCTCATCTTGAGCTTACTTGGGTGTAGTAGTGTATTGGTGTTGCAATGGTGGTTGTCTTGTTCTTGCTGAAGTGTCCGGCACGAGCAGTAAATAATTTGTAAAAAATAATAAATAAAATATGGAGTGGAGTGAAGAATGATACTCTATAATGTTGGATAAAATTGTTAAAACTAAATCCTTGCCAGTTTTAATTAGCTTGCATCTTTTACTTTCTTTTATAAACGCCCAGAAACCTTTTACAGTGAAACTGTAGCGCACCAGAGGAAAAGCCGCATGGAAAATCGACTACTTAACATGTGCAAAAAGTAAGTAGCCAACAAAAAAATTATAAGGTATATGAAAAAGTATTATTTCCAACGCACTCCCTCTTTTTATGTGCATGCGATCCACTTACAAAACAAATAACAGCACCGTCATATCCTTTTATTAATGAGCCTTTTGTCGCAATGACGAGTAAAGTATACACGTGGCACACGTACAGCAGGCGTGCTCCTTGGGCAACTCACTCGGTCTTGGCAATCGACCACCCAATCTCCGTCGAGGCCATGAATGGAACCACAGTCTCGCCATCAGACGCGCTGCCGGAAACAGCGTAGGCAGCCGGGACGGCAAGCGGCAAGCGCACCAAAGTGATGGTCCCGTCAATGGGCTCAGGCAAGCCGTAGAACTGGCGACCGTAAGTCGAAATAAAGCCCTCAAGCTTATCCAAGCACTCCATCTTGTCAAACAACGTAGCCATCAGTGGGATGAGAATCGGCGTGGTAAAGACACCGGCTGCCGGCTTCTCTCCTTGCTTGGCGCTGCGCGGGTGCGGCGCAGAGTCGAGCCAAGGAAAAAGCGCGGATGGCCGCTCTTCACGACCTCCCGCAGGGCATCGCGATCATGCGGGAATTTTGCAACAGGCTTGCAGAAGTGGTGCGGGTGGCCCGCCCAGTCATCGATAATGATGAACAAGTGGTGGGCGGTGATTGTGCACCCGACGGTGTGCCTAGCGACTTGACGCACTCCACAGCGGCCTGCGTCGTGGCATGCTCTAGGACAATGCGCAGCTTGGGGAAGGCCTGGTGCAGCTCGCGCAGTGTCGCCAAAAACCTCTCCTCAGCATTCAAAATGCAAATACCCTTGGCCGCGTCTGACGGGCACTCGCCGTGCAGGCACAGAACCATGTTGGCCTCCTGCATGGCCTGGAACGTCGGATAGTAAATTTAAAGTCCAGCACGCCCCAGTCGCTGTTTGTCGTTACGCCGCTGGGGTACACCTTGACGGCCGTGATACCGGCTGCTGCAGCCTTGGAATCTCCGCAGGGGTCAGTGCTGGGTTGAGGTACAGCGTGAGGATAAAGTGCACGTTGGGAGCGAGCTTTTGCAGCTTCTTGCCGTAGTCCACGGCCATCTGCGTGGTGGTCAATGGCGGCGTGAGGTTGGGCATGGCAGGACCGTGTGGACGCCCCTTGCTCGACCATCGGCGTGACAGTCTCCATCATGGCACCCTGTCTCAGGTGGCAGTGGAAGTCGCTGGCCCAGGGCAGCGTGATCGATGTCGGCGTGCTTGAATTTTCTCCTGACATGGTCTGGTGGTTTTGTGTTAAAAAGACTAATGTAGAAATAGAGTGAAGAGATAAACAATTGAAAGCAAATAGAGACAGAGATAGATGAAAGACGAGAGATGAGGGTGTTTTGGTTGTGTCGACATCGATAACGCTCTCCTTTTTTTATCTGGCGGCGACAGGGCTCTTTCTTTTTTTAGTTGGCAACGCTGCAGGTTGATTGGGGGTGCATATGGATGCAGGTGAGCGAGTGGGTGACATCGCTATCTCGGGCTGATCATCTCTTGATCGCAAGATTAAGGGCAGCACCCTAATATAAAAACATGTTTGTATCCAAAATATCGTTCAGTATATATTTGAAACTGCACATTTTCTATAACACCATTCGCTGCTCATATGCAAACGCTGGTTCCGCAAATACAGGCTCACTTAATTTATTTTACGGATTCTGTTTTGTCTGCCCGTATTTTTAATTGTTTTTCTGTGTATATCCGTGCCTATTACAATAAAATAGCTCGCCTCATTTTCCGTTGACTGGAGAGCGACTATTTTTAAATTTTTGACTAGACTTTACAGTTCACCGGGCCAATTTTTTTATAAATACCCAATGCTAAACAACAAAACAATTTATGAGTACTCCCTTATTGGCGTCATTTGTTGGCACCATCCTCTTTTTACAATTTCAATAAAATAATCGTCCTTTTAAAAAGAGCGGAAAAAATACAAAGTCCACAATTACAATTCCACGCTTTATTTTTCTTTTACAATTAAATATAAAAAGAAAGACAATCTGTTCGTTTTGTCTTTTAATAAAGCAAACATCACCTTACACCCTCCCTCCATCCTCCTTTCTCACTGTTGAAGCGTGATATTATTAAGGTAAAATGATGGATTTAAAAGAAAATAGTTTTCTCAGCTTGTACGCACACTTTTTTTGCCAATTCGACCAGTTTCCTCCGTTAAATAGGTGGGAAGGATGACTGCCACATTTCTCTTTATACCAATTTATTTTTAAATTTATTTCGCATCACTTTACTTCTGTCAGCTATATTTGTTATATATATTACTGAGCAGGCCCTCCTTATATATTATCCCACCTTCTTTTTTTCTGCTCTACTCTTCTCTACTAAAATTAAAAAAATTATAAACCAACTTGCCTCTAACCTATAAAATAATTAGCAAATACTAGCAGCGTTTTTTCTTTTTTATTTGTTTTAACCATTCTTTCTTTATTTTATAAATGAAGGTAACATCCCTTGTGTACTTGGCAGCCTTTGCCGCCCTTGCCGCAGCCAAGAAGTATAACGACAGCGGATATGACGAGGATGGCTATAATGTTTCTGGCTATAATTCGGATGGCTACAACATGCACGGATACAACTCCGATGGCTACAACACTGGTGGATATAATTCCAATGGTTATAATACGGATGGGTATAATACAGATGGTTATAACGCCGATGGCTATAATTCGGATGGCTACAACTCTGATGGCTACAACTCTGATGGCTACAACTCTGATGGCTACAACTCCAAGGGATACAACTCCAAAGGTTACAATGCCGACGGTTACAATGATCAAGGCTACAATGAAAACGGCGACTATGACGAAAAGTACGTAGAAAATGGAGACGATACCAGCTTTATTGACAATACCATCGGGCAAGTGATTCTAATTACAGTGGAAGTAATAGTTCGTCATTCAGCTGGCCGTACGATAATTCCCCCCCCTCCAACCATCTCCTCTCAGAACTCTGTGATCCAGGGTGATTCTAGCTCTGAAATTTCTTTGGACTTGTCGTCTGTTTACAAAGCTCCCCAGATTCCAACTGGGAGTACTGCGGTAAATTCTGCTTCTTCCAGCTCTCCGTTGAATCAGATTTACTCTACTCTGCCAATTGATAATCCGGCTTATTCTGATATCTTTCAAAGCACCAATGCGCCGACAGGAGAAGGTCAGGCAAGCTCTGCTTTGTCATCTGATGAAGCCCAGTTAAGCAGCACTATTCCTGTTGACGACAACAACCAGAGTGTCTCTTCTTACGAAAATACCCCGCAGGTGAGCGTTTCATCAGATATGGTGCTCAGTCAAGCAGCAATACTCCTGTTGGCAACGAAACCCAGGATGGCTCGCATTACTACAATACCCCGCAGGTGAGTGTTTCATCGGATAATGGTGCTCAGTCAAGCAGCAATACTCCTGTTGACGACAACAACCAGAGTGTCTCTTCTTACGAAAATACCCCGCAGGTGAGTGTTTCATCAGATAGTGGTGCTCAGTCAAGCAGCAATACTCCTGTTGGCAACGAAACCCAGGATGGCTCGCATTACTACAATACCCCGCAGGTGAGTGTTTCATCGGATAATGGTGCTCAGTCAAGCAGCAATACTCCTGTTGACGACAACAACCAGGTGTCTCTTCTTACGAAAATACCCCGCAGGTGAGTGTTTCATCAGATAGTGGTGCTCAGCCAAGCAGCAATACTCCTGTTGACGACAACAACCAGGGTGTCTCTTCTTACGAAAATACCCCGCAGGTGAGTGTTTCATCGGATGATGGTGCTCAGTCAAGCAGCAATACTCCTGTTGACGACAACAACCAGGGTGTCTCTTCTTACGAAAATACCCCGCAGGTGAGCGTTTCATCAGATAGTGGTGCTCAGCCAAGCAGCAATACTCCTGTTGACGACAACAACCAGGGTGTCTCTTCTTACGAAAATACCCCGCAGGTGAGCGTTTCATCAGATGTGGTGCTCAGCCAAGCAGCAATACTCCTGTTGACGACAACAACCAGGGTGTCTCTTCTTACGAAAATACCCCGCAGGTGAGCGTTTCATCGGATGATGGTGCTCAGTCAAGCAGCAATACTCCTGTTGATGACAACCAAAGTGTCACTTCTAATGATGAAACCCAGCAGGTAAGCACTTCATCAGATAATGGTGCTCAGTCAAACACTGACTCTTCGACCTCGAGCACCTTTGACCCGTATGATGGCGTGAGCATCCCACCCCCTCCAGTCATTGATGAAAATGATGTTGCCACTAAATTAAGCTCCTCTAGCTTAACTTTTGGATCTGGGGATATTTCAGAGCCTATAATTAGTGCACCTATACCTCCAGATCTCCAAGCAATGATGGCTGAGAATGACAGTGATGGTTATGTCGAGGAAGTGTACAGCTACACTATCCTTGTGAGTGGCGAGATTTACACCACTTATGCGACCACTCGGAGAGCAATTGGAAACTCCAGCGACGCACAGAGCGCTTTCAAGTCGTATGGTCCGGCTGCAATGACTATTGTTGCCGCGGTGGCTGGCTTCATGCTGTTGTTCTGAGACTGGTATCTTTTCCGTTTTTATTCCATCTTTCGATTTTTACACTTTTTATTCATTTTTATTTAAAGCTGTGCGTGGGAAAGTAGGATTTTAGGCACCATGTGACTATTGTTGATCTCTGCTTTCGACTTTTCCCACGACCTGCTATCGGTTTCATTGTTATTTTTATGAGAATACACGTATTTGAATATCAGCATTGTGAAAGCCATTGTCCCTCGCGGTTTGTGAATATGAAAAACAAGCGAGCAGACGAGGATACATCATCAAATTCATTCGTCTCTCTTTTTTGTTTTTGTTTTTTTTTTAACATTTTTTTGTATTATTCATTATTTTATTTTATTTTACAACTCTCATAACCACAAAGCCGCACACCCTACATTATACAAATCACTTCCTCATGTCTATACTGCGTGGATACTCGCGACTGGCACCAGGCAAGGTCAGAATGGCTACTCGGGGCCTGCTCCCAACAACAACAACAACCACCAGCTGCTGCAGCAGCAGCACCTTTCTCTTCAGCGGCGCTACAGTTCTGCGGCCGCGGCCACAGCAATCTCATCTGCAGAAGAGCGCAAGCCTCTGTTTGACAAGATCCTCATAGCCAACCGTGGCGAGATTGCCTGCCGCATCATGCACACAGCACGCAAACTGGGCATCAAGACCGTGGCCGTTTTCAGCGAAGCAGACCAAGAGCACTGCACGTGAATCTCGCCGACGAGGCCTACCTGATCGGCAAAGCGGCAGTGTCCGAAAGCTACCTGCAGTCAGGCAAGATTATCGAGGTGATGAAGAGTCTGGAGCGCAGGCCGTTCACCCCGGATATGGATTTTTGTCGGAGAACGCAACGTTTGCTGACGAACTGGCCGATGCCGGCGTGACTTTTATTGGGCCACCTGGGTCGGCAATGAGGAAGATGGGGAGCAAGTCCGAGAGCAAGCGGATTATGATAGAAGCCGGCGTGCCCGTGGTTCCTGGGTACCATGGCGAGCAGCAAGACGCTGGGTTTCTCAAAGAAAAGGCGGCAGAGATTGGGTACCCGGTGCTGATCAAGGCAGTGCTCGGCGGCGGTGGCAAGGGCATGCGGATTGTCAGGGGCGCCGACGAGTTCGACATGATGCTCGAGGCGTCGAGACGAGAAGCGATGAAATCATTTGGAGACCAGAAGGTGCTGATTGAAAAGTACCTGGAGACCCCGCGCCACGTCGAAGTGCAGATATTTGCAGACAGCCTGGGCAACGCCGTGCACTTGTTTGAGCGCGACTGCTCGGTGCAGCGCCGCCACCAGAAGATTATCGAGGAGGCGCCGGCACCCGGCCTGCTGCCCGAGATCAGACGCATGCTTGGTGAAAAGGCCGTGCAGGCCGCCAAAGCTGTTGGATATGTCGGCGCCGGCACTGTCGAGTTTATCATGGACTGCAACACGCAAGAGTTCTTCTTTATGGAGATGAACACGCGTCTTCAAGTTGAGCATCCAGTCACCGAGATGGTCACGGGCACGGACCTGGTCGGCTGGCAGCTCGAGGTCGCCGCCGGCAACCGCCTGCCGCAGCTGCAAGACGAGATCCAGTGCACTGGCCACGCCTTTGAGGCGCGCATCTATGCTGAGAACACCGACACTGGGTTTTTGCCCGACACCGGCCGCCTGGTGCACCTGAGGGCACCGGCAGAGTCGCCTGATGTGCGCGTTGAGACCGGCGTGAGGGCTGGCGACACAATCTCGGTGCACTACGATCCAATGATTGCCAAGCTTGTCGTGCGCGGCTCTGACCGCCGCGAGGCCCTGCGAGTGCTGCGCAAGGCGCTGGCTGAGTATGAGGTTGTCGGCGTCCATACCAACTTGGGTTTCCTGCGCCGTCTGGCCGCCAGCCCCGACTTTGCTGCTGGGGACGTTGAGACTGGGTTTATTGAAAAGCACCCGGAGCTGTTCCCAACCAAGCAGGCGGTTCCCGCTGACACCGTAGCGCTGGCTGGACTGGCCTTACTGGCCAACACAGCTGCGCAGCAGGCGGTCCGAGTTGACTCGCTGTCGCCATGGGCAGCCACTGACTCCTTCTGCATCAACACCGCTGGCTCGCAATCGGCGGAAATCACCAGCAGCGACCACACATACAAGGTCACTATTTCCGGCAACACTGTCAGCGTGGCCAAGGCCGATGGCGCTGTGAGCACGTTTGAAGATGTGCTGCCTGAGTGGACGCCGCGGGAAAACGGTGGCACGCTGCGGGTGCTGCTGGGCGGCCGGCTGTGCAGTGCATCGGTTGTGTTTGGCCAAAAGGACCATTCAGTGTCGGTGTTTGACCAGGGCACCGCCACTACCTTTCATGTGCCGCAGCCGCAGTATGTCGAGGATGAGGGCGCGGGGCCGGCAGGGTCTGTAGCCGCGCCGATGTCGTGCAAGATTGTCCAGGTGCTTGTTGAAAAGGGCGCTGTTGTTGAAAAGGGCGCGCCGCTTGTGCTCCTTGAGGCCATGAAGATGGAGCATGTCATTCGGGCACCCTCGGCCGGAACCGTCACCGATGTTTACTACAAGGTCGGCGAGCTGGTGGACGAGGGCAAGAGCCTGGTGGCGTTCGAGGCCGCCACCACTACTGAATAGACAAGCTGCTTTTCTTAAAAATATATTAATGTGATCTTACACAATCACACTTCAACACGGCTTATTTGAACTTTTCCGCCACTGCTGTCGACGCCGTAGTTGCGCTCGGCCACTGTGAGCACGTCTCCGCGGAGGAGGAGAACGTCGGTAGTCCTAGTGCCGTAGTCGCCAGACGCCATGCTGCCACAGAGGCCGTCGTCAACCTTGGGAACAAAAATCCGGTCCTTCAAGTCTTCGATTTTATGCGGCAGACTCCCCTCTTGCAGGCCACCTTCATCGCGCATGACGCTCATCAGCCTCGCGATGACGTCATCGTCGCTTCCGCCCACCCGAAGGGCCTCGGCAAACATCTGCTGGCCCCTGGTAACTTTGGGCCACGGATTATCCAAAAGCGAATTGGACAGCCCATAAACAACACCGGGCTCCAAGTCCTTGACCGCCTGGTCGCTGCGATTGCTGACATACACGGCCCTCACTGGTCGCTCGGCAAAATCAAACAAGACCAAGTTGAATCCGTCATACTTTGCCCTTTCCTCATAAATAAGCTGTGCATACTCCTGTGCAACCCGACCGGTGGGATTAATGAGCGGCTGGCCGCCGGGAGTTATGGGTGGATCGAGGAGGTAATTGCGGATAAGCGCGCCACGAGATATCCTATTGTCGTGGTGGAATATCGGTTCGCGGAAGTTTGTGAGTAGTGCCAGGCGGCCTTTACTTGTGCCTATCCAGGAGCCGCGCTGGTCTGGGTTGTCTGGCTGGAGATCCTGCGGCGCAAAGATGGATGGATTGCTCGGCCAGTGATGGAATCCAACAGTCGGCCGGCTGTAATATTCATCGCGGTTGAAGCTCAGGGCTAGATCGTAGCCCGCTGTATTTGCCGTCCAGAACGCAATACACATGAATGATAAAAAATCGGTAAAGGGATGTAAAGGGATAAATAAAATTGGGAATATAAAAGGGCAGAAAATAAAAGAGAAATAAAAAACCCATTGCTTTTTTCTTTTTGCTTTTAGCAAACTGAGTGTCAATTCGAATTTTGCACTGTTTGAACACTTATGCGTGATCACCTGAAATTCTGACATTCTCACGGCATACACAGTACACATCATTTGCAGCCAATATGTCATATCAGTGTGATTGCGACAAGGATTTAAATATTTTCATTCGCCATAAAAAATATTTCACTGACATTGGCATTTCTTTAATGTAAATGGACTGTTTATCCCATCTTGTACAATTATTATTTTCAACCCTTCAACCAACATGTGCAGTGATAGTAATAATGTTTATTAAAGTGTACACTATGAGTGCTATGCACAAAAAAGGATATAATAATAAAAATGTGTAGACAGACATGTGGTAGCCGATTAAAATTAGTTGCTTTACACAATACCAAACATAAAACTGAGGATCCACAAAATTTGAGAAATGGTTCTTTCAATAGACATCTCCCTCATCTTAATCAAAAAAATATGAAGAGAAATACAAATACAATAAAAATTCTACTAATTTAGCTTGTTTTGTATTTGCGTATATCATAATGCAACAGTTGTGATTAAATTTAATTAAGTTTAGACGGAAAAAAAGTAAAAAGTTAAATGTGTAATTTTGGTATTTTAATGCTACACAACCTACGGCAAATGTTGCGTCGACCGCACTCAAATATTATACATTTTCTAAAAATAAATATTATTATTGTCTGCTTAAGCTTTGCAAAAGGGGGTGGTGGGTAGCAGCTGCTTGTACTCCTTTTGGCTTTTTAAATATAAAACGAAATAATCAAATTTGAATTTAAATAAAAAATGCTTAACTGCTTTTTTAATAATACTGCGGTCAATGTACAATAAAATATTAATTTCGCATATATAAATGTATATGTTTCTTCCAACGCATAGTAATTACATTTTATAACTATTATTTTAAATACTTTAAATTATATAGTATTATAAACGATGGAGCTTTAAAAGCATTACATAATGGACGTGTATGGGTGTGGCGACGTTGAGAATAAGCCTGGGCTTTACCACCTGTGTTCTGTTAAAACTTACTCAAACAGAATCAACAATAAAATATTCAGTTATGTTGGCGTTAAGGCAGGTACTCGCTACGCATGCAGGTTTTATTATGTCAAGGACCGCAACTGCCTCAACTTAAAAAAAGATTTTTGGCGTATAAAAGGGGCAACAGAGATTATCTTTTGTGCTACAATGATGGGAACAAATGGCACATTTGCAACAATCAAGATAGGCTTCATGATCACCCACTTGAAATCTATAGCTTTATGACCAAAAAGCAGGTCAATGATGCCAATGATGGTACGAGTGGATGGATGGTTAAACAGCGAATGACAGAGCGTTCAGAAGCGTTGCACATAACAAGAGCAAAGGAATACAGCAAAGTCAACAAACACCCAATTAGAAAGCAGAAGGTGCCTTGCAAGTTTAGGGTAATTGATGTACAAGGATTGCTTGGCGGCGATATTGAATATTAGTATTAGCATTAGCATTAGTATTAGTTCAATGTTTTAAAAGTAGCTTTTTTTGTAAAAGTGTAATTTAAAATGGTTTATTAATAACATGTAAACCAACTCGTGTTGTTACACCTTGGGTTCTTTCATTTCCGCAGACCACCCAGTCAAATACATAACATTGCTATCAGAAAGGTAAACACGTTAGTTTTGTTGTTTCTGGCTGCACTCAGCTCCAGCATACAAACAGCAACAATTCAGGCCATTTAGTCGGCTGGTTGGGTGATATTAACATTCACACATTCCATTGTAGCATTGACAAACAGTACTAGCATTGCCTTTTTGTGTGTGTCTAAATATTTTTACACGCAAATATCAATGCCAATTACATTACTTCTTATTGATTTATTTTAATATTGAAGCTGGCAGATAATTACTTGTCTGGTTGATTGTATTGCACGCAGTGAGCTGGCAATCTCAAAAACTAAAAGCTGAAATTGGATTTCTGCAAAACAATTGTTGGCAACATTTTCTGTTTTGTTCATATTGAAAAAAGCAAGCAAACAGAAAAATTATACTACACATATGCCAGTGTTACATGGCCTGCATGCCAGCGCTAGCACCAGACTGGGGGCTGGTCGTGCTGGTGATTAAAATCCACCGATATTGAACACCGGGTGGCTTGCAGCGCTTCTGATTGCGCGGAACAGGCTTTGCACCGCGCCGAGCTTTGTGCGCACAACATTGGCTGGAACAGAGGACATCTGGATGCCAAACTGGCAGCTGTCGGTCGACGCAACCTGGTCGGGGCCAGCAGCGGTAATCGAGTCCACAGCGCACACGGGCAGGTAGTAAGCGCCGTTGCTCGTCTGCATGACGTTGAGCGTCAGGTGCGTGAACTTGTTGATTGCCGGGTCAAACACAGTGGTGAGCATCACCGGGGACGTGGTCTCGACATTGGATATGCGGGACATGTCGAGGAACGAGACCATGCGCGCCAAGTGGCTGTTGACGTTGGCCAGCGGCGAGAAAGACGGGGGAGCCATGCTGCCAGTGTCAATACCGCCAGGAGTATAGTTAACTCCGGCGGGAGTGGTGGTCGAGGTGGTCGAGGTCAAGGTGTCTTGGGCGGCAACAGTAGTGGCAGCGGCGGCGACAATGCAAGCGGCAAAGGCAATGTTAATCTGCATGGTTGGAAATACGTAAAATGTTGCTAGGTAGAAAAAGGCAGGCGAGTGCTCGTGCTGAATACATTGCTTAATTTGGGCAGGGCGTTGTGCTTCTTTTATACCCTTTTGATTGTACAACGCAAGCACACATTTCTATTTTTGGGATGATTCGAATATTTTACGCATCATTTTTGGTAGAAATAAAAGATGTATCTAGCGCCACCAACTGTGAAAAGACGTCTTTTTTACTAGAGCACTTGCAGCGATATCTTTTATTATTTAAAGATTGTAATGGCTGTATAAAACAAACGTTATAATAGCAATTCTATAAACGTACATATATAAATTTGATATTTAACGGTAGTGTTTATTGTAAAGATATATTTTAGTATGTCACGAATTGGTGCAAGTAAACTTTATGTTAGAGCCCCGGCGCCAATGGGGACCGGTGAAAATAAACAAGCAAACAGCCACAATTAAATTTTAGGTTGAGCCATGCAATGAAGAGCTCAGTGGTATTATTTTGCTCTGGTATTATCAGCATTTTTTTGCCCTGGTATTATCAGCATTTTTTTGCCCTGGTATTATCAGCATTTGGTCGGTTGTATATACCACCGCCATCTTTTACAGCGTGTCTAGTATTGATCAACTAGCCAAACTACAATTTTGCTCATCTCCAACTTTAATATTTTTACTTCCTAATGCAAAAGATAAATTGTACATTTTTGCATGGTAACCTGCTCAAACTCTGAAACATTGTGCGAGTATATTACAGATGATGATTAAAAATGGTTGAATGAAATTGAGAGTCAACAAGAACGCTTTGGTTTTAAAATTTTGCAGTTAAAAAATAGACGGTTCGAGGATGACGGCAAAGGAAATATCGGTTGCCAAGTTGGAAAAAAGTAGGCGAATGAAATAAAAATGAGGGTATATAGATAGGTATAGCACAGCCACAAGCGCAAGCAATAAAAAAAGGAGCATCCCCAAATAAAGAAAAAACAGCTCAACAAGTCGCGTCTCATTGGCCAATCGTTCTGCTGTTGGGGCAGTCTCTGATTAACTAGCACATTAATTGAAGAAGGTTAGGAAGCAGCAGTTAGTCCGTTTATTCGGTTCTTTCTGATGGCCACATAGGACGGCCGCTTGCTTGGTCTCGAACTAGTTTCAAGATCGACGCGCCGGCTGTTGCAAGAAATGTATAATTCATTGCTTTCTCTGTTAAAGATTATTGGACGGTGAGGAACATATGTGACACAAGTTTCAATTGCTGCGCAAAGTCAGTGAGACGTACCCACTCATGGGATTAAATGTGCACTCTGAGTCCTTTAATTTTTTGCTATTTTTCTGTCTGCATCTTGCTGCGTGTCAATCGTTGCCATGGCCAAATGCTATCGTTACTTTTTTGTAAATTTTTATTAGCTCGTTAAACGTATTTATCGTCCTCTATTTGTATATACACAATTATAAAGATAAATAAATTCATTAAAAAAAAGTTATATTACTTTTTGCGATTGCGCAGTCTGCTGAGCATCTTGATCGGCGTCATAAATATATTATCCGACCTCTGCTCCCCGCCTTTCTCCTCTGCATCTATTCCAGAAGACGATCCACCGGCCTCCATCACACTATCCCTTGACCTCGCACTCCTCACAGGCGTAAACAACACCGGCTGCCTACTAACCACTGCCACGGCCGCCGTTGTCGAGCCACTCTTCAAATCATGACCTCCACCAAGCAACGGGGAATGCTGCGGTGGCCACGCTCCAGCCAACTTCGACGGCGTCCCCATCAAAGACGTTGATGAAAGAGACATATGCATACTGACGTTGTCGTCACTATCCGGCGATACCACATTCATGACAGTGCGGCCCGCATGTAACCTGCGCTTCTTCTTCTTCACCGCCGCCGCCGTTGCCGCTGCTGTTGTTGTTGCTGGTGCTGGTGCCTGGGTCACAGGCGAGGATGATACATCGGCCGTCGTGACAATAGAGCCTGTGGGTGACTGATATCCGCGCAAGGGCACTTCCGTGAACGGCGGGTGGCTGGACGACACTGACTGGTGATTCTGCCGCGCGTTCTCCGAGTTGTAGCTCCTCGCAGCCGCATCACCATGATCCACCACTGGCTGCTCCTCATACTCAATATCCACCGACGGCAATAATGTCGGCGGCCTGCGCATCATCGACCTCGACCGCTTAGTCCCCTGTGCCGACCCCGTATCCTCATCGCCATTAGCACTAGTGATATCCATGATCTCCATATCCTCATCCTCGTCCTCATAATCCTCATCATCTGCCTCCGCGACAAACGGCAGATCATGGACTTCCTCCGACGTAAAAGTAACGCTGACACCACCTGTAGGATGCGCAACAATGGGACCAGAATACACAATGGACCGGACCTTATCCTGCCGCGCCTCTGCACCCATGGTATCGCCCCTCGGGCGCAGCCCTAGCCCAGCACCGCCCTGCTCAAACGAAACAACCTCGGCAGAATAACTCCCCACCGCTGTATCGGTATGCGCATACCTGCCAGCCATATATGGCAACACTGAGCCATCACCGCCGCCGCCTCGCCGTTTTGCCTCAGGCGTGAAATGATTAAACACCCGGCTTACCACGCGCTTCGCACCCTCCAGTTTCGCATGCTGACGGCCACCCGCCTGTGCCAAAGCAGCGGTTGACAAGGTACCAGCGGCAGTATGCTGTGTGAACGAATCCGACGAATCACGGGTCATGATCTGCTGCTGGGACTTGCTCTGGCCGCGATGATGCAGCACGCGGGTCTTGGACATCACCCGGGACAACGCCTGCGTCGAATTTGTAGCAAAACTCGCCTGCGATGTCGTCCCAGCTGCCCCAGGCACCGCCACCGGCAGCGTCGAAACACCCAGTGGGTTGCCGCCATTGATCGCCGAAATGGCCTCTGCGGACGTCAGCGACACCATATGGAACGAGCCATCGTCGCTGTCCATCTGGCCGTCGCTGCCCGCCTGGCCTTCCCCATCCTCCCCTTCCTCCTCCCTCTGCTGTTGCTGAAGGATCTGTCTCTCGGCCAGGTTCTTCCTGGTCTTCCGCACAAGAACATCGAAGCGCGCGCTCAGCTCCGTGTTCTTCTGCTGCTCCTGCGTAAACCACTCCCACACCTGGTCGAGCTCCACTTGCAGGCGCGCCACAGAAGACGCATCGGCAATCCCAGCGCTATCATCAGCACCGGTACCGCCGCGCCCCCTGGTCTCCTTGACCACCCGCAGCCGCTCCTGCATCGGCAGCATCTCCTGAACCTCCCACAACCGCCTCGCATACTTGGCCTGGGTGTCCGCCTCCTTCAGCTGCGTCTTCAGCATCGTGATCTGGGCCAAAAGCTCCGCACGCTCCCGCTCATGCACCAGGGTGATCGCCATCTGCGCGTTCCCCGAATGCTGCGGCTGCGCTAAAATGGCCTTGTTCTGGGCCGCCAGTGCCGCGACCTCCGCATTAGCCTCCGCCACAGCCGCCTCCAGGGTGGCGCGGATCTCCCGCTCGGCATCACGCTTCTGGTCGGCCAACTCCAGCTCAGTCGACAAAGCGGACATCCGCGATTCGAGAGACTCGACAGTGGAGCGCAGGTTATGCAGCTCGGCGTTTTCGCCCGCAGACACCGACGCCAGCTTGTTCGCCTTCTTGCTGGCCGCGCGGCTGACCGCCCGCCGCACGGCCGACCGCGGGGACACCGTCGGCACCTGCGCAGCATCGACCCCTGCGCCCTGGCCGTCGTCAGAGTCAGAGTCCGACTGCGACCCACGCGCCGACCGCAGCCGCGACAGAATATCAATCTTGTGCGCCGCCTTCACCTCGCACCGTGCCACCTCATCGCGCAGCCGCTCCCCAGCGGCCTGCTTCAGCTCAGCGACCTTCGCCAAGAAAAAGCGCGAAACCTCGGCCCTGGTCTCCTCCTCCACACACACAGCGCGCTCCTGCAGCGCCCCATAACGCAGGCGCACCTGGCCGAGCGTGCGCTCCAGCGCATCCGCGTAGGCCACGAGCTCATCCACCTCGGCATGCGTCTGCCCGGCCGAAATCTGGGTTTGCGCCCGGGCCAGGGCCTCGCGCAAATACGCGATCTCGCGCTTCTGCTCGCTGTGCATCGCAAAGGTCTGCGACAGAAGCAGCGGAGCCTCGCGGTGCACGCGCGACGGAGGCAGGTCGAAGCTGAACGGCGAGTTGCGCGTGATCGACTCCCAGACACTGGCCGGCACAGGCATGGGATTGGCTGAGCCAGGCTCCAGAGCTGCCGGCGTCGGGCGGCTGCGCTGTGGCGTCGCCACCGGACCCCGCTTCTCCCCTGTCTGCAGCATTGCGCGCGCCATTGCCGGCGACGGCGATGGCGGCGGCTGCCAGGACCCGGCCATGTCCCTGCGCTGGCGCTTCGCAGGGTCGACCTCGGCCTCAGCCGCCGCTCGGGCGTTGGCCACTGCATTCGACCTCTTCAGCACCAGCGGCGGCGGCAGCATCGGCAGCGCAGACGCGCGCAAGCCCTTGGAATCAAAGAAAACCTCCTCGTCGTCGTCGCTATCAGCGCCAGCAGCACCGGCGCGCACCCCAGTCGGCGACTCGCTCAGGACCTCCGCCGGATCCTCGACGCGGCGCACCTGCGTGACCAGCTCGCTCGCCACACGCGCAAACTCCAGCACGCCCTTGATCTCTGCATACGCGGCGCCCGGCTCTGCGCCAACGTGCTCGTAGGGATCGACGCAGACCACCATGCACGTGCGGGCGCCGCCCTCCAGCGCCGGCTGGAACAGACGCGTGACTTTGCTCTCGTTGTACGGCACCAGCTGCACGCCGGGGTCGCCGTCAGGCAGGCCGGCGTTGAAACGCTTGACGTCCAGGCACTTTTTAAGCGTCATCAGGCCGACGTTGATCTTGCCGGCCTCAGCCAGCCGCTCGCCCTGCGTGTGTGTGCGCTTGGCGCGCTCGCTGCCGGCCAGATCCACTACAGTCATCGTGCGCACCGACGCGCGCGCGCTGGCAGACACTCCATCAAGCGGATCAACCGTGGCCGCGCGCCGGATCTTGACCAGCTTGGCCTGGAACACCGCGTGCGACCGCGATGACCCCGCGTTCAGGCCTGTCGCGTGCACCGCGCGCCGCAGTTGGCCGTGCACCAGCACGCGCACGAGGTCGCGCGCCCCGCGTACGCGCACCTCAGTCGCACCCTCGACGAACGCCTCGTTGCCGCGCCCGCCTTCGGACCGCAGCAGCAGCGCAGCCCTTGGCAGCGCGGCAATCTGCGCCGCCGACATATTGACGAGATCCGGCGCGTCCTCCTGCTTGCGCCTCGTCATGCGCTTCCCGCGAGCCCTTGGCTGTGGCTGAGGGGCGTCGCCGACGCGCACAGTGGTCAGCGTCGTCAGATCCAGCAGGTCGTAGACCATCTCGTTGTACACCTCGAAGTACGACACGTACAGCTGGTACGCCCACTCGCCAGTGCCGCCTGCCACCTCCTGCGCAATCTCCGCCACGCGCGGGTCCAGCGCCGGATCCTCGCGGCTCAGCCCCGCCATCCACGCGTCCTCGCCGGGCGCCACGCGAAACACCGGCCGTGTCACCCTCGCGTCCGAGCAGTACTCGACCTGCGTGGCATACCGCGGCCTCACTGCAAAGTCGCCCTGCGCCTTGCACGCGTCCAGCACGCCGAGCACAGCGAGAACGCTGCGCGGCAGCATCCCAGGGCTGTCGCCGCTGCCCTGCACCGTGTGTGTCTTGCCGGAGTTACTGACGCCGTATGAGAACAGAAGCGTGTTGAAGCCCTGGAACAAGTCGCGCACCACGGGCAATGCGCATGCTTCGAATACCCGCGGCTGCCTGGCCAGCGACGGCAGCACGCCAGCGAACAAGTAGCGCTCGCGCACACCGCTGCTGCTGCCAGGCCGCACCACCTCGACCTCTTTTTCGCTTGCCAGCTGCACCAGGCACTGGGGCCTGTTTCCATCCGTGCACATGTCTTTGCCGGCCGGCTTGAGCCGCAGAAATGTGCGGATCGGGTCGCGCTCTGCCTCGTACTCAGCGATTCCGCGCCGCGCCGTGTACGGCGTCCGCGCCACCGCCACCCGCATCACATCCAGGGCTGCGCGCTGCTGAGGTGTTGCCGCCACCGGATCTGCTGTGCCGCGCGCGTACTTGCGCGCTCCTGCTATCGGCGTAAACACCGCGCGCGTGTTTGTGCGCCCACCCGCCGCTGCTCGGGGCGTCATCGGGACTGCTGCTGGAACTGCTGTCCCCGAGGGACCGTCGTCCACAGACATGTTTTCGTCGTTGCTGTTGGTGTCGCTGGTGTCATGGTCATTTGATTTGCTCTTGCTGCTGGCAGCTTTGACTTTGGCTTTGCTGCATCCGACTGGTGCTTTGCGAGGCGGCATAATTTAAATTAAAAATAAGAAAGAGGAAGAGTAAATGCTAAGAAGATTAATGTGTTGCGGAATGCCAAGGTCACTTTTTTAGATAGTATAGAGAAAATAATACAGAAAAACAAATAAAGACAATGAAAGGTTGAAAGTACTTTTATGAAGAAAAAAATAGACGCATATAATAAAAAACAATGCTTGATGCGCGGTGGTCTTTTGTTTACCTTTTGTTACGCACCAAAAAAAAACTAATCCTTGATTGCCCCCATTTTTGTTTGTTTGTTCATTTTGCAAAATTATCAAATCAATGCATCTGTCACGTGTGCTGTGCTTTTTGAAATTTTGCCATATCCCTTCCCTCCCTATTCAATTTCCTTATTGTCCAAAATGCTTTATTTTCTAGCTACTATAGATTGCAACTACAGAATGCCATATATACTATCGGCTTGTCAATGTTTTATGTATAGTTTTATGCTGGTATGCCAAATATACATATCTGTTTTATTATTTGCCAGAATAATTAAAATAACACGTGCCTATACAAAACCAATTTTCTGGCGCCGCCACCCAACACCAGCAATAACAGCTAAATAAAAATTATACATAATACATGTAGCTAAACAAATAAACTCACACGCCACCGTTTCAACTACATCTACAAATAGAAAAAACAACCTCCGAAGCTGCCATACCTTATAGCATTAACCTATATAAATAATACGTCCGAATGCACTTTTTCTTTTCAAAAATTCACTTTTTTCTATAAGTACAACTACAAACAAACAAAAAACAATATTATCCTCGCCCAAATCCACTCAATATGGCCGACATCTACGATATCAGGGGCAAAGTCGCTGTAATCACCGGTGGAGCTACGTCAATGGGGCTTCTCGCCGCCCAGAATCTCGTAGCCCTCGGTGCCAAAGTAGTAATCGGGGACATCTCCAACCTCGGCCCCGCAACAATTGCCGAGATCAACCAATCGGCAAACGCCCACGTTGCCACTTTCCACCACTGCGACGTTGCCGACCCCGCAATGCTTCATTCCCTCATTGACATCGCCATTGTCGAATTCGGCCAACTTGATATCCTCATCAACAACGCCGGCATCCTTGACAAGCCCTGGCAACACGACCCCACGGGCGAGTCAGCCCGCCGATGCATTGACATCAATATCCGCGGGCTCATCGACGGAACCAACCACGCTCTTCATTATTGGAGCCAGGATGAGAAAAGGCAGGGCGTTGTTATCAATCTTTCCTCGCTGGCTGGCCATGTGCCAATGGAATTCATGGCCACGTATGCTGCCACAAAGGCAGCCATCGCCCATTACACCAAATGCCTCTCGACACTTGCCCCCAAAGTACGAGTCAACGCGGTGGCCCCCGGCGGTGTCAACACAAATTTTATACTGGCCGATCATCTCGGTCTCGACCACTTCTGTGTCACTTACTCGGGCCTACTGGAGCCACAAACTGTGGTCGACCAGATTATTCGCTTGATCCAGGATACAACAATGGCAGGAGACGTGATTGTTATTCAGAATAACCAGCCACCCGAGGTCTGCGATAGACCAAAGTCATCAGTCGTTGAGAAAATGCTTATTGAGCTTGCTGAAGCAAATAAAAACAAGAAAAATTAAATGAGCCTTGGGCGCGGTGGTTGCCGGTGTGGTTATAGTCTATGTGGTTATAGTCGGATGGCGGTGACGGTTGTTGGCGCAGAGTCGGGCTTGCGCGAGATCTTGGCCTTCGGACTGCTCATGTCCTGGGTCATGTAGCCATAACCCATGCTGTGGGTCGTATGAGCAATTCCCAGCTCTAAACGATTATCAATAAGAAACATACATTCAAATGTAAAAATAATCATTAGTTAAAAAAACTTCCTGGTTTTATATTATATCTTGCACAATCTACATTCCAAGCATCAATCCCCTCAAACCAAGCAGCAAAATATTCACATTTGCAACATCTTTTTTTACCTGAAGTGTTGCTCTCAACGTCATGCCGCAGCAAAACAATACCCGCGCTCCTGTATCTGTACTTCGAAAGCGACTTTGCTTTATTAAACTCTTCAAAGCTATCGCTCAGCATAGTAAATAAGTCTCCCGGACGTTGTGCGCAGTTCTTGGCCAACATCTCACGCATGATCTGCTCGCCCGTACCAGTCACGCTGCACCCAACAGCCAGCGGGCAATCATCATCGTCCAACTGTGTTTCGGCCCAGCATCCACACCCAAACATAGCAGCCTACAAAAAAAGTAAATAGAAGTGGTTAATTCATAATTAGGTTTTGTTTTAACCTGTGTATTCTTGGCAAACGTCCTTTTTCTATAAACATATATGCTTACCTCACCCACGCGTCCTGGGTATTTAAGCGCAATCCCGCCTGAACTAACCCCAGCAGCCACATTTCCGTGGGAATCAACGCACACTGCACCTACAGTATCCATCAACAAGTCTTGGGACCCGCCACCATTATCAAATAAGTCGGCCTCCGTCTCTGCAGCTTTAGACACATTTGTGATGCGGTTCATATATTCCTCGTATTTTCCTAACGCCGCCTCGGTAATCTTGTGTCGCGTATTATTGTTGGTCTCAATCCCACGCGCATGCGCCCAGGCATCCGCGCCCTTGCCGACAAGAAGCATCGGTGGGACCAAGCCCAGGTGACAGTCGGGGCCCCCACTATAACATTTGAGAATTGCATTGGCAGCTTGGATAGGATTGCAAATAGCTACAAACAGCATTATTTTAGCCATCTTTAGTAATAAAGCTAACAAAAATATTTTTTGTATTATCTATATTTTTTTACCAATTTTTTTTACCTGATACTGCTCCAACCGCTCCAAATGCATCCGGCTCTGAACTCATAATCGCTGCATCACATTCAACCAACCCGACGCGGTTCAGATTAGATCCAATCCCAGAATTCGTCACGGGATCATCCTCCAGGATACGCACTGCGCATTCGACTGCATCGTTGGCATGTCCGCCTTGCCTCAGTTTGTCCATGGCCGTAATACACGCTTGCTTCATCGCGGCCTTGTAGCTGGATGCCTTTTGTTGGCTGTGGTATCCTGCACCGACATGAACGGCCACGCAGCATTGGTGATTACTGTTGCTAGTTTGTTGGTCGTTTGTTGATGACATTGTGTAGTTAATTTTTGATATTTGATATTTTGAGGACAAATACAAAAGCTTTCATATGTAAATATCCGTCGAATTATTTTAATGCAGAAAGAAGGGAGGGGGCTGGTCGGCACAAAGCGAGATCGGTATCTCGTGTTATGGAAAACAGATATAGACATTGGTGTGGAAATTTTAATATTGACAAGTGTAGTTTTATTTTACAACGATTTAAATAGAAAAAGGAAAAAGTGGATAAAACTAAAGACAAACGGAGAAACCCCAGCCCAGCCTGTTCGTTTCGTTATAAGGCCCAAGTATACTACTACACTCAAACGATCTCACAGCCAAAAACAAAAAGGGCATTGCCTTTAAGCGCAGAAGAAAATAAAAAATTCACAACATTCCACAAAAACAAAGTGGAATGATAAATTTAGCAGCTGACAAACTGCCAGGTGATCGGCACTCGACCCTGGTCAAACTCCGCAATTTGCTCAAAAGCAGCTGGCGACAGATCAAGATCACCCTGCTTGCACGGCGGGCACTTATCAACAACCGTGACCTTGACCTGACCATTGGGACCCTTAACCAAAATGCACTTGCCGCAGACCGCAGCGTTATTCGGGTTAGCATCAGTACCATACTGGGGCGCGTTGATGGCCGCAACCAGCTCGCTATCGCTGTTTAACGTGCCACAGGATCCGGTACCGACGCTTGGATTGTAGTATGTGCCGTCGCCGGAGAACGTCTCGCCGCCGGTGTCGGAACCACCACCGTCGGCAGATGACTGCGGTGTAGATGCAGGAGCCTGCTGCTGCTCCTCGGCTGTAGATGGAGAGGCCTGCTGCTGCTCCTCGGCTGTAGATGCAGGAGCCTGCTGCTGCTCCTCGGCTGTAGATGGAGAGGCCTGCTGCTGCTCCTCGGCTGTAGATGGAGAGGCCTGCTGCTGCTCCTCGGCTGTAGATGCAGGAGCCTGCTGCTGCTCAGAGACAGGCGAGGACTGGGGCTCGGTTGGTTTATCTTGAGCAGAGGTGTCTTGAGCAGCAGGGACATCTTTAGATGCAGTGACCGTCACAATCTCCGTGACGATTATCACGTTTTCTCCCTGGCTGAGTGTGGTCGCGGTGGGGCTAGGTGTAGTCGCAGCACCCTCCTCTGCGCTAATGACCTTTGTGAAAGTCGGGGTGTCCTCCTCGTTCTCAACGTCAACGGTGACTGGCGTGCTAATACCGGCTGCGAGTAAAAGAGATGCTAGCGCCTTCTTGTTCTCGGCGTCAGCGAATTTAGCGTGCTCATCAGCGACCTTGATCAGCGACTGTATGTCGGCGTTTTGATCAGGCATGGCATCACGGCCAACAATTGACCGGTGGTCAGCGGCCGATCCATAACCAGTAGTGGCCAGAGCGGCGGCGGCAATGAGCGAAGAAGAAAGTGTAAGCTTCATGGTTGTTTGAATATAATTTGTGTGTGTATGTGCGCACGGAAAAAGTAAAAATCAAAAGATATTTGGAAATGTTAGTTTATAATTTAGAAGAATATACGGCAAAACTTGCGTTTAAAACAGATGAAGATACAAGGATAATGTGAATGTAATGAAATTTGTGCGGCTGCAGGGATCTTATATAGTGCGGCTTGCCTGTGAGGATGCTGGGGGCTTCAATTGATATGGAGAGGCCGGCTTTTCAATTGATGATATGATGACCACTGTGAATCAAGCCGCTATGAAATAGCAAAAATGAAAAACAAATACAGCCAAACGGTATCTGTAGAACGTGAAACTATTGACTGTTCTCTACGCGCACAAATATTTGTAATTTACTCAATAATATATTTCATATTGATCATTTTTCCCGACTATTTTTCCGAATGAAGACAATACTGGCTATCTGGAAGGTCACACCCTAGCTTGGCATTAGCTGGCTTGCAGGGTGGCGGCTTTGGGAGGAATAGTCTGTTGGATAGACGAGAAATCCATACTTGAATTTTGTCCACTGGCCAATAGATGCCACTGGACATCGCCTCATCTGAGAATAAACAATATATAGTTTTCACTTTGTTTTCACACTCGATTGCTGGTTGGCCCCGCTTATTGGGTTGAGATTTTGCGTGTGGGGAGGCAAATTGAATGCATTAATCGCAACGCAGCGATTGGAGGAAATTATCCAAAAAATGTGGCGGGAATCCGTGACACAAAATAATCTTGTGTAACCCAAACTTAATGCAGTCGGCCAAAAATTAGGCGAGCAACTGAAATGTGTGCAACACAAAAAAAACATGGCGGAGCAGCAAGAGTCGGAGGACTTACTTTGCCAAATGCTATCGTTACTTTTTTGTAAATTCAAAATTTTGTTGTGTGGGGCGGGTCCATGATTTTTTTGGAGTCATTTTGTTGAATCAGCCATGGCAACGATTGACACGCAGCAAGATGCAGACAGAAAAACAGCAAAAAATTAAAGGACTCAGAGTGCACATTTAATCCCATGAGTGGGTACGTCTCACTGACTTTGCGCAGCAATTGAAACTTGTGTCACATATGTTCCTCACCGTCCAATAATCTTTAACAGAGAAAGCAATGAATTATACATTTCTTGCAACAGCCGGCGCGTCGATCTTGAAACTAGTTCGAGACCAAGCAAGCGGCCGTCCTATGTGGCCATCAGAAAAAACCGAATAAACGGACTAACTGCTGCTTCCTAACCTTCTCCAATTAATGTGCTAGTTAATCAGAGACTGCCCCAACAGCAGAACGATTGGCCAATGAGACGCGACTTGTTGAGCTGTTTTTTCTTTATTTGGGGATGCTCCTTTTTTTATTGCTTGCGCTTGTGGCTGTGCTATACCTATCTATATACCCTCATTTTTATTTCATTCGCCTACTTTTTTCCAACTTGGCAACCGATATTTCCTTTGCCGTCATCCTCGAACCGTCTATTTTTTAACTGCAAAATTTTAAAACCAAAGCGTTCTTGTTGACTCTCAATTTCATTCAACCATTTTTAATCATCATCTGTAATATACTCGCACAATGTTTCAGAGTTTGAGCAGGTTACCATGCAAAAATGTACAATTTATCTTTTGCATTAGGAAGTAAAAATATTAAAGTTGGAGATGAGCAAAATTGTAGTTTGGCTAGTTGATCAATACTAGACACGCTGTAAAAGATGGCGGTGGTATATACAACCGACCAAATGCTGATAATACCAGGGCAAAAAAATGCTGATAATACCAGGGCAAAAAAATGCTGATAATACCAGAGCAAAATAATACCACTGAGCTCTTCATTGCATGGCTCAACCTAAAATTTAATTGTGGCTGTTTGCTTGTTTATTTTCACCGGTCCCCATTGGCGCCGGGGCTCTAACATAAAGTTTACTTGCACCAATTCGTGACATACTAAAATATATCTTTACAATAAACACTACCGTTAAATATCAAATTTATATATGTACGTTTATAGAATTGCTATTATAACGTTTGTTTTATACAGCCATTACAATCTTTAAATAATAAAAGATATCGCTGCAAGTGCTCTAGTAAAAAAGACGTCTTTTCACAGTTGGTGGCGCTAGATACATCTTTTATTTCTACCAAAAATGATGCGTAAAATATTCGAATCATCCCAAAAATAGAAATGTGTGCTTGCGTTGTACAATCAAAAGGGTATAAAAGAAGCACAACGCCCTGCCCAAATTAAGCAATGTATTCAGCACGAGCACTCGCCTGCCTTTTTCTACCTAGCAACATTTTACGTATTTCCAACCATGCAGATTAACATTGCCTTTGCCGCTTGCATTGTCGCCGCCGCTGCCACTACTGTTGCCGCCCAAGACACCTTGACCTCGACCACCTCGACCACCACTCCCGCCGGAGTTAACTATACTCCTGGCGGTATTGACACTGGCAGCATGGCTCCCCCGTCTTTCTCGCCGCTGGCCAACGTCAACAGCCACTTGGCGCGCATGGTCTCGTTCCTCGACATGTCCCGCATATCCAATGTCGAGACCACGTCCCCGGTGATGCTCACCACTGTGTTTGACCCGGCAATCAACAAGTTCACGCACCTGACGCTCAACGTCATGCAGACGAGCAACGGCGCTTACTACCTGCCCGTGTGCGCTGTGGACTCGATTACCGCTGCTGGCCCCGACCAGGTTGCGTCGACCGACAGCTGCCAGTTTGGCATCCAGATGTCCTCTGTTCCAGCCAATGTTGTGCGCACAAAGCTCGGCGCGGTGCAAAGCCTGTTCCGCGCAATCAGAAGCGCTGCAAGCCACCCGGTGTTCAATATCGGTGGATTTTAATCACCAGCACGACCAGCCCCCAGTCTGGTGCTAGCGCTGGCATGCAGGCCATGTAACACTGGCATATGTGTAGTATAATTTTTCTGTTTGCTTGCTTTTTTCAATATGAACAAAACAGAAAATGTTGCCAACAATTGTTTTGCAGAAATCCAATTTCAGCTTTTAGTTTTTGAGATTGCCAGCTCACTGCGTGCAATACAATCAACCAGACAAGTAATTATCTGCCAGCTTCAATATTAAAATAAATCAATAAGAAGTAATGTAATTGGCATTGATATTTGCGTGTAAAAATATTTAGACACACACAAAAAGGCAATGCTAGTACTGTTTGTCAATGCTACAATGGAATGTGTGAATGTTAATATCACCCAACCAGCCGACTAAATGGCCTGAATTGTTGCTGTTTGTATGCTGGAGCTGAGTGCAGCCAGAAACAACAAAACTAACGTGTTTACCTTTCTGATAGCAATGTTATGTATTTGACTGGGTGGTCTGCGGAAATGAAAGAACCCAAGGTGTAACAACACGAGTTGGTTTACATGTTATTAATAAACCATTTTAAATTACACTTTTATAAAATGAATGTAAATAAACAAACTGATTGTACCTAATTTTATTCTTACAATTAAATTGAGAATTTCAAGGAAACAACCTCAAATGGTTTGAGCTGCACTTCAACAGTTTTTGAATGCGGCAACCATTGCAAATTAGAACCAACTGGCTTTTCCAACAAGTTAACCTTGCAAACACTTGTGGCTGGTAGTCGCGACGTCAGCAAAGCATGGCCACGGCCACCGTATGCCTCATACATGCGCACAATATAGCTGTTCTTATCATCCTCAGCAACCTTGACAGTGTCCAAAACCACGTTAGGCGCACCTGTCAGCGAGAAGAACGGCGGTGCATCAGCGCAACTCGTGGATTCAGAATCTAGCGGCAAATGTACAAGCGGAATATTAAACTGGTATGCCTCTTGGACCACGTTAGACTCGCTGAAGGTACCCTTGTGCGGGTAAACGGCATAGCAAAACTTATGATGCCCCATGTCACAGAACTCATCAGGTGCCTTTGGAGCACGAATAAGCGAAAGTGACATAGTGTTACCCAGTGTAGAGTAGCCATACTTGCAGTCGTTGAGCAGAGTAACTCCATAGCCATATTCCGACAAGTCAGCAAATTTGTGCGCGCATACTTCAAACTTTGCCATATCCCAGGATGTGTTGCGATGTGTCGGCCGCTGTACAACGCCAAACTGTGTCTCATAAGTGGCAAAGTCGCTGGTAATGTCCCAGGTAAACGATGTCTTGAGGCACTTGCGGCTTTCGTGCCACTCCAAGTTGCAGTCAAAGTCCAGGCGAGGAGATATAGCTGATAGCGATATGGTTTGCGTCAACACACTCTTGTGACTAATGGGAATGCGCACGGACAAAGAAGCAACCAAAGGCCCTTTGTCGGCTATCATGACGCTGACACCATCAAGCGTTCGGTACTTTTCCAGTGCATAAATCTCAATATCCCAGGCGTCCCAGAACAGCGGCACATCATCGTAGAGCTCAAAAACGTTGCCTGCCGCGCCCTCAGGAACCAGTTCACGGCGCTCGCTGTGGTCATAGTAGTTAACAATGCGGCCGCTTTTGTCAACAACCACGCGCACAAAATGATTTTCTAGAACAAACCCTTCCCCATTAGAACACTCATAGACCTGCATTGGCTGGATGTACTCGGCGTGCGATGTGCCATGCGGTGTGATAACCCGCGATCCAAATCCGGGCACATTGGGAGCAAGTACAAATACTGAACCATCTAGTTCAGACACCTGCACATGCTCAGATACAGGGCTGTTTTCACAGAAAAACAGTGGGACAAGGGGTTCGGGAACTGTGACAATATCCGTGCGCATCCAACCGGTCGTGTTAAACACAGCCAAACTAGTTGCCTGACCCATCTGATTAGTGACAGCACCGCCATAGATGCTGACTACAGCACGGTCGCGGATTTTGGAAACAGTCTCGAAAATGTCTCGGTACATCTTATCACTGTCCCGATATACCATGTTAATAGATGACCCGGGAACTACGTCATGGAACTGGTTCAGACAAACCAACTTCCACAACCGCACAAACTCGTCTATTGGGTACTCAAACTTGTCTCTGCAGTGCGGTCTCATGTGTGCAATTGTGCAGAGCATTTCCGCATCTCTAAGCTTGAACTCGGACTGGCGGTTCCACAGCTTATTATTGGATTGAGACGTGTACGTGCCACGGTGGAGCTCAAAATACAGTTCACCCTTCCATGTCACTAGCTGCTTAGAGTTTTCCTCAACGTGCACATAAAACTCTTGCGGGTGCGCCTGCTTGACCTTGGGAAGACCATCGACGTCTTTCATTCGGCGCAGCCGCTCGAGCATGGACCGCAGGGGACCACCACCGCCGTCTCCATTGCCAAATAGATACAGACTCTCGTTGGTGTACGCAATATCTTTGTGGCGCTTGACGCTGTCAATCAGTTCGCCCGGGCGACATTGGGCCCCGTATGTCTCGGCGGGCGCCATGTGCGTCAGCACGTGGCTGCCGTCCAACCCGACCCATTGGAACGTTGTATGCGGGAACTTGTTGATGTTGTTCCATGACAGCTTCTGTGTAAAAAAATATTTTGCGCCTGCCTGTTTTATAATCTGCGGCAGCTGCGACGAGTAGCCAAAGGTGTCTGGAAGCCAGAAGACGTTGCAGTATTCGCCAAAGTGCTGTTTAAAGAAGCGCTGGCCGAGGAGGAACTGGCGCACAAGTGATTCGCCGCTGGGAATATTGCAGTCCATTTCGACCCAGGTACCACCAATTGGGATAAACTGCCCTGTTTTGGTCTTCTCCTTGATGCGCTCAAACAATGATGGGTAGTTTTCGTGAAGCCACTCAAACTGCTGTGCCTGAGACGCTGCAAAACGGTACTCAGGGTAGCTGTCCATCAGATAGAGCTGTGTCGCCCAGCTGCGCGCGGACTTGCGCTTAGTTTCAGCATACGGCCACAGCCATGCGGTGTCAATATGGCAGTTACCAATGGCGTACACGCGGTGGTTAGCCGAGCTGCCCTGGATATCTAAAAACGCCTCGGCAATCTTTTTCGCAGGCGCTATGGTTGATAAATCAGAGTACTCAAAGACATTGACAATGTCGTTCGCCGCAGTGAGCGCTTGCCAGGACCGCGGCGAGTCCTGCGACAAGTGATTCGCCATCTCACTGATTACCTCCATGTCGTGGAAGAGTGCCCATGCGTCCTTGTTAGGCGCCACAATGTTGGCACTGTTCAAACGATAGTAGATGTCGCGGTCCTGTGGGTGCTTGTGGTAGTCACCATTTCCAAACAAGCCGTTACAGGCCATTTCAACGTAAAACAAGAGTGGTTCCTCATGTTCTGTAGCGCAAGGTGTTAGAAGATAGTCAATGTGCCGCTCGACGCCGCCACCTCCGGTTAACCCAATGATTGGCTCGCCAGCTGCTGACCAAACCATGGCTTCGCTATTGGTGTCTATCAAAAACTGCGCTGGCTTACCGACAAACGAGGCGGGCACTTTGGCTGTTACTCGAAACCAGTGTGTGGTCTATAATATTAATAACAGAGGGAAAATTAGTTAATAGTGCGCCAAGTATAGTGAAGCGAAACCGTTATTGGCATACTAAAGATACGTGTACTTGTTTGTTTCAAAATAAAAGACAATAGATGGCAGCACAAAATAAACAAAAAGTAAACTTACCCATGACGGTCCAAATGACTGGCCCACTTTTGCAGGTCGGAACTCCTGCTTGACAGCATGCTCAAACGATGGGCGATCCTGGCCGGGGGCCGACCACACCTCGAGCTTGATATGCGGCTCTCCGCTTATGCACATGTCGTAGAGAGTGGCCTGGATATTGACGTCCTTCCACTGGTTGTCACTCATAAAATTGTTCACGCGAGACCTGGTAATGGCCGGGTGCTTCTGCAAGTAGCTCATATGCTTGTCCATGGTTTAATAAATAAAGTGTTTAAAATGATAATGTATAAAAATAAAAAATAAGGGAAGTTGTAAAGGTTGGCGCTTGGCAACAGTTATTTGGGGCACTACCTATATGCATCAAGCAAAGTGTAAAATAAATACAATGAGAGTGGGTCATGCGAACAAATGCAAGGAATGTATTTGCATTTTTTCAGTAAATTGCAAACAAAATGATCATAAAGAGTGGTTGTGCAATTTAAAAAAGAATGATCAGGGTGCGAGTAAAATTTTACTTTACTGCACCCGTAATGCTTCATGTGTGCACAAAAAGTAGGGGGGAGAGCACACATACATATACATATACATAAGGCCAGTCATGCGGTTGGTGAAAATGCCGCTGTCAAATGCGGTAAACCCCCGCTGTCATTGCATTTCTCTCTCAGCCATCTTTTGGTGTCAGACCTTTTCCATGTATTAATTCAATTGCAAGATCGTATATTTACTAATCACAAGCTCATTATCAATTCGCACAGGTAAAACTAACACGTTGATCAACATCATCACATGTGTAGACTTGCAATATTTGAGTGTTTATAAAAAGAAAGGATGTATGTTTATATTTAGAAAATTCGGATTAATGCAATGACATAAAAAATTAATAAAAGGTTTGAAATTCCTAATCAAAAAACTATAGGCGCAGAAAAATAGCTAATGTCGACTATTTCAAAGATCCAAATGCCCTTGATTGGGAGGGAATTCAGTTGATTGGTAAAAGAGGTGAGGGGGAGTGTAAACTAGAAATGAGATGGCAGTGTAAAATGAGGCTGGATAAACAAAACAAATGATCTCAGGGGAAGGCCCCCGGTAAAATGGGTTTTCCCATTGTCCTCGTTGGTATATGAAAAAGACAAATGCAACCACATAATTACAGCTCGGGGTAAAAATGCTCTTCCTTAACGTGCTCGCTTGTCTCGTACGCGGTACCAAACAAAGCACCACACAATGCGCATTGGTAATTATGAGCATGGTAGCAGCGCATATCGGTCAGCTTCACATGGAAATCAGTTGTCTTCTCTGTAATGGAAGCGGAGCCGTAGACAGCGGCAGAAATGATAGAGTGGATGGCGCACATTGTTGAGTTGTATATGATCTCGGACTGAGTATTGAAAATTTTTATTTGAGATAGTATAAAATATATATGCAGAAAAGAATAAAGCAAGGATTAAGTATGAAATATGAACTGTGCAGCGTGCAAAGATATATAAAATGTTTGAGAGAGAGAGAAAGCAAAAAAATATAATGTGTCTGGTTCTATCGAATGCTGCAATGCTGTAATGATGTTGTGAAATGTGCTATTTGTAATGGCAAGAAAAGAGAGAAAAGAGGAAACCTTATAACGTGGATGCTATGGAGTGCTGGTAAGAAAATAAATGAATGAATATGGCAACGGCCGGCCCTCAGTTATTTATACGAAGCTTGGAATATATCTATTACGTATTGAGGTTTTTGTATCGGTTTGAGGTTTTTTATTTTTCTTAATTTCTGACAATATCTTTAATTGAAAAAACGGACGAGTAGCAGACTGCATAAATAAAAAAGCCAATTTATTTTATTTATTTGGGGGAAATGTCATACAGAAATAAACAACTGAAAAGACATTTTGTAATAAATCCAAACCGCAATCTTGCATGATGTGTAAATATCGACCAGAGGCCCATTTCCATTTTTACCCAGTTTACCCTAACAGCCAAGCGGGCAACAACGGTCGCTTTGCTGATTTTGCTGCGCACTTTTTACATCCTTACAACAAATAAAAAAAGTTGAGGGATGGTAATTCCACAGCAGAAAATTACATTGAGATAGCAGGAGAAAATCAATGCACAATGCACTTTGTAAAAATAGACATGGTGCCGATGATCGGGGATTTTGGTTGAAGAATGAGCAAATAAAAAAACAAGAATTTATAGATCAACTGCACATGTCATCTTTTTATTCCCACCGGCATATTTGTCTGCTGCCGCTGCAAGCTGCTGACTATGCGGAGGATAAAATAAAATTTTGAATTCAATTGAAACGCCGTCCGCACTCGTCTGTTGAAAGCCTCAACCCTCCTCCCCAACTTTTTTCTGCGTAGTTCACCCAACACAAAGTAATTTGTTTTCTCTCCCACCCACCCAATCCCTAATTTGTTTTGTGTTTGTAAAGACCCGGTGTGTCGAATTGCTTGGTCAACAATAAACAACGCAACTGTTTGGAAAAACCTTTGCAGATTTACACTGCATAAATTTGAATCTCAAGACCAAGTAAACAAACCATTCGCGCAGTCTGTGCGTGTCAGATGTGGGGGAGTGAGTGTGCGAAATTATGTTTTCTTGGGGGCTGATAAAGAATCTTTTAAAAATAATTTATGCTCCCCAATGCCTTCCCCTCAAAGGTTGAGTTTTTGTCCGCCGGTCTACCCCATGCGGCCACCTCAGCTTCTTTTCCCCCATCCAGTGTCCTTTTGTTTGATTTCCTCAAGTTTGTAATAACTATTTATAGCTTTTAAAGTTTTTCAAAAGAAAAAAAACTAAGGTGCACGGCTAATATAAATGAAAAAGGAATATCAAGCACAGAATAAAACAAAGGCCTGTTTTTACACACGAGCAGTACTTTTTTAATTAGCCGGGACGCAGGCCACTACTGCCTTGCAGTCGACAAACAACGCGTGCATTGCATATTCGTGTACACATTTTTTTGTTTAAAGCAGAACATTGCTCATTTGTAAAGCTGTGCTGAAAAGTGAAAATAATAAATTTAACAAATAAAAATTGCTAAGAACACAAAAAGAAGCAAACAAAATGTTTACTCCCACTGGACACGCCACTTGTCGTTCTCCTCATTACCCTGGCCGAAGCAAGTGACCGACTGGACATCCTCCGAGAAGAGAATATCGTGCGAGTGCAGGGCCATTCCACTGACATAGTGGCGGAGCACAATCACCTCACTGGCATCCCAAACCTGGCCATAGGCGCCATTACCCCAGCGCTCCACAACCCAGTGATCGTTCTCATCCGAGTTCATCGAATCACCATAAGCGGTAGTCTCATTCTGGCCGCACTTCGGGTCGCGGAAGTTATAGTGCGAGTGCAGGTGGGTGCCAGTCTGCACATGTCTCAGACGGATCTGTGTGCCAAAGGAAATGTTGGCGCCGGGAACGGGGACATCATGGTTGGCAGGGAGAACCTGCCAGAAGTCGTTCTCGTCGGTGTTCCAGCGGTAACCAAAGACCATCTGCTGGTTGGAGCCGGTCTGGGTGCTGTGCGAGCGGTCGGTGTGCAGGAAGCGGCCGGTCATGTTATGCTTGAGCGCAATGATGCTGCCAAACTTGACCTTGTTGTCGCCGCCGGTGTGGTGCAGCTGGGGGTACTCGTGCGGGGTCGGCGAGTTCTGCGAGCAGCGCGAGGGGTCGGCGTTACGCACATCGTTTTGGTCAAAGGAGTAAGGAGGACGGCCGAGGGGAGCCGGAGGGCAGAAGCCGCTGCCGGAGTCGTTTGAGTGCTGCTGCTGGGGAGGAGGCGACTGGGGCTTCTGCTGGTGGTGGCTGCCGCCGTAGGCAGAGTCAGTGCTGGGCGAAGTGTATCCACCGCCGTAGTGCTGCGACTGCTGTTGCTTCTTCTTCTCTTCCTCCTCTCTGCGCTTCTTGTTGTTGCTCTCCTCGTCGCTGCTGCTGTTGCCATCCTCGCGGTACTCGTGGATACCGTAGGCGACAGCACCAATGGCGGCGGCACCGAGGGCGGCAATACCGGCCTTCTTGCCGTAGTCCTTGATGATAGAGTTCTTCTCGTTCTTCTTGATCTCCTCCTGGGAGAAGTTGCCGCCGGGCGCGTTGTTGCCGTAGGGGTTGTTGGCGTACTGGGACTGACCAGAACTGTATTGGGACTGACCAGCACCGTGCTGCTGCTGACCGTACTGCTGCTGGCCATGCTGCTGCTGCTGACCGTACTGCTGCTGGCCATGCTGCTGCTGCTGACCGTACTGCTGCTGGCCATGCTGCTGCTGCTGGCCATACTGCTGCTGACCGTACTGGGACTGAGCAGGGCCGGAGTGCTGCGAGCTGAAGCTGCCAGTGTTCTGGGGCTGGCCATACTGCTGCTGGTTCTTGTTCTTGTCACCACCCAGGCCGAAGAAGCTGCTAAAAGTTGTTTAAAGTAAGACAAAAGAAGGGTATTTATAGTTAGTATAGGGTATTCAAAATAATAATAAAAATACATAATTTGTTTCAAAATCAAAAATTTAATGTTTAAAAAATAATGTGAGAAACTTACCCGATGCCGCGCTCGCCCTCCTCCTCGTTCTGCTGTCCAGAGTTGTTGTTGTTGTAGTCGCCGTAGTTGCTCATATTGATAGAGTACAAGTAGTCAGAAAAAGAAGGATTTTTTAAAAAAATTAAAGAAGTGATGAAAATGAAAGGATTGAAAAATAATGTAGGAAAAAAAGAAAACAAATGAAAAATGGAATAGGGCAAGTTGTCTAATTTATACTTGACCATGTCAGTCATCCTCCTTCATCCTCATTTCCTCTTTTTTACTTTTGGCAGTTCTTGTATTTAAAAACACTGCATAACATGAGAAAATTGAGCGAGTGATAAAAATAGGACAGCCAGTGCACAAAAACGCTAAAAAAGAACCCTTATTCACACGAGAGTATTTGCATTATTATTGTTTTGGAAATTTTGTTAGTGTAGCTTTAACGCCCAATCCAATCCTGTCTTCTCGTTCGCAACACGAGGACGTGGACAAATAAAGAGGATGGGGGGAGAAAATGACATTGGAAAACAAGGAACCAATGTATCGGCTGACTGGTTGTTTGCCAACAATTGCAGCTGTAAATTCCAAATTTCTAAAATTTCCACTTCCCTCCTCCCCTCATCCTGAAGCAAAAATGAGAAGAAAAATCATCATAGAAAAAATCCTTCTGTCAAGCTTTTCATAACATATTTTTAGAACAAGGAAAAAAAAGGATGCCCGAATAATCTTTTTCCTGATGTATAGTGCAAATTGTCGGCAATCGAAATACGGACATATTGGATTTTCACACATGCAAGTAATCAGCAGATTTCGAGAAACAAATACTGATCTAATTACACTTTAAATTAGATCTTATTTTTTGTCTGTGCGTCTTGTTCTCTGACATCATTTACTCAACCAATTCACCACTCGATTACAAGCTTTCAAAAATAAAACAAAAACAAAAAAGAAATAGAAATCAAGTGTAAATGTTTCACTATTTCTTGAGTTACCGATCAGATTTTCAGAAATAAAAGATACAATACACACGTTGCATTCACTGTCAATATATACAAGCAGCAAAAAAAATCAAAGAAAAAACAATACTGATACTGATACTGAATTGGCAATAAGAAGGTAAAATAATAAACAATTTACTACATGATTTTTTATACGATTCCAGCACAATACGCCACTTGTTATTGTCGTCTCTCCCAGACCCAAAGCAAGTGACCGACTGCACGTCCTCATGCAGCAGCACATCATGAGAGTGCAATGTCATCCCGCTAACATAATGGCGCAAAACCAGGGTATCCGTGGACTAACAGTTGAGCCATAGGCGCCATCACCCCAGCGCTCCAGCACCCAATGGTCGTTTTCATCGGACAAAGTCTGGTCGCCAAAACAAGTGACTTCATTCTGACCCGTCAATGGGTCAACAAAGCCATAGTGCGAATGCAAATGCCTTCCTGTATCCACATGCCTCAGGCGAATCTGCGTACCGTACGCAACGATGGATCCAGGGACAGGCACATCCCCGTTGGCTGGCACAACCTGCCACCAGTCAGCCTCGCCCGTCGTCCACTTATTGGCGTACACCAGCTGCTGGTTGGACCCAGACTGCGTACTGTGCGAGCGGTCGGAGTGCAGGAACCGACCGGTCAAGATGTGCTTCAGCGACAGGACGGTGCCGATCTTGATTTTTGTGTCGCTGGGGTTTTGGCGGAGCTCTGGGTAGGTTTCGGGTGTTGCAGAGTTTTCTGAGCTGCGGGAGGGGTCAGGGTTGCGCACGTCTTTTTGGTTATAGGTGTAGGGCGCATGCCCAAAGGGCGCCGGTGGGTGGAAAATGCTGTCGTCCATGTGGCTGTGGCTGCTGCTTGTGATGCTTTCTGACCGCCTTCGGGACATGCCGTCGCCCCATTATAGACTGAGCCGTAGACCGAGCCGTAAGGTGTGTGCACGGGCTTTGGTATGGCAGAACCAGGTGGCTGGTTATGGTACTGCTGCGAATGGAATTGCTGCGATTGGAAAGTTTGCGGCTGATGCTGAGATGGGAACTGTTGTGACTGAAAGACCAGATCCTGACGCCTCTTTTCTTCCTCATTGCGGCGCCATTTTTCATGATCCTCCCGGCGCTTTCTCTCTTCATCCTCGCGTCTCATTCTTGCTTCCTGCTCGCGCCTCACTTTCTCCTTTTCCTCCATGCGCTTACGATTCGGCTTCTTGTCATCTTCGGACAACCCGCCGTCCATAAACTCATGCACGCCATAGGCCACGGCACCGGCTGCCAGGGCACCAAGAGCGTACTTGCCGGCCTTGTTCATCCGACTACCACCGCTGTTGTCATCGCCAATCATTGATGGCACATACGGCGGGTACTGCTGCTGCTGGTGGTGCTGCTGGTATGATATGGGTCCTCCCACCATGCTTGGCCATACGAGGCTGGTGGTGGCGGCTGTGTGCGGCTTTGCTGATTGTACATTGTAGGGGAGGAAAGATAAGTGGGGGCATTGAAGCCTCCTGCTGTTGCGGGATTGCCAATAACGCTGCCCACTGTGGTGTATCTTTGCTGCTGCTGGTAGTTGCTGTTATTGAGTTGTGCAGCAAACTCAGGTCCAACACTCGTGGGCCTACCGTAGTACTGAGGCTCTGCTGCTGCTGTTGCTGCTGCTGGACGTTGGGAGTGGCAGACTGTAGGATTTGACTCATGTTGTTAATTCCCGGCGGCGTACCACTAATGTTATTTTTGTGGGCATTGACGTTATACACGCTGGTAGCATCACTCATTCCGCTATGAAAGTTGTACGCTTGTCCTCCTAGCTGTTCCACCTGTTCTTGTCCAGCCCGAGGTGCCGACATGCTATAAGCCATTGGCGGAGGCGCCATCTGCTGCTGGGTCTGCTGCGTTTGTTGACCGGGCAATACCTGCTGCATTTCCTGCAGTTTCTGCTGCTGCTGTGCAGGGGGTACTCCAGCCGACATATTTCCGTAGGCATTCTGGTGCTGCTGAGCCGAATTAGCCTGCTGCTGCTGAGCCATAGACATATTTTCAGGATACACACTAGAATCTATACCGGACGAATACTGTCCAGCACCCGGTCCATATAAAGTATTACCCATAGCTGGCGCTACTCCCGATTGCAGAGGCAATGGAGGGGGTACAGGGAAGCGGACGGGGCCAGCAGCGACCATAGGCATATGTTGATTGTTTGTAGGGTACGGCTGAGGACCACTACTGACATACGAGTGATTTCCAGATATGTTTGTAGAGGGGAAGCCGCTTAATTGTTGTGGTTTGGAGCTGCCACTGCCACCGCCACCACCACCGACGTTACCACTTCTGGGAATCCCATTGTCTGTGCGTTGGGTTAAGGTAGCATCTCGATAGTGTACGCTCCCGGATTCGGTGGTTGTGTAGTTTGCACTGTCACAGTCTGGTTTGGCTATGTACTGAGAAGGCCGAGGTCCGTCAAACATGGTAAAAAAATAATGGTAGTCTTTTTTATTTTGGATTGATATAGATTGTTTCACACACTATAAAAAAGATAATGGAATGTAGAAAATGAAGTGGATGGATAAATGAACAAGAAATAAAAAATGAATAAGAGAGGGAGAGAGAGAGGAGTGAAAGAAAAATTATTGGGATCTCTACGAGATATAGCGCACAAGATTTTTTTAAAAAAAATGAGAGTGCGCGTGTACACTATTTTTCTTTTTTTCTTTTCCCCTTTTTTTTAAAAAAATAAAAGTGCAGCCAAGATGGTTAATAGAATGAAAAATTGTCAAAATATTATTTAGTATATATTATAAAAAAACTAAAACAGATTGAAATAAAGAAATAGATTGCACATTGCACATTGTTCATTTCCATTTATACAACCCCGCCTATTTCTTTATTTTTTTGTCTTTCAGTGTGCGCCCTTTTTTCCATTATATAAAATTTTTAAAAAAAAGACAAACTGAAAAGATTTCTTATGAATGAGTGAATGTGCGTGTGAGTGACTGCATGGTGTCACGTTGACCCATCCGTTCTATTCTGGATTTATACATTTTCATTTGGGACATGTATGTCAGACGAATTTTTTATATATGACGTTGATATTATGATTGCCTCATACGCGTAAATGGATATGTCAAAGCGTGTGGAATTATTTAAAATGCACAATTCTCAGTCAACTTGCTTGTCAGCTCGTCTTTTAAATAGGTCTCTCCCAGCTACTTTTTTCATTTGTTAATAAATTTTTATTTTAGCATTTCCTGGGCGCGAGTCCCACGTTTAGAAAGCAAAATATTTATTATTTTCTGCATATACATGTTTTAAAAGCAAAAGAAAATAAAGACAAGAGTTTGCATTTCATAAAGCCCGCTTTGTATAAAAAAAATAAAAATGTGAGCGCCCACCTTTTCTTTTTGTTCACTTTGTCTCATGTGGCTTGTGTTGAGAAAGAAAAAAAAATTCACACTCAGTCCTTGTAGACCATCGAGTCGACAGAGAAGCCAACAGCAGGGAAGCTCTTTGAAAAATCAACGACCTCGCTACGCAGAGCCTCCAGCGCCGGAATAGCAGCAACATCGTCTCCAAGGGCGACCTTAAAGTCAACAAACTTCTTCGACTGCACAGTCTTTGCAACCTCCTGAGCAATGCTCACTGCACGATCAACAAACCCAGCAACCACAGCAAAGTCAGCCTCACGCAGGCCCCTGGTTGTCATAGCCGGCGTGCCCAGGCGCAGACCGCCGGGCACCATGGCGGAGCGGTCTCCGGGAACCGTGTTCTTGTTGGCTGCGATCTTGGCCATCTCCAGTACACGCTCGACGCGGGCACCGTCGATATTGCGCGAGGCAATCAGGTTGACCAAAAGCAGGTGCGTGTCGGTGCCGCCAGTGACCAGGTTGTACTTGAGGTCGAGGAAGGTGCGCGCAAAGGCCTGGGCATTATCCAGCACCCTTTGCTGGTACTCTCTGAACTCAGGACCCTGCGCCTGCTTGAGTGCCACAGACAGCGCCGCAATGGTGTGATTGTGCGGGCCGCCCTGGTGGCCTGGGAACACGGACTGGTTGATTGGCGTCTCGAGGTTGTACATGATCTCGACGCCCTTCTTGTTGACTCTGCGCACGCCCTTGCGGAAGAAGATCATGGCGCCGCGCGGCCCGCGCAGCGACTTATGGGTAGTCGTCGTGACAATGTCTGCAAACTTGAATGGCGACGCGAGGACGTCGGCCGCCACGAGGCCCGAGATGTGCGCCATGTCGGCCATCAAGTACGCGTCAACCGAATCGGCAATGGCGCGCATGCGCTCGTAGTCAATAGTGCGCGCATACGCGCTGGCGCCGGCAACGATGATCTTGGGGCGGAAAAGCTTGGCAGACTTCTCCAGCGCATCGTAGTCGATGATCCCAGTCTCCTCATTGCACTGGTACGGCAGAGTCTCGAAATACACCGACGAGTATGACACGCGCTTGGTGGGCGTCTGGAACCCATGAGACAGGTGCCCGCCGTGGGGCAGGTCCAGGCCCATCAGTCGATCATGCGGCTTCATCAGCGCGCCATAAACGTACAAATTGGCCGGAGCGCCCGACAAGCTCTGCACATTCACTCCCCATTGGTTCTCATCCAAATGGAACGTCTCGAGGGCGCGCTTCTGGCACAGGGACTCTGATTGGTCGATGAACTCGTTGCCGCCGTAGTAGCGCGCGCCAGGGTATCCCTCAGAGTATTTGTTCTGCATGACTGAGCCCAGGGCGTCCATGACTGCGCGGCTTGTAAAGTTTTCGCTGGGGATAAGGCAAATGCTCGTGCGTTGGCGCGCCTTCTCAAGCTCGATGATTTTGAACATTTCCGGATCGGCCTCGGAAAGGGGCTTGTTGAGAACGCTCTCTGATGTTGCCACGTAGGTGTGCATGCGCGCGCGAGCGGAGGTGTTGGCTGTGCGCATGGCGGCGACGACTGAGCGAGAGGCGACTTGATCATCGCTTTTTCTTTTAAATAAAGTTAACAAGAGGAGATAATGTAATGAATAAAGATAACGACAAAAATATATATTAAGAAAAGAAATCTGGAAAGCAAAAAAAGGGGAGGGGCAGCCTGCTATCGCTGTGATTTTATACTGTGACGATTGTGATTATACGCGCGCTCCCCCTGACAAAAAAAGGCTGAATATGCTCATCACACGCGCGTATGCAACTGTATTTTTTTAAAAATAAATTCCCACAACGCCTTTTTCTTCTCATTCCACCGTGCCCAGATAATTAAAATTTTTTGCAGACAATAGAAGGGCTGCTTTTAATACATACATTCCTATTCCATCGTTCAGTCTTTTTTCGCTTGATCACTAACTTATTCACTCGCTCACATAAAAAAACCTCCGAAAACAGATAAAAAATATGATCGACAGCCACGCAGACGACCTTATCCACGCCAAGGACTTTGTCCACCGAGTCATTTCACAATTCATCGACACAGCGACAACAGCAGTATTGGCAGCCGATCAGTCACCCTAACGTACGCACAAAGCCTGGATGGCAAAATAGCCCTCCCAAACCACCAGCTTTTGCTGAGCGGCACATCCTCCATGGCCATGACCCACCGCCTACGCACACTCCACGACGGCATCCTCGTAGGCATCGGCACTGTGCTCTGCGATAACCCGCGTCTCACTGCCCGTATGATCCCCGCTAACGAACACCCACACCACCCTCGCCCATCATCCTGGACACTCATCTGCGCACCCCCCTCAGTGCGCGGCTATTCGAAAACACAAAGAAACCATGGATCGTTACTAATCACCAACACGATGAGAGGCGGAGGAGGGACTTGGAGGCCTTGGGTGCCCGTATTGTAGTCGTCGGATGTGATGATGAGGGAAGGCTTCTGTTGGATGAGGTTGTGGAGGAGCTGGCGCGCTTGGGCGTATTCAGGCTGATGGTCGAGGGCGGCGCACAGATAATTCAGGCCTTTTTGAAATCCCGTGTGCCTACATCGAACAGGGCTGTGGTGGACACGTTGATAGTCACGGTTGCTCCGGTGCTTGTTGGAAGCTTGGGCGTTGCCGCTGTGCCTGCGCCGGAAGCGATTCCGGGCATTCTTATTCGTCCACGCTGTTATGAGCAGTTTGGTCCTGATGTTGTCATGGTCGCTGATATCGAATCAACCGTGATTTAATCACGCAAACATGTTTTGTTTATTTTATTAAACTCATGGTCCACATTTTGCATATCCAACATGTGTTGCATGGTCTTGTCAAAAAAAGTCTTGTTTTGGTTTTTGATTTTAAATTTCTTTTTTTCTCAGTATACGTAAAGGTTTTTGCGATAGTTTGCATGGGAACCAAAAATATTCTTTTAGGCTTATTCTCCACAAATTTAGTGAATGGATGTGGTGTGAAGATCGTCCGCAAGTGAAATAAAGTGGATAAAAGCCAACCTCGTTCTTGTTTGTGTTTCTTTTCGATGTGTCAAAAAACCGCATGCTCCCTAGAAAATTGACATAAATGATGCACGTTAAACCTGGCACGCGAATAAATAAATATGTCCATTCTTTTTTCATTTTTTCTTTCTGACTACACGACGATCAGCATCACAACAATGAATAAATTACAAAGACAGGGATGTAAACAGCACTCAACTGTAGAATTTTTTCTGGCATATATAAACTCATGATTTTCTCTAATAAGGATTCAAGTTGCTATCCTTGTTCCTTTCCTGTTCCCTTTCACCTGCTTTTAGTTATTGCCTTTAATTCGACCCACATCTCTTTTTATTTATATTTAAATATATACAGCCGGTCTATATATATTTTTTATTCAGAATAGTAACTAATCTCCTGTCCCCTAGCACTCACTTTATTATTTTTAATTTCATTATCACCAGCTAAATACTTATTAATTTTTAATACATTCAACCATGCGCTCCGTTCAGTTCATTATTGCCTCCGCCCTCTTTGCGCTTTCAACCCAGGTCACTGCTACCCCCATTCATAAGCTCGGACCCCTTTCAAGCTCTGTTGTGTCCACGACCGCGACCGCTACGTCTACTGCCACTGCCACTGCCTCCGTTGCTCAAAAGCAACACCAGCAGCTGGAAGAGAACTTTCCGACTGCAAAGTTTGATATTGCCATCCCCGATCTCCGCAACCAAAAGTCAGGCCAAAGGCCCAGCTACCAGACCCTGCATCCGGCCGAAATCCAAAAGTACAACTCACTGTACCAAAAATTTGTCAACAGTGTTCTGAAGAAAAATAATAAGGGTCGCAAGGATGACCACAGGGGTAACAGATCTCGTCGGCCCCATGGTCCCAAGCCAACACGTTCCAAGAACACTGCTCTGATTAAGGAGACCTTCAGCAAGTCCAAGCCTACTGCTTCTGTGTCCACAGAGTCAAGCGTCAGTACCTCGACTGCTTCGTCAAAGTTGGCTGTGACTAAGGATTTCTCAAACACTGAGGCTGTATTCACCACTTATGATGAGGATAAGCTTGAGGAGATATTCAATTAAATTTTTTGAACAATTTTATTATAATTATAATTATATAATTATTAATTAAACGGTTGGAATATTCAATTATCCTTTACTTTTCAATATTGAGCCATATAGCTTGATTGACGATGATTATGATTGTTTATTTTATATGCAAATTTAAAAAAAAAATATTTTACGAAATAAAGAATTGAAAACCTATTCTTTTTTAATCAAATTATTAAATAGCATTTAAATATATGCTGGCCATCAAATACAATTTCAATAAACATGTTTGGCTGGCTTAATTTGGTCCGGTCCTGTCGTTGCTGGCTGCTGTTGTATATTCAAAATATACCAGACTCACTGGTTATTTTCAAACGTATTCACCATATCAGAGTTTTCAAAAATCACAGATCTGCTAGTCTCCGAGGGCTTGAGCGCATTAAAGACCATTGACCAGGCAATAGTCGAGCTTGAAACGGCAGCGGACTTTGGAAACACCACTTTACAACAGGAAGAAGGTATGAGAAAATCCTCTCCAATGGCCGCGCATCCACCGGTCACACTCAATCATGCCAGGGCGGTAGACGGAGCATGTGAAACCCTATGGTCATCACTTCGTCGTCGACCTCGCCTTTAGCCCTGGCATATAAGAAGCGTGAGTCTTGTCTGCGCCCTTGGTGCTGCAAATGGAATAGTTTTCAACCTGGACCTTTTTGCACGCCGTGGCGGCGTTTAACATGTAGTCATGGTCGACTTTGTAAAACCCGTCGCTTCCGTTTTTCCAGCGAGAGGCCCCCAGACAGCTGAACGCGTGCGTGTGCCCGGCAAAGTCGCTTTCTAGCTGCGCAATGTTTTCAAAGTCCACGGGTTTTTGTACACCTTGTCAGAGTTGGTGCCGGTAATATCGATGGGACGCCGGGTGAATACGGTGACTCTTTCAAAGGCGTCGGATGCCAATAATGCTTGATTACCTCGCGGCCAACCTCACCAGTGCCGCCAAGAACAGAGCACTCTTGCCGGGTGTTTGCATTTTAAACTCACGGGCGGCCTAAGGAAGCCTTTGCCAAGAATATGTTGTCGACAGACACTTTCAGTGCAGCGGTAGTGGCCATGGATAGTTTTGGTTTAGTCTGTTTAAAGAAAGCAAATATGGAAATAAAATATGATGAAGAAAATAAAGTTAAAGAAAAAACAAAAACAAAAAATTAAAAGACAATGTCGTGTGTATAAATCGACATTTTGTCATTTTGTACATCGCAATGCCAAGACTTTATTTTGAAGGTGGAGTTAGCTGCCAAATCAATTACGATCAGTGATCACGTTATTTATAGTTTCAATTAAATCATGCTCATACTCATGCTCACGTTGGCAGCGCAGTATTTTGAGGTTTGTTTTGCTAAAAGTATTTTGGCCAACCTATTTATATTTTAGCAGCTCTAAGCAACAAATTGATTTAATTTAATTATTATAACTATCAAAGTAAAGCAATATTATATTTAATAACTTGAAATGGTAAAACATAGCTAAACCGTTATGTCTAATATTGTATATAAGTTATAAAAACCAAAGGGCATTCCTATCCATCTGCAGCTTTCTGCAGCGGGAAAATTTTGATTTATTATTATTAACGATAAGTTCAGAGTAAATTTATACAAGCAACCAAATAAGGCTTTAATCTTCTATCTATATCAACTTATTTAACTTATTTACTTAATTTATAATATACGTCTGTAAATTGGCATTTTGTTTCTAAGCCTTTTATATCAAGTGTTAAAGCAACCGTTTCTTGACATAATTCTGCGTAGCCTAAATAAAAACTAGATAAATCAATTCCTTTTCAGGTTTATCTTTGCCATCGTTTATTGCCATACAAATTATTTTTTATCACATACTTTTTTAATCTTTTAAGAATCTCACGTTTTTTGTTTGTTTTAAACACCCATTTTCAGCTTGGCGTGTATCTATTTTGTGGAAATTAATGAATGGAAATCTTTTACTTTTTCAATACATGCAATCCCTCTTTATGCGAATTGGCCAATATATATATTTTATATAATTATCCACTTTTTTGGTTTTCCATATACCCTTTTAGTTTAGTCGCTTTTGCCATAACCACATTTTCCTTAGTCGTTTGTGCTGACAAATCACCGAGCTCTTTATTATTCTTCCGATTAGTTGCGTTGCGCCCCATGATTTTAGTTTTTATAGGGATGAAAAGTGTAAAATACACCAATGTTTAGATAATTGAGTGAGTGCATAATGACGATAATGTTGTGAGTGTGGTTAAAAGAGATGCCAAGAATGTCCAATAAGCAGCCACAAGGAACCTGCTAAAAAGGGAAATAAATGTGTATTAGAAAACTAAGGTTTCTCATCCTCATGATGGGAGCACCTTAGTATATATCAAACCTAAACTATAATAATGTGCACGGCATCTTCTGTGCCACACACATGCATACAGTCACCTAAAAAAATGACAATAGCAAAACAAATGCTATGTTTGATGCACCTCGAAATTGTATCAATTTCTGCTGATACCATTTTCCAGCAAAATCAGGTTCAATCGTGAACGCCGCGTGGCTTGGAAATCAGTGTGATTGATCAGGACATCGGGTGGCGTTCCACATCTGTCTGATGCATCTGTGCGCGCATACAGGTCTCAGCCTGGGTCGCTAGCCTGGATTGCGCCCCCCTGAGGGGTTCTTAACACCAAAATATTCAATTGTGTGTTTTGTAGCTCTTTCCCTCGGAGACATCCCCTTGTGGTGCTCAACTTGCGCATCGATAGTGGCATCGGGATTGTTATTTGCATAACCTGTAGACACCGCGTAACTTTTACTGGGATTCTCGGCCATTTGATAAATTAAAGATAATCCAGACTTTAAAAACTTCATTCTGGCGGTTTTTATTTATGCACACTTTCACAATCATTGCATTTGCTTGTTTTTTACACTTAACAGCTGTCACATGGCTCACCGTTCTAAAAAATAAGTAGATCAAAGCATTTGTAATCCAAACACTTTTGCTTCACGCTTTTCTTTTTCTCGGCTTTTTATTTATTCCTTTTTTATTCAAGCATGGAAGCGACGACGAAAATAACTCAAGTCGACGGCTGCGACTTTACTTCATCGGAACTAGAGCAGTTCCATGCATTCTGCAAGTACCCATGGTCCACACACAGCCTCTCCGACGCATCGCTCGAAGAGAAACTCACACACTATACCAAACACCACCCCGATGCCTCACTCTCTCGGCTCCAACAATGGCTAGAGTCCACGCAGAATCCGCAAGCACAGCTCTACGAGCGGTTCCGCCCTTTGACTTTGCATCTGCTCCGGATTCCACGCACTCCTGGCAAAAGTTTACGGCGACAAGGAGGTCAACAAGCACGATATTGAGCAGCGCATGGAAAGAGCCAAGGTAGAGTACTACAATGGCATCGAGCAAATGGACTATGGCGAATACGTGGAATATAAGGAGAGCACTGCGCCAAAGGCCCAGTGCCCGTACCAGCACCTGTGGCAGAACGACCAGGAACCTCACCAGCAGCCCGAAAGAGGTGGGCCACGTGAGGGCGTTGGATTTGACCGATTTTTTGACTCTCCGGTTACCGCCGATGCCATGGACAAGCTCGCAAGGGCCGTCGGAGAGGCCGGGCAAGATTCCGGATGCCATGCGGTGGCCGTCCTAAGCAGCTCCTCCTCAGGCGTGTTTCTCCCAGCACTGGACAGCGGCGACCTTGTAACCGCCAGGCGTACACTGCGAGCACGGCTGCGGTTGGAAATTGCTTTGCGGCAGCTTAATGCAGAAAAGCCGTTGGTTATTTTTGCAAACGGGTCGGTTCACCCCTCGGCATTCAGTCTCTTGCAGACCACGCGAGAGACCATTCTCTCTGAGGAGTTCTCTCTCCAGCCAGCCTATCCCTGCCCTGCGCGCTCTACAACTGGGCGCACCTCAGTGATGCAGTGGCGCCCGGCACAGCAGAGTACGCTTTGGGACACAGAGCGTTGACCATTCGGGGCGGTGAATGGCAGGGGGAGCTAAGTCAAGGCTGTGGGTTTGTTGGTCGGCGCAATTGGGAGCGATCCAAGAGCCGCATTTTGCTGGCTGCTTCGTGCCCACCGCCACATACGAGAAATGCGCTTAGGCAGGCGTGCTTGGTGGAGTCGCAGTACCCGGGACCATGCAGGATCGGAGTGTGGAAGAAGGAGATTTTGCAGTATTTTGCGCCGCTCATTCGGGCTTCCTCACCCGAAGGCAGCACTTATGGCGCCGGCGAGCTGATTAGGGAGCTTGAAAAGGCAGACAAGCCGTGGGCGCGGAAATACGTCGAGTTTGGACAGGCCGTGGATGGCCGGCGGCAGTGGGAGCTGTGGGTGGTTGCGCTGAGGGCGGCTAGGGACATGGAGTATTCGCAGGCTTTGGCACTGGAATATAACTTGGCCGACGCCCTGTGGGATAGTGCTGATGCCGGCGAGATTGCGTGTGCTGAGCAGCTCGTTAGACGCGCTGCCAATGGGCCGTCGCTGTCCGAGATCCTGGGCTCTGCCGACTCAGCGCCCAACAACACACAAGCAGCAGTTGTTGCTGACATCCCAGCCGAATGCCCCTTTGCTCGCATGTACCGCCAAGACCCGTCTCGTTTTGCGCACATCGACCTCGGCGCCCTGTCATTGCACCACGCAAAACTAGGCTGATAGAGAGTATATTTATTTATTGTGTTTTATGATTAATGGCCAATTTTCTGCAACCGTTCACTCAGTGTCTTGATTCGCGCATCCAAATGCAGCATGTTGTCCTTCAATGTCAGCGAGTTCTCACCAATGGCCTTCCTCAGCCCCTCTGCAACCTCCCCCATAGTGCCCAGCTCCTCCTTAACAGCGCCCTGCTCCCTCTCAATGCGCTTAATCCCAGCAACCGCGTCCGACGCCTCCACATGCAGCTTAGCCAGCGTCTGCAGTCTTCTGGCTGCTGCTGGCGCCAGCTCCACGAGTGCATCCACGGCCATCAGCTTATCGTAAACCTCATCGATTTTCTTTACAACCGCCGGATCCAAGCGCTGGCCCTTACTGGGATCCTCGGAAGACTGCAGGGCGCGGGTAGCCTGGGTCTGCGCCAGGTCCAGCCTCTCCATATCAACCAACACCTGCTTAATACGTCTCTGGATTCCATCAACGCGGTTGGGATCCGCAAGGACATCCATCTGCTGTCTAAGCCGCGAAACTGAATCCACCAAACTACGTTGCTGGTTGTGGTTTCCAGAGGACGAGTTGCCGAGGATCTTCTCCAAACCCGCGATTCTCTGCTCCAGAACTGATGGCTCCTCCTTTGGCCTCAACTTCTTCCCCTCTGCCCCACTAGCGGTAGCTGTCGGGGTTCCGTCTAAGCGCTGCCACAGCTCGCGAGAGACCAGGCCAGAGCCACCGCCAATCTGTCTGCCCAAAAACGCCAGTTCCTCATTTAATCCGCAAGCCAACTTCATCAGCTCCACGCTTCCCTCCTTATTCCCGCCAACACTACCCTTACACCGCCACCACCAGCACCTCCCTTTTCCTCTTCAATCTGCTCTTTAAGCTCCTGCGTTTCATAAACCAGTCTTCTAAGCCTCTGCTCCTTACTTTCGGTGAGTCCACCGACTTCTAATCCACCGGGAGAGAGTCCAGTTGGAGTGTGCGGAAGAGGGATTTTTGGTATCTTGCCAGGGCCGTTTTAGGTGGTTCGTCGCCGGATGCTTGGCGGAACCTCTCGGCTGCTTGCGTGGCTGAGACGGATTCGGTTGAGATGTCCTCGGAAATGGTGGCCGGTTGGTCTATGTCGAGGTCCATCTCCTGCGGCTCATCTGTTGTTTCGTATACATCTGGTTGGTCCAGGTCAATGTCCGGGAGATTAGAGTATTTTGAAGCTACGCGGGCCGACATTTTTCCAAAAGTAAATAAAAAGCAGAATTTAATAGAAATGAGGATAAATAATTTGTAATAGTCGGAGTAACAAATTAAAGTTTGTAAAAAAAAGGAAGAAAAAAGGATGTTTTGAATTTTGAATTTCAGCTTTGAGGATAGGAAAAATGAGATGGAAAGAGTGACGTTCCAATTTTCCTATGTTTTGGTTTTTTTTGCGATTTCAATATTATCTGTTGATTTCCCACTACATGCCAATCAAGTGATTATTTGGTCAGCAAGTAGCCTTTATTTTTATTTGCTTGTCTTTCTTGTGGATCTGTTGGCCCGATTAACAATATAAAGACAATTTGAATAGTGGTTCTTTTGAAGTGTTATTCATAAGCTCATTATAAAAAAGAGATTTTTTATCCTATCCAAAGTCTTGCTTTTTTGTGCAAGAGTGTGTGAGTGTACAAAGTGTAAATTTATTCAAAGCCTTTATCTTCTACTTTTTTATTTTTAGTAGCTATTTAAATTTTATTAAAATACAAATATCGATTATTTGCATTTTTTCCAGTCATGCCTTGCTTCAGCCAGCTTCCGCTTGTCATTCTCGCCCATTTTTTTGAAAAAGGTTGTAGACACTGACGAAAACCCAGCTCACTAACTGAAGCAAAAGCGTTTTTTATCTGTTAAACATATGTCGCACATGACACGCGCTTGGCTACCATTTGACACCGACCCAAACTAATATACTAGAATATACATTAGTTGCGCGCATTTTAATTGAATTTATCCTAAAAATTGGTGTTTTATTTTTAAATTACTTGTGTTCATCGTATATTTTAAATTATGTTCAAAAAACTTTAAAAATTAAAAATTAAATATTGAATGTGACAATTTGATTATTAGAGGAGCTATTGCGCGACAACTTATGACAAGTTACCATTGTCATTATAGTAGTATACAGTATCTTGTATAATCTGGATTAAGTCAAGGGAAATTTTGTTTTTGCATTCATTACTACAAAACAGAGCTGACCTGTTTTCCAGCGGATTCTGGCATACCAGGCACCATAAAAGTGTTTTCGTGTGTAAAGCAAATATGGATAAAATCTTTTGTCGCAATTGGTGACCATAGCAAGATGGAGTAAATATCAAGTTTATAAATAAAATATCATGGATAGGTTTTGAATTTAAATTTGAATATGAATAGATATATTCGAAGGCCGGAATGTGAAGGATGGTGTTGGTGTTTTGTCTTTTGTATTGCTTTTGTATTAAGATGCACAGACATGTGGAAAATAAAACAAACCGTTGTCATCAATGAACTGGTATTCTTTTAAATGGGTCATAAGGGGCTTTTTATTGAATTCATCTATTGTATTGTAAGTGTAATCTGAAGCAATAAAAAGAGAACGTGCATTTATAAATACAATTGCAGAATACACCAAGTTGCGGGTTTCTTCGATTTTTATTATAAATATGAATTTATAGGCAATTGAATGGTATTAGGACAATTGTAATATGATTTTTAATATTTCATTAGCAATATGAAGAATATACGACAATTCCATCTGTGCTCCTTTATTTGTATGGATCCTTCATATTTCAACTTTGTGTGGGTTTTAATGCCCAATGTTGATCGCAATTGTTAATTTTTCCAACAATCAGATTATTATTATTATTATTATTATTTTATCCGGTAAAGTGTCAATCGGTCAAAAATAAAAAATAAAACCCCCAAGTTCACCTCTGTATTTTCCTGACTCTAGTCCCCTTTTTATTTGAATTTAAATTCGATTTCGCTCTTTTATTACATTTCAGCAATGTTTTCTCGGTTATCGCCCTTGCAGCGTCCACTCTTTAACAAACAAGCCTTACTACGTTGTGCACACAGCATCAGGCACACAGAGATTTTGGAGCAAGGCCTCCATCCCCAAAGCTGATCCGCCCACGACTACCACAATTGAACCGCCAAGAGAAGCGCAGCGAGCGGCCACCAGGCACCTATGCGATATGGGCGATGGAAGTCATTGGAGGCACCTGCGCACTCCTCTACTACCTCGATCTACACACCGACTACCTTAAACCCACGATCACGCCCTTAACTCCCACAAAATACACTCCCCTCAAACTCATATCCACAACCCCATTGACGCCGGACACGACGCGGTTCCGGTTTGAAACCAAGCGACCAAGGTTCGACGGAGAGCTGGAGAAAGAGGCAGACGGCGTGATGGCCCAGGGTGCGTGGGCAGTGGACGTGAAGGACCATTTGGTGCAAACATACAGGACATACACGCCCGTGGAATACCATATGGGCACGGAGGTGGATGAGGAGACAGGTGCGCGCACAGGGTACTTGGACCTGATCGTCAAGCGATACCCTAGGGGCAGCCTTTCCCGATTCATCCACGGCACGCGTGTAGGCACCACCGTGGAGATGCGTGGCCCGCTGCCTGTGTGGCCGTATAAGGAGAAGACGTATAGGAATATTTATATGGTTGCTGGCGGCACGGGGATCGCACCGATGTACCAGATCATTCACGATGTCTTGCTCGATTCCGAATCAACCACCAGGATTTTGCTTTTGTACGGATCGCGCTCGGAGGAGGATATCATTATGCGTGAAGACCTAGATCAGCTGAAGGAAAAGTACGGGGACAGGCTCCGCATAGAGTACCTGGTCGAGCAGAAGCAGAGGCAGGATAAGGAGGGTGCTGGAGCGGTGGTCGTAGGGGTCCCCGATCGCCGGGTGCTTGGCCGCTTTACTGCCGAGTTCAATAGCGAAAAAGACGTGGTTCTGGTGTGTGGGCCTGGTGCCATGATGAATGCCGTGTGCGGAGCTCGGCCGATCGCGGGCGGCGGAATTAACGCCCAGGGCCCCTTGCGCGGCGCATTGGCTGATCTGGGCTTTGCGCCCGAATCCGTCTTCAAGTTCTAAAGAATAAAAATAATTTTCTTTTTATTCTTTTTTGTTCAAATTCAACTTTAATTCAACTTTGCTCAAAACTTTTCTTTATTACTTTTCTTTAATGAATCGCGCGGTGCAGGCTCAGGCGCGGCATTCAGGCGCACGCACGCCGGGGCAGCTACTACCGCCTCCTCATTCTCCGCTTCCGCTGAGCGTATCGGCCCAAATAAAGCATTTGCAGCCCAAAGTGCGACTCAGCGCCAAGATCACACAGGGCCAAGCAGAAACGCAGCAGCTCAAGCAACGAGTGCGGCAAAAAGTATCATGGCAACAGGGGCTGAACAAACACACCACATACCCCGACCTCCTCCACCAGGCATACCGCCATCCGCCAACACGGCTGCTCAAAATACTCGACTGCATGGTCAACGATGCTCGCCAAGGCTTATCCCTTAAATGCCCAGCAGCCGTGCTTGATCAATGTGTGCTCCACGTACTCGGCGGCATTTTAAGCCAAGGGCGCACCGCGCCATTGTCGGTTTCTTTTCTGGAGAAGGCGGCGTATTGCCTGGAGGAAATATCCTGGCGCACACGGCGACGGCCACAAACCCCCTGGACACTGCTGTTTCTCGTGGCGCGCGGCCAAAATAGTCCGGAAGGACGGGAGTACGCGAGAGCCAGGGCGCTGCTGGATCTTTCGCAGCTGAAGGACACACCACTGCTTGTGGAAGTACTGGAATCGCCCCAGTGCACTGCTCAAATAGCCAACGATCTATACCAAGCCATCAACACACCTGCAGTGCGCGCAAAAGGCGGTACCCCAATGGACCGCACACTGTCCACGGCCTTTTACTCTTCCACGTGTACGGGTCCAGCACCATTTTGTCAGAACATCTGTTGGCGTACGAGGACACTGCATTGACTCTGCTCAGTGTCGGCCACTTCTCGGCCTCAGTGATCAAAACGCTGCTGTGTCTGGCCCATTTCCACGCAACCAAGGGGAATTTTGCGCAGTTGGACGAGTGTTTGCGGTTTATGCGCGCAGCAACAGAGGCGGCAGAAGGTGTGGCGTGGCCGATTCCCACTGTTGCCGCGGCCATCCAGAAAATGTGCAGCATCTGCCCTGCACATATGACGGCGGCAGTGGGTCTTCTTGAGGCGCTGATCAAGCGGGACCATGTTCTGCTCGCACACCTTATCAACGATATGCCGGTGTTCCGTGATACGCCGGCGCTGCGCGTGCAGCTGGTCAAGGATGAGATGCAGATCCGAACCCAGACCCAGACCTGGGCCGGATCCACGGGCAAGCAGAGATAGGGGACAACAGTGTCGGCTGGGGGAAGCCATTGGAAAGGGACGCGTGGTGGGGCGGCCTGCGTGTGCGGCTGCGCATGAGTGACCCGGGCATGCACGATCTAATCACGCAGTTTTGTCGCCATGGCTGCCACGATAACACAAACGCTGGCAGTGTAAATAAAGTGGTCAGAGTACTTGGTCAGCTGGCGCGCAGACTGCGGTCCGCACAACCCATTGATATTCTCGTGCGAGAGATGGCTGCGAAAAACCACGCGATTGATTTGTCCGAGCTCACGCGGCTGCTTTATGTCCCAGGGCCACTGCCATCTTCATCCTCATCGGCATCGGCATCGGCATCGTTGACCATTGGTTATACAGATAAAAATGCTGTAAATAATCCGCTTGGTGGATTCGCTTTGACGCGAGCCATTTTGCTGCGAGAGTTTCTGCGCCGCACTAGCAGCAGCAACACTATTGATACAGGGATCTTGCCGCGCTGGCACTGCATTCCGAACAGCAGCCACTTCTGCTCTCCGTTCTGCCGCACATGCCCCTGCGCCCTCCATCGCCCGCTTCCTCCGCTGTGCTGTCCCACGCATACTACCTGGCCACCTTAAATGCACTGCAAGCCCACCCACGCATTCTGCTGCATTTTCTCCGCCACTTGGTCTCCCACCCATCATCATCAAGCTACTTCACACCCGTTATGCTCCAGTCACTGGTGACCAAGGCTTTGCAAGTGTACGTGGATGGTGGGCATTTCCATAACCAAGGTTATTTTCGCTTAGAACGGCTCCTTGTTCACACCATCCCTGTGCTTAATGGGTTTCCTAGGTGGTACCAGAACCAGTTGTGGCCGAGACTCTGGGCACTACATATGTTTTTGAGACGCAGGAGGTATGTGCCCAGATACACACTGTATCGTTGGCAGTTTGGTATCCACAAGCATAAGGTGTACAGGATGAGACAGACTGCTATTCCGTCTAAACAGAAATTAAAGGACAAGAAGGTCGATATGATGGTTATGCCATTGAGAAAAGAGGATATTGGGGTTGTGCGGCAAATCTTGTTTGATTCCATGGTTCGTCGGACTCCCAGTGATGAACGGTACTCGTTGGAGTGGATGTTGGAAAAACAAACCCAAATAGTATCCTAAAGCCTGTTTTTATTAAAATAAAATCATATATTTAAATTATTATGTTTACTCTGAAAATTCAACAGCTTTGTTGCGCGGCCGTTTTGTAGGCGACATAAACTCATCACCAGCCATACGTTTCATCGATTTAACGCTGCTCTCACCCTCAAGTTTCATAATTGCGCTCTGCACTCTGATAGACATTCCACTAGTATGTGAAAGCGCCGGCGACGCCGACCTCCCCACCGACCCTCCTGTTTCTCCACTCGCCACCGACCTAACCGATCCTCTTACCGATCCTCTGCCAGCCGGCGACCCCACGCTGATAAACCCTCTCTCCGTCTGCACCCTCGTCCTACCTCTCGAGGGTGTCCCAAGCAAAGGATATGGCGGAGGCAAAAGCTCACTACCCACCCGAGGACTAGGCGAGCGCACATCCACCAACCCCCGATACTGCTGCTGCTGCTGCTGCTTCAATGAGGGCGTAGTAGCACCAGTACTGATGTTGGTGACAGAAAGTTTGTCGAAAGCAGCTACTCGCTCACGCACACTCAACGGAGACGATGAACGGTCAGGAAGACCACTACCACCGAAAGGCGAACGCAGTCGACGCAAAAGCGCATTCTTCACTGCTTGCGGAACAGAAACCGCCTTCTGCATTTGCTGCACTTGCTGATTATGTTGGTTATACTGCCATGGTGGTGTATAGGTAGGTGTTGGCCGAATGGTGGGCGGTGGCATATCTGGTTTCGAGACAGATGCAGCTCTGGGAATTCCCGACTCACCATTTCCTCCTAGTCCTTTCGCAGCGCGTCTCGCTCGTCCGTGGATACTCAGAGGCTCAATCATGCGCCGCTTAAGTCCACGAGCACTATCCACACCTGTGTCCTCAGCAGACCGTTTAGCGCTAACCCTAGGAATTCTCGATTCCACCGCTGCTGCTGCTGCCGCTTTCTCAGCCCCCTTTAATTGCTCCTCTGTGACCACCTCCTTTGACTCTCCCAGGACACCATTAAACCCAATATCGCTAGACAAGGACTTTGGCTCTCTCGACAATGGCGAAATCCCATGCAACGAACGATACCAGAGCGTACGTCCCAATCTGACCCCGCCTGCAGTCACTCCGGCAACAGGCGACCTAATATCCATCAGCGTAGACCCGGAAGATACAGGTAATGCATTCTCCTCTCTGCAGTGTTGCCCAGGATCATTGAAATTAGCAGTATCGACGGTAGTTACAGGAGCAGCAACACCAGCAGCGGGTAATGATTCACCACTGCACCGAGACCCTGATCTTGTTCCTAAAGAGTCGTATGTGACATATCTGGGCGCATAATCCCTGACATACGGCGAGTTATCGTCGCCAGGGCTAGGCGATCTGGTCACCGGAGCACCCAAACTCTGTCGCAGATACTGCCGCTGCCACAACTGATCACCCTCTTGCTGCTCCTGTTCTTGCTGCTGATCATCATCAAACAAGCTCTCCACCGGCGGCAAAACGACTGAATCCAATCCATCAATCACCGACCCAGCATACGACGTCGCAGGCGACCCAATACTAACAAAAGGCCTCAACTCCAAAATCTCCAGTTCCTCCCCCAGCTCCTCCTGGTCCTCAGTAAACTCCAGCTGAAAAAAAAACTTGTGCATACATGATTGCAACGGCTCTCCATTCTGTGTAAATATGTAATGGCGTCCGATCGGCCATCTTTTTTTTGTCTGATGTAGGATAATCCAGACCCCTTGCCTTGTCCGCTATTGTACGCACAGTTGACTAATGTTATGATGGCTGTGAGGATGAGGGATTGGAGGTGCGGGTTTTGAGTGTAGCGTTGGTGAGTGGCTTGTTCATCGGTTGTAGAGAGGTGCGTTAGGGTTACTTGAACTATTAGGTCATTGAGAACTAAAAGACGCGTTTCAGGAATACGGAATGGGCGCAGAGTCATTGTTTTGAATTGTATTATTTTTTTATAAATGGATAGTAAATTAGAGTGGAAATTGAGAATTTATAGTAGTAGAAAAATAATCGAGAAATCAAAAAAGGAAAAGGAGAAGCAAAGAAAGGTTTGATTCTAAAGAAGAAAAAACATTTACAGACACGTGGAGAAAATAAAAATGGTCAAACAAATAGTGCACGTGTATTTTCCTTGTTCTCCCCACCCACACGCATTGTTGATATTTTCACCCCTCCAACCAATCACACGTACATTCGTAAGCACAGACAACATACGATTGCACACAACGCTCCAAAAACGTAATAAAACAATTATCATTCAAAAAAAGAGAAAAATAAAAAGTAAAAAAATCAAGTCTTTTCAAACATTGCCACCAAGTTCCTTACAGATTTACCGGCCTGCCAGCGCACTCGCGCTGTCCGAACTCAAAGCCAACGCGTTGGTGGATTTATTGTTGTTCAGCATCCCCAACATCCAACCTTCCCAGCAGCTTCCTCAGAAATATTTCTCTTGTTCTCAACATTGGCGAGCTCTGCTTTTTCTTCAGCCGCATACGGACCTCAGCCAGTGGGTCAACGGCGGTGGCACCACCACGGGCGTGTCACTGTGCATGCGGTTCATGGTGGCAGCTTTGGTGTTACAATAGGATTGCTCATCTGCGGAATTACAACAGCGACGGCAGCATCAGAAATCAGAGATGAGACAGAGGGAGGAAATGACTCGTCGGATGAAATGGGCCCGGCAGTGGGCTGGGAGACCGAAACGACAATTGCGGCTCGGTGGGCGGCTTCTCTACTGGTTTCGGCTCTCCCGGGACCGCAACAGTTGCAGGCATATCCCGAGCCAGTGGTGCTGGCGGTTGAACGGTTGACTGAATGAATGTACGCGGGGGCTTGGCTGGCGGTGACGCGGGTGTAGTCGCGGATGCGGCGCATGGGCGATGCCTGAAGGAATATTAGACATGCTTTCAATGGTGGATAGCGAAGCAATGACTGGCACCACTGACTCTGGATTGTTGGTAAAGCGGGCGCAGCCACCTTCGTTGCAGGAGTTTCATCCGGCAATGCTGCCTGTACCATGGTAGAAATAGTTGGTTTTGAGGTCTCGACAATGGGTTCGATCTTTTTAAACACGGGCTTTGGAGACGCAGCGATCGGCTTTGGAGACGCAGCCACAGGCTTCGGAACTCTACAATGAGCGTATTGGTTTCAAAGACGGTTGAAACTGGCGGTGAGATCTTGTTCCGAGACGTTTTCCAAATGTGGATTTTGCCACCGACAGCACGTTGCGGAACAGCCCACCCCCGACCCTCGTCACAGCACCGCCACTGCCATTTCCATTCGCCGAAGAAACTTGCTCGGACCTCAAAAGCTCATCATTAGCGCGAGCAATAATCCGCTCCAAATCCTCACCTTCTTCCTCCAACTCAAACTCCTCTTCTTCCTCCTTTTCTGCGCAACAATCGCATTCTCCCGCCACTTCTCCTGCTCAAAAAGCAGCTCGCGATTGTACATGTCCATCTTCTTCAAAAGCGACTCGATCTCTTCTTCACTCAACACGCGCATGTTATCCTCGACGTCCTCCTTCAGAATCTCAGGCACTGGGAGCCCGACCCGAAAATGTACTGCGAACGGCGGTTATTCTGCGCAATGAGCTTTTTGCGATTGCGCTCCTCAGCACGCTGCAATACCTGGTCAATATCGGCAGCGACAGCGGGAACCTTTGATACGCGACGAGGTGCGGGTGGCGCAGTAGACCAAGGATCGTTGCTGGAATCCATGGCCGATCTGCCCGTGTACCCGCTCTGCGAGTTGAAGTCGTCCATTTTGCGCATCAGACTGTCCATCATGTCGGGGGTCACATCGTCCCATGTGTTCTTCGCGGCCTCCCCCATACTCTTTTCATCAACCGCATAATAGTTGTCTGAGCTCTGGTACACGGAGCTGCGCTGTGCAGCATACCGCGCCTTGGCATTGAACAAAATCGGGTCGTCCAGATCCATGCCGTAGTCTGCGTCATCCTCCAGCTTGTCCATTGTCATCTTGTAGGTGGACTGAACGCGCATGTTGTTGGCAAATGAATCCGCCGACGACTTGTCGCCTGCGGCCTTGCCTCTGCCCTGGTAAGTCTCGAGAATTGTGGACAGGCGTAGATGGGATGAGTCGCTGCCGACATCCGGGTTACCCATGGGTCGTCCGGCCTGGAGCCCTGTTGCTCCACCGGCGCCGCTGCCCATGGGCGACCTGTTGTCCATCGACAGCGGCGAAATCATACTGGCCATCTGCACCTCCATAGACGCATGCGCAACTCCTGTCTTTGTCGGCGGTGGTGCGGTAATGGAGAGCATACAAACCCAGGCAAGCCCGGCTTCTCTGCAGTCCACTCACCGGCAATTGAGCCTATGGATGCCTTGCGCGACAAGCTCTTGGATGTGCCCCTCCTGCTGATTCCCCCAATAATTGGTGATGCCAGAGTGTCTTCCGTGCCGTCGCTGCCATTATACTCGCCGCGCTGGGCCCGCCGGCTGGACGCGTTACTGATGACGCTTGGGTTGCGCTTCAGCACTGAGGTCCGCCGCGCTGACCCGAAAACTGCACCCTGGATAAAATCCGCAGAAATGCTTTCACGCCCGTCTGGTGCACGCACGCTCATGCGCATGCGGCGCACGGAACCCGACAGCAGCTCGCCAGATGCCGTATCATCAGCATAAATTGCATCCTCAGTAGAGACAGAATCCACGATAGGGTCCACATTCACAGGTTGGGCGACTATCGAGCTACTGTCTGTTTGGGGGTCGTAGATGCCGAGCGCATTGGTGCGCTGAGACGCAGAGCCAGGCTTGGATGCGGTTTCCAGAGACGACAATCCAGTGGTAGATATGGACGAGTTAAACCGCGAGGAAAAAGCCATCATGCCCCGAGGCACTGGGCTCGCCGTTCTAGAGTTCCCCGGCGAAGCTGACAAAGACGCGCTGGTCGCCATTCCCTGTCTCCCGGGACGGCCGCGACGCATAGGCACGATCGCGCCCGATTCTGCATCAGAAAACCCATCACCCCCCGCGCCATTCAGGCTGCTGCTGCCGTTGCCATTCGGATACTTGCTGCTTGTGGCCGCATAGCGACGCGGCTGGGGCACCGGCTTTATTGCGCTGACATGACCCAGCCCAGCAGCCCGTACCAGCGGGACTTCTGAGGGCGAGGTTGGCGGCGATGCGTACTTGTTCTCCAGCAAACATGTCTCGCCACGCAGCCCACACACATATGTGGACAGCGTGTAAATGGTCGGTCTTTCGCGCGGCTCTTCCCTCAGGGTCATCTGGATGACATGCAGCAACTTCTTCGAATACGTCGGCGTAGAGGGAATCGAATACTCGGCGTTGAGAATGGCCAAGGGGGAGGCGTTGTCAAAGGGGGTCTTGAAATAGCACAGCTTGTACAAGAGCACCCCGAGCGCCCAGATATCGGCCTTCTCATTGATGCCGCGGCGCAAATACAGGTCGATCATTTCGGGCGCCCGGTACTCCAGCGTCGTCATGCGTGGATGTCTTCCTCAAACTGGACAATCTGCTCACGCGGTATCCGTGCATCAGGGCTGATCATATTGCTTGTGGCCGAGCCAAAGTCGCACAGCTTGTAATTGCCACTGCTGGTGACGAGAATGTTTTCCACTTTGAGGTCGCGGTGCAGCAAGGGCGGCTGCTGGTAGTGCATGTGGGCGACGCCCTTGCACGCGTCGCTGAATATGTGCAGGATTGTGGCTTCGTCCAAGAACATCGATATCCGCGTGTTCATCAGCGCCAGCACATCACCCGAGCAGTGCTCCATCAGTATGTACGCGCTGCTGTCGCTGATCTCGGCTGCCTCCAGTGCGACAATTTGTGGGTGACCGCTCAGCTGCGTCTACAAAACCCCCAGAAAGTACAAACATAATTTAAAGAGAGGTAAAATTTAGCATCATTACTCAGTGATATTTAAGAAAAGGGTGCTCTTCTCAGAACACCTGCACACACAACACCCCCTGTGGCAATGATATATAGGAGACCTACTAGTGCATATGTGCATTTGCATGTGCTTTTTCATTTGCCTGCGCATGTGTGATACTTACCATGACATTGATCTCCCGCTGTATGCGCTGCCTATGCTCGGGGTCGTCGCTCCTGCTGGCGAATGGAATGTGTTTGAGAACGTGCACGCTGCCGTCACTAATCAGCGTAACGAGATAGATGTTCGCATTGCCACCAGCTGATAGGAACCGCTGCACCACACAAGACTGGCTTCCAACCTGCAGAATGGTGCCCTGCAAAAACTGGCCCGAGGCACCCCCAGAGTTGTGGCTCTGCAGCTCGACACTGCCAGAGGAATAGTCGAATTCGCTTGACATTGCTGAAATGCCCTTAATAGTATTGTTGCTTGCAGCTAAAGAAAATAAAGAGAGAAAGAAAGGTAGGAAGGGTAGTAACGCGGAATAGTGAAAATACAAAGGGTAGAACAAGAGGTATTGCAAATGACCAGCAGCTGATTGCAAAAATAAAATAAAATAAGTGTAAAAAATAATAAGTAACAGAAAACTACACAAAGTGTAAAAGGAGAGAGCAAACAACGGCAGCTGGATGGTCTTTACATTTTTTTGTCGTGGTTCCTCTTTTTTTCAGAATGACCTCGTTTTTCTGAACAGACCGTCCCTTTCAATGTTGATATGTGCAGTATAATAATTTTATTCACCTTTTCTTGCTTCAATGCTACATGTTTTTTGTACATGTTTGAATGCGCATGCTGGCCATCTGTCGATCTGCGCACCATTTGCGATGTGTGGTTTCCCGTGCCGATCTGTCCTGTTGGTTCACCAAAAATAATCAAATCGCTTAATTTCCACCAAATTGATTTTATTACCACTTTGCTGGGCTTTATTCGACCGTTTACAGCCCTCTTTTTAATCCCCTTCTACTGTCTCCACGTGCTTTATGTCTAGTGCGTTCCGGTACTTTTCAAAAGGCAGTCACAAAAATACAATTGCAAGAAGGATGTTAGCGTGACCTGATAAAAGATGACTCCTTTATCGCAACAATATTCAAATATCATCCAGCTAAATACCTAATTGTATTTATTGATTGAAAAATAAAAGTAATTATTACAACTCACTCAAAATATATACTGCTAATCCCTAGTTTGTATTTTTTAAGCAAAACTCCCAACAAATAGAAAACGTACCTGTTGACATTGTGGTACTGCTGCTATAAAAAATGATTACAAGCAATTGCCGAGTTTTTACTGTCCGTGCCTTTAAACCAATATACAACCTCCCTCCCCTCATCCGCTTCGAATGACGATAGGTGTACAAGTTTACTAGACAAGGCGCGCCACTTTACAAATGAAGAATACCACCACCAAATTGCTAGCAGCCCAATAGGCTGCACAAAACCTTTAAATTATATACAGCTATCATATAGGTTTCATTCACACCAATTTGCCGTTAAAATATTTTTATTTATACAATCAAGTCAAAACTAAATTGTAAAAAAGGGGGATAAATGCTTGAGTGAAATTCCATATTGTGACGCCCAGCGTGTTACTTTTCAACTTTTACTCCCACCTATCTCACATGATATGGCAAAATTAAATGTACCAATGTTTTTTGAAATCCCAAAAATTCAGGTTTTTTCTGTTTGAATTGACTATATGGCTACAGCCATTTATCAAACAAGTCGATTAATAATATAACTTCTTTTTTAAATAAAAATAACTGTCAATGGACAATAAATTAAAAGAACGTTGATGCCTTTTGTATCATGAGTACTAATTGTGGCAGCAAATGTTTATAACAGCTATTCGGAAAATAAGACAAATAAAATAAATAAGCCAATGAACCATTCATGAATGAATGATTCATGTCCAAAGAATAAATTCGTGGCGTTGCAACAATAAATATATAGGCTGACAAACTTTATTGCAACATGTGATACTTAGTTAAAAAATAAAATAAAATAAAAATTTGTGCTCAACAATTGCTAATTCAAAAAACAATCACATCAGCAAATTAACTGACTGTTGAATACACGCAATACAGCATATTTTTTCTTACTTTGCATTTGTCCGACAAAATTTTATTCAAGCTATTGATGGCGCAAATTTAAAAATACAATTGCTAATTGCAAGCACTTATTTATGCATGGCAAAAATAATAATTTTATTTCCCTAAAATTCACACGGCTGTATTTTACGTTACGTGTGCACCAATAAATAATTACATTATCAAGTACTGGAATAAGTTTTTTATTTAGTAATTGGTCAATTAAAAGCCTCAATTTTATCCTTATCATTATTTTTTCTTTTATCAGCATTGTACGTAAAGCCATTACTTTTTGTAAATGCCTAATATGTGTGGTATTGCAATTTTTACGTCCTTTTGAATGTGTTTGTTGCTGCTGCCACATTTAAAATTTGTGTACTAAGTAGGTACAGCCTGACACAATAATGCATCCAATAAAATTGCAACAGCTGTATGAGCAAAAACTTATTCTGTTTATATTTATTTTGGTTGACATTATTAGACCCAACCCAAACAATATACGCAACTCTTGCAGTAATTAAAATAAATAAACATTTGTCTGTCGATAGCATGCGCTGGTCAAACAACCCACATAGTAAAGCGCTATTGTTGCTATTTTTGCTGCTATGTTTTAGGGAGGGGCCAGGGAATTGAGAATAGTCGAGAATATGTATTATTTTGAAAAGTTGCTATTGTGCTGATGTTTACTTGATATAAAAAAGAATGATTTTAAAAAAAATATGCTCCGTTTTTACCGTTCCGCTTTGCTCCGCTGCATTTCGTTATGCTCCGTTCTGTATTTTCTTTTGCAGAAACAATTAGCGGGAAATACTGATATGTAGACTATAGTACATAGATGCACGCGCATCTGCACGTTTTATGATTGAATAAGCAAGGAAAACCCTTTCTATAAAAATAAATCCAAGCGCGTATCTCCGATTGCGCAAGAGTTGTCTGAAAAACGTTTGTGCCAAAATAATGACAATACAGAAAAATAAATTGGAAGCCAAAAAATATACATGCAACTATTACATATCATTGTTCAGTAGTATTGTCTAAAAATAGAACCCGGTTGGCTTACAATACTACAATGTAGAAAAGTGTGAGGTTGCAAATTGGAAATTGCGAATTGCAGTAGACGGATTAATTAAAACATTGTAAAATTGGATTTCCCGCATACTTTTTTTGGTTTGATTTCGGGATGAAGCAAGACAATACCAAACTTTTGGCTGCAATAGTTCTTTCATGACTATCCCCCAAATCAAAATGCCGACAGCAATATGCTAAAGAAAAAAGTGAGGATTTTCTGCCAATTATCGAGGAATATTTTTTGGCAGCCTAAAAAAGAATGGGGGAGATGGAAAAAAATAGTTACAAAACGGTACCAAAAAAATAAGCAGTAAATTGCCGAGAATCAATGGAAAAGAATATTCATACAAACGCGGTGAAACAATATTCTATGGAAAAATCCCATGCTATGACTATTATATCCCCCCTCCCCCCACACGCACAAAATTCTCGATAGACAAATTCTAGATCCACCCTTTTTTGTTCTCCGAAATATTCCCGCTGCTGTGTTTTATGGTTTCCTTGCATTGCCGCTGCCGGTTTTATTGGCTTAAATCTCCAAGTGTTCAATAGCAATTGGTGTCGTAGTAAAGTAAAAAAGGAATTGTCTGCATTACATATATTGTCAAGGGCCGACATATGTAAACAGCAAAAAGCCATGCCTCTTAGTCTCCGCTTTTCCAACACCAAACAAAATTGGTGCAGCAGGGGTGCGTGCGTAGGTACTAATAAATGCAAGTCGAACCGAGTTGCAATATTAACATGCATAATAAATGTACATTTTATTATTTGAAAATTTTGTTAAAGAATTCAAATGACCATAAGCGTGGGTGTGTGCATACATGCATGGCTTACGTGAAGTGAGTAAATAAAAATCTTTAAGCGCAAATGCTGATGACAACATAACTTTTTGTATTCTCTAACAGCCAATGTGGGAAATCATTTTATCTGCTTCCAGAAACAGCAAGGAATGTTGTTGCTGTTAATCGTTTTTTGGGTTGTCATTTGACAAACAATGAAACGCAAAAAATCATTTTTGCTTGTTTGTGGATATCTCTTGCTTTGGAATTGCAATGGGCTTTTTATCGCTGATTTCTGCGGCCACCGCAATTTTTTGACAAAAGCATATTCAAGAATAATAATCTAGAAAGAATAATGACCAAACCTTGCGTTTTATTTGCTTTCACATTTGATATTTAATGATGTCCACACAATAATCAAGTGCTTCTGCAACAAAAAAATGTAAACGCCGATTTCAAGCCGGTAATTTTTTTCCTTTGGCATGACAAAGCTTGTCCTGTTTTTTTGCTTGGTCTATTTTATTCATTGCATTTGCCATCAAAAGAATCAGGAAGCGCCATTAAATGAAGTGATGCTAAAACTGCCACCACAATGATACTAAGAACAAAGGACCATTATAATGCAAAGGGGCAATAAGAATAATAGTTTCCTCTGAACGGAACGGAACGGCGCATGTGAGCACACGGCCGGAATCTCCTTGTTGCATAATGTTGCATTTTTCCGATAAAGGAAGCAAAAGCACTAAGACATGGCAGCTAATAGAAAAAGTGGCACACGAGGAGGGGCGAGTATGAGAGAAGGGCCGGCATGCCTACTTTTACCAACCCCCCTCCACTTGGTCATCAATATTCTACAAGGTGTGCGTGATATTTATTTTGTGAGCAACTGACGGACGGCAGTCATTAATTCATTCTCAGTGGGCTCATTTTCCTGGTCAAATGCGCACCCTCCCTCCCTATCTCCCCTCTTTTTTTGCTTGCTTGCTACGGCCAATAGATAATTATTATTCTTCGGAAAACAAGCCGACTAAAGCCCCTCTTTTTTCTTTACTCCGCTTGTATAATCCTGGGCACTGCTTCCCTCACTTACTCTCTCTCCCACACACACATACACACGGGCGCGCACACTCAAGAATCCCCACTTTTTTCGGCGCTTGACATTTCAACCCCCCCCCCTTCCCTCCCCTCCTCTTCGGAAAATAAAAACCGCATTGACTATTCGTTATGTTGGAGTTTAAAAATAAAAATAGCGGAAAGCCCGCTGCAGGCGGCCCGGAATAGCGCCGGGAGGAGTAAAGGGGGGGGGGTAGTCAAGCAGAGGGCACAAAGCCAACCCATTTTGCCCCTTTCTCAGCCAAGCGCAATTCGAATATCTATAGAATTATTTTTTGGAGAAACTGAAAGCCATACCAATTAAAACAATAAAAGGGCCCTCTGGCGGCGGCTTTTTTGCACCAAGAATCCCACAGATCATTTCTCTTAGCTATTTAGCAACCCACCACCAAAACAAAATATTACTCACGCAACCCAATTAGTTTGCTTCACCTTGCACCTATTGTATTATTCCTTTTTTAGTCGACAAAGCCTAATTTCGTCTTTGGCAATCCGACATCTCTTTTTTTTGTTATTTGTCCAGGCTCAGCTCAGCTCAGCTCAGCCCACCCGTACACGACCTTCAAGTATCGGCACCATTGCATCTCGTGCAATTGGCCGGAAAATACTTTTTTGTTTTTATTCTACTTTTTTGTTGTTGCTTGCAGTTGCACTCAATCACTCAAGTCGGCTATTATTATTTTTTACGACCAAATCAATACTATTATCTTATTATTAGCATTTTATTTGTGCTCACACACGCTAGCTCATTATTCTGCATCACAAATCATCAGGCCCCTTTTGGTATACGGCAGCTCACCCAATAAAAACAATAACACGAGCCATCTCGCTTAGATCATTGCGCAGGTCATTTTCTTTACTCATTTTGCCACCCCAACACGCAGTATCATATTTTTTCATACTCATTCATTTTTTAGTTGGGGCGAGTTTTAACCAAGCCATCATAGTGCTTTCAGCTCACAGCTCATAGAACATCTTGTCATCCATCCGGTTACTGCCAGTTTCCTAGATTCCCATTGGGCCGAGTACGTCGAGGACCTTTCACTTTTTTTATTTAAAAACATCAATCTTTTTTTCGCTCAACACCCATTCTCGCTGGCATTACTTCGGCATTCTTCACCTTTTCTTTTTTAATTCCCCCAACAATTCCACTGTTTTTCAGTGCTTCTTTTTCTGCGCCAAAGACCCAAGACAGTTAGACTCACCTTTGGCTTGTTTAGGCAGTTGGCAACATCATTCGTTTGCCATCATCACAACACTAAATCAGCCATTTTTTTCGCGGTGTATTTTTTTATCTGACGTATACCTTTTTTTCCTTTGGGGAGGTGCAAACATACATAATCACACCCTCTCATTATTTTCGTATTGTTTTCCCGCTCTACATAATACGGGGGGCATTTTCTATTTTTCTATATAGCTGCAAAGTTAGCACAGCGTAGCATATTTTACGCAGTACATCGCTTTATATTCTCTCTATTTCTCTACGCTTTCTCCAAAATTTCTTTAAAAGGGACCAAGCCACCCCTTTGTTTTATACTTTCCTTCTCTTCTTTCCTTTTCTTCAAGTGTCTGCTTGTGGTTGTTGACAGCCATTTTGCTCTGCCTATAGTTTATTTTTCTATTTTTCTATTTCTCTTTTTTATTCGTTTCTTCCAGAACTACTTGGACATTTACTTGTCGAGTATTTCAAGTCACCCAGCGAGTCCTTCTATCGCACGTCCACTTATTCTTCTACTCCCTGTTTCCCCGCCCACGTCGAATAGCCAAATGAACGTTTACTTCCAGGAATCCCGCAATTGCATCAAGGAGTTGTTGGTACCTGATAACACGCAGCTTACTCTGCCCGCCACAGCCGCGCATCATCCACATCCACAATTGTCGCCCCCGGCTCTCCAACACAGCCAATAATGGTGCACACAACGGAGCCCATTTATTTTTGCTCTCAAATAACTCTGCCCAAGCGTTGTAGCTGCGCGCATGTTACCACAGACTCTTTGTCCTACAGAGTCATTCTCGTCCCTTGTCGCCGACGCATCCCTGTTTTCGGCTAATTACACCATGACGCTCAAAGTCCCAACGTGCTCCTCGTACTCGGTCCAATCAGTGGCTCTCCCACGTGCGGTGCCTGGTAGCACCCGCCGCGACAGCATGTTTGGCGTTGAAGATGATGCTAGTGCAGACACTGAGGTCTTCGAAAGCAAATCTGACGAGTTCAGCGACTCTTACATTGCCAGTCTGCCAAGCTGGGAGGACGGCATTTTTGAGATGGATTCTGAAGTCCCCCAGAAATTCGAGTTGTCGTCGTCGGTGATTTTGCCCAAGATTGATATCAGAAAGTCCGTCCTGTCATATCGCCAGGTCACTCGTCCGGAACCATGGGCGGTTCGCCCGATGAACTACTACAACTTGGACAAGGCTCAAATCAGGGCCATTGACGACGATGACAACGAGTTCTACCTCATTTAAAAAACGAAATGCTATACTCTTTCTGACCCACATGCATTCTACCATTCTGCAAATTCCCAAAAAATGACTTTTACTGTTTTAAGGCTTCCTACACTGCCACTTTTTTACTATACTTTTCATTTTTCGCTGTAAATAGAAAAATCACACCATTTGACATTCACCCCTAAAAAGAATTTACTCAACGAAATTACAAAAAAAACCTATTTTTGAAGCTCAATCAATCATTTGTTTTGTTGTTTACTTTGAAGTACTAAAATCATGTTAATTGTGTATGTATGGTGTGAGGGGGTTTAGCTAATGTCATTTTTTGGGCATATGTCGTCTGCCAAATGATCAGCTGTAAATAAAATAAAAGTTACACGCGTAATTCATTTTTTGCCAATTACATTTTCCAGTGTCAAAAACGTCACAGAAAAAACGAGTATTTTTAATTTAAAGACAACAATTATCACAGAAATCAACAACAAAATGGCACGCACAACATTTATTTTTTTGTTTACAATTTTCATTACTAATTAGTTAAAAAAATACATATAAATTAAATGTCACATTTGCACTGCATGTGCATGTGTAATTTTCAGCATTTTAAAAAAAATTGCACACTGAAATGTTTAGAATTGATTTGTTTTTTAATGATGAATACAAAATTTAAATAAAAATTAATGACATTTGCATCATGTGTTGCTTCTTGGAATGCATTATATATATATTGAATCAACTGCGGAAAAGCGCAAGAAATCAACAATCGAAAAATACAAGTTTTTAATTATATTAAATTTATTCTAAATACAACCGCAATCAGCGTGGAATCGCAGCCCAGCTGTGACCATCGCTCGAATCAAGGCCATCTTTTCTTCAGAAGTAAATGCTGCAGAAAGCGGGCCACTCGCATCCAATGCCAAGACATACAGGGGTTGGCCCATGGGCACATGCGCAGCGCAGCCAGCAATACCCGCTTGGCCCGCTTAATCGATCTCTGCCTGCACTCATACGTCACGTAGATAGCCCACGCCAGCACGGAAGCGCACTCACCATTGCGCGTGGCCTTGCGCAGCGCCCAGCGTGCCGAATTAACGTTGGTCATTTGTTTCAGCTCGGAATACACCGCCATCATGTATAAGTCAGGTGTACGATGCTGGTCAGCGGCAGAGTTGACTTGGCGGTGGACACGGTTGACTATTTTTGTGCGCGCCTCTGAAGCGATAAACATCTCCCAGAACACCGTATTGTGTGGGAACTGGTCCAGGGCCTCTTGGAGGCGATTGCGTAGATCGGCTGCCCGGTGCACCTTAAATGACAATGCGTGGAACAGGTGAATGGTGCATATCTCCATTGTGGCCAGTTCTACGTCACTGCCATCAAGCGCATGGCCATCCGCTCCTTCTACTCGAGGCAATTGCGCAAGTGGAAGCGAGCGGGTAGTGGCAATAAAGTCACTGTACACAGCGTCGGCAGCACTACAGTCGCGCTTAGCTGCATACATCAACCACAAGTCAATCGCAAGCACTGCATGCCTGATTTCGTCCGCCGGGATTCCGCAGCTAGCCCCGCTTTTCACCACAGCAACTGCGGCCTTTGCGCGCAAAATGTCCTCTGGTAACAGACTGCACTGGTCATCATCTTTGGCCAGGCCTGCAAATAAATTGGCCGATGAATCCTGAGCCGTTTGTGGTTCTGCAAGTGACTGGTACTCAGCAGCTGTCGAGCATCCCAGAATCTTCACGCACATGGAAAGGCCGCGCCCGTGCTTGGCCTCCATGAGCGCCCATGATTTGCAAACTACGATAAGCCACGACCTCTCGCTTTCAGGAATCCTAAACTTAGAGGCCAGTGTAGCTGCCCAGATCTTCCGTGCCTCATCCCAGAAACCATATCGAGCGTGCATTTTGGCAAAAGCATTCCATAATGCCAAACTGGCTGGTTCCGGCTGAGAAGCTGCTTTCCCAGCTGTTTTCCGCGCGCAGCCGACACTGAAAACGACCACTCAAGCAATACCACGCCAGCATTTTCTGCATGTGAAGGTCCAATCGCTGCTGAGTTGCTGATTGTTGAAGAAATAATGTGACTGCGTGCTCAAACATATCGCCGTAAAGAGCATTTGTCGGACGCAACCACATACACGCATAGATGTATGGCAGCGATATGTCCACCGTGTCTGCTGTTGTGGGCACCGAAACAAATGGAAACCGCTGGCCATGGGTACTGCTTAGATCAGCTGGAGGGCCGGAATCTGATCTGGAAGACGGCCACATAGCCAGACCTTGCGCCGCGGTAAACACATCGCCCCCACACCCAACACTAGTCCATGGTATGTCGCTTGTAGTAAGGCCAATTTTGGAAAACACAAACGACTGCGGCCCGACAATTCCGAGAAACTGCATAAGCCTGTCGATTAGCGACCGAGCTGCCGCGCCGTCCCACGGAATATCAACCAGAAAGGGCTCCACATCCTCGAATATGGTTACTGAAAACGGATCCAGCTCCGAAATCATCGATTCATCCAGCAATGCTATTGGCACCAAAAGCGGAATACAAGTGCTGCTCTTATTCGAGCATTGCTTGTCGGCCGCACACCAGGCGTCCAGCGAACTGTCACTGCATTGGCCCGCTATGGGAAAACCCCTTGTTCATGTTGCGGGAGCTGCCAAAGCCACATCGCCGCTATGGTAACTGACCCACCCCGTGGCACTGTCTGAGCCGATGCGAGCAACACCACTGTCCCAGAATGACTCAAATGCGCTGAGTCTGTGACTAAATGGTGCTGACCAAAGTCGGCTGGGCGTCAACAAGTACCACTCAACGACTGCTTGGTAAACGGCCACAGCGCGTTCAAAGTAGCCAGCCTCGCGAAACATAAGACAGGCCCCATGGATGAGATCAAAAATCAGCACTGATAATTCTAATCTCCGCGGCACGTCGCCCATCCGGCCGCGTAGCATTCGCACCACACGCTTGATGGCTGCCGCGTAAATCCTTGTCCCTTGGCCACCGAAAAGCGCGATGCCGTGGTCTGGCAGGCTCGAACATAGTGTATAATAATGGCAGGTTCGTTGGACGCCCTGTCAACTGCCCTGTCCCACTCAGCCATGATTTCATCATCGTTCATCAGCTCTTTGCACTGATCCAAGTACCCGAGCACCAATTGCACAGACTGTGGATTACTCCTAGAGCGCGCCGGTACACTTCGATCTTTGTCTCGGCAACCATCCTTTTGGCCTTGTGCCGCGAACTTTCCGAAAAGGATGACAACGCCATGTCCTCCTGCAGCGCGACAAGCGCCAGCCAGGCATCCTCATCGTGGACATTGGCCTTTATTCGCTGCTCACATTCCCGTAGCTTCACCTGCAAGGCGCCATTAGCAAACTCACTAAACTCTAAAGACCGGGGCCGCTGCTCGTCTACCGATGCAGCCGGCTTGGCCATGCCATCCATGCTCCTAAATCGGGCCGCTTAGCGCTGTCGTGCTCACTGTTGCCGTTGCCGTCGTTGTCGTATTTATTGTCGCCAGATGACCGCTTGTCACCAGTCCACCCATTGACAAGGGGCACGAACCCGGCAAGGGCCATTAGAGTCTCGTCACTAGTTCCGCTCTCTGGTTTAACCGTTTCTGTCTCGTACCTTACGCCATTCCAGTCGATATCCATATATCGCTGCGCTTGGCGCTCACCTTTTTTCCAAGCACGATCTCCGGCCCATCCCCGGCCTCTATCCGTAGCCCGCCCTTCATTCCAAGAACTCTGCGCCTCCCCGTCGAGCAAACATGGGCGTCCCAGATCTGGTCAAGCCGTCGAATAGTCGCAAGTTAGCGTCGCTGCGCCGGTCAATGGTGGCAATTCCGTCCGCCAGCAGTCCTGCCAAGCGGAATTGTGCTGTAGCTGCAGTTTCTGTGGCTTGTCCTTGTGGGGTGGCGAGTGCTTCTTTTTTCCTTGTGTTTGTGGCGTGTTAAACCAGCCCGATGTTTCTTGTGTTCGCGGTGCGATGTTGGTGGAAGTATCTGTGATTTGTCTTTTTATGGGCGCTGACGAGTGCGAGCCAGCGCCCGGCGCTGTGGAAAAGGAGGAAAACATTGTGTCGCTGTCATCGCCTGTGTCGCTGTGGTACTTGCTATTAGGTGGCGACATTGTCTGTAAACTTTACAAGTGTTAAAATGCAAACAAAAAAGAAGAATATTAGTAGCTTGTCCGAAAGAGAAATAGGGAGGAAATTATGTTGGTGACATGCATAATTCTACACACTGGCTTTATGGGAAAGCACGGCGGTCTCCAAAATTTGACATGCGCATCGCGACCGCGAGCAACTTTATGTTTGTTTTCTTCTTTTTCCCGTTTAAAACACGTCAATCAATAAAATCCATAAAGTATTTATTACGTATCTAGTCGTGTTTGTGCATAATATGTTTTCAAAGCAGCTTGCGCTTTTTCGGATTGAAATTAATATGAAGTAATCAAAATTTTGGAACGCCACAATCAATAGAGATGATAATGAAACGAAAGCAGCTATAAAAAAGTTAGTTTAAAACTATAACAATAAATATATACAACCAAGGGCTGGCTGTATAGCAAGACAAGAATATGAAAAACTGCTTATAAATAAATGAAAATTAATACAATATATATATTTCCTCATCTCACATACTTCAAATATTTTTTTCCTGTTGGTTCGCAACTGATTATTATAAATATATCTATAAAAAAACCATACAAAAAACACATTTGTTATTTGATAACCCCTCCCTCAAATAAACATACTAAAAATAATAAAAATATCAAACGTAGGTGAAAATCGATCCAGACCCAGCCAAACTAGCCGCAATCTTGTTAATAGAATTAGCCATGGCAGCAGTTCTATAATCAATATTTTTCTCATTCGCAGTCTGCCTAGTCTCATTGCAAGCAACAATCATAGTGTCCTCCAATCCTGAGTACACCAGTTCATGCTCCTCCGCGCCATGGATCATCTGCCTTCTCTCGACCTCCGACAGGGGTCTTCCGGCATTTCCCTCGACCAAATTGAGCAACTGCTCTTTGCTACGCTCATCCCATCTTTTGTTCATCCGGCCAAACCGCAAATGCGACAGGTTTTTGGCCCACTCAAAGTACGACACACACACGCCGCCAGCATTCAGAAGCAAATCAGGCACAACACAATGTTGTTCTTTTGCAGAATGGCATCGGCAGCAGGGGTGACAGGGCCGTTGGCAGCCTCGCCGACGAGCTTGGCCTTGATTCTGTGGGCGTTGCGCAGGCCGATTTGGCGCTCAAGGGCGGCGGGGATAAGCACATCGCAGGGAGCCTCGAGTAGCTCCATCGGGTCATCCAGGATGCGCGCATCGGGGAAACCCGGAACGATCCATGCTCCTTGCGCCACTGCGCCAAATGCTCAATGTTCAATCCATTGGGGTTATGCACTGCCACGTCGTATTCAATAATACCTGTGACACGCGCACCGTTGGCCTCGAAGAACTTGGCTGCCCAGTACCCGACATTGCCAAAGCCCTGGATGATAACCGAGCTATCTTCGACTTTGCCGTGGTGTCCGATTTTCTTCTGCACTTCGGGGAAGGACAAGAACTCGCGTACGCCGTAGTAGACGCCCAGCCGGTAGCCTCCGTGCGGCCGCGCACGCCGCCCATTGACAGTGCCTTTCCGGTGACGCAGGCGGCACCATTGACGTCCTGGGGGTAAAAGTTGCGGTACGTGTCGGCAATCCACCCCATTTCCCTCGGGCCCGTGCCAACATCCGGTGCCGGCACATCGACGCCCGGGCCAATAAAGTTCTTCTGACACAGTTCAAGCGTAAACCTCCTTGTAATGCGCTCCAACTCGGCTTCTGTCCAGTCCTTTGGGTTGATCATAATGCCGCCCTTGCCTCCGCCAAAGGGAACATCAACGACGGCGCATTTGTACGTCATCAGGGCTGACAAGGCTTCAACCTCTTGGAGATCTACCTCGGAGGCAAACCGGATACCACCCTTGCAGGGGAGTCGGTGGCGGGAGTGCTGCGAGCGATATCCCCGGATCATCACGGTTTTCCCATCCTTTTCCATTGGGAAGGTTACGCTGAGCACGCTGTCTGTGGCCTTGATGTGGCGCAGGGTGTCCGGGGATGCGTTGCTGTGCTTGGCGGCTTGGTCAAAGAAGAGCCCGACGGCTTGGAGGAATTTCGGCTCGTGGTCTTCGATTGCCCGGTTGACAGGCTGGGTGGACAGCAAGCGCAATGGAGCTAAAGCTGACCCAGCGAGCAGGCGATTTCCGCTGCGACTATTGTAAAACAAAAGAATATATGGTGGTACTGGCTATTATAAGTGTGCTGTGGTTTGATAAGCATATATATATTTTTTTTTCGTATGTTGGTGCTTACGTGAAGATTCCGTGCAGCTGGCGTGAAGCGATAATTGAGGCCATGGGAAAAATAAAAAGTAAAAGCAAAAAAAATTGAAAGATATTGTAAATAATAAGGAGAGAAAAATGTTTTGTCAAAGAGAAAAGCAAAATAAAATATGAAAAAAACCAAATATGAGAAAAAGAAAAATGTATTGTGTTGGCAAAGTTTACTGTGATTTATGAAGAAAAGTAGCAAGCAGATATTTCTTGCGCACTGCCCTCCTTTTATAGCATATATATATATATGTATTTTTTTGATCATTCGTTTACAAGCAGAGCACAGACCAATTTTTCGTATATGCCACTGCTTCTCTCTCTCAAATGAAATGATAAGGCTGGACACAAGGGAGGGGGGGAGGGGAGGCGTGTGAACCAAATAAAAAAGCAAAAAGAGAATTGAGTTAGCTGACCGGACTTTGAAATCGGTCATTTAAAAATAGCAAGCACAGCTAGCTGTGCGTGAGAAACGAAAAGGAATATAAAACAAAAATATATATAAAAAGGACCAAAACACAACGAACGTCACCCGACATCCAAAAATGTCCGCATAGCCAAAAAAGGCATTTATCAGATGAAGTCCGAATCAACGAATCTATTGATCAGAAGGCTCGTCGGGATCATCAAACGGGGTCTCATGGGGGTGCGAGAAAGTGCGATTGAACTTGAGCAGCTGGTTAATATCCTGTGCCCAGCCCTTCGCCAGATCCACCCTATTGACGCACATCAGCGGGAACGGAGACCTGCGGATAACGACTTTTTCGCCCTGCACGACGCCCCCACAGTCCCTTCCATCGACAAACGCCGTTGCCTGCCCGCGGCTGCCCTTGTGCACCTGCAGTGTAACCACCGACGATGCCGGGAGCATCAGCGGCCTGAAGGACAGCGACCTGGGGCATACCGGCGCCAGCACCATGCTGGCG